TGATACGGCCATTTTAGAGAACAGTATGCAGGTTCCTGAGAAAAAGGAAAAACAAAAAATACAACTACCATATGATCCAGCAATCCCACTCCTGGGTATATATCAGGAAAAGATGAAAACTCTTCTTCAAAAAGATACATGCATCAATGTTCACAGCAGGACTGTTTACAACAGCCAAGACACAGAAGCAACCTAACTGTCCATCAGCAGGTGAATGGAAAGAAAAGGTGTGGTCCATACATACAATGGAATTTACTCAGTCACTAGAAGAACAAAATCATGCCATTTGCAGCAACATGACTGACCTGGAGATTATCATACTAAGTGAACTAAGTCAAATAAAGACAAATATCATAGGGTATCATTTACATAGAATATAAATAAAAATTACACAAATGAATTTACTTACAAAACAGGAACAGATTCACAGACTTCAAATACAGACTAGTGGTCACCAAAGGGGAGAGGTGGGGGAGGGGTAAATTGGGGGTTTGGGGCTGATGTACACACTCATACTATATACAATAATCAACAAGGGCTGACTGCCACGCACAGGGGACCCCACTCAATGTTCTGTGACAACCTAAATTGGAAAAGAATTCACAACAGAATAGATACATGTCCGTGGCTAACTGAATCACTGTGCTGATACCTGAAATTAACAATGGTAATCAATTACACGCCAATTCAAAATAAAAAATAAAATACACACTACACACTTTAAACAAAAGAAAACATTGATCATTTAAAAATATTAAATTCTTAAGCTTACCTTGATCAAAATGCACCATAAAGAAAATGAAAACACCAGTCACAGACTGGGAGAAGAGAACTGCAATAAACACAATCGACAGAGAACAGCACCCACACTATACAGAGAACTCCTACATTCTGGTCACCAAAAGAAACCAACAGGCGTTTCAGAGAAGATCATGGCTGTTCAATAAGCAAGTAGAAGGTTTAGAACTTCAGGGGAAAGCAGATTAGATCTCAGTGAGATTCCATCTATACCCGCTGGGTTGGCAGAAAGTGGATTTAATAACAATGAGCTGGAGAAAGTGTGACTCCACGGTAGGAAGGGTCAATCGGTACAAGGACTCTGGGCAGCAATTGGCACTATTTTGTAAGGTTGAATGTCCCTACAAGGCTATTCCTCTCCTGGATGTGTCTATGCAAGAGGCATTCCTGTAAACATAGGCATCAGAAGACAGGCACAAGAATGTTCACAGTAGTGGTTTTTTTTTTTCTTGGTGATTAGGAAAAAAAAAAAAAAGCTGGAGACGACGTAAATGCCCAGCAATAAGAAAACAGATAGGTATGCTCTGGTTTATTCACAACGGGGTATTATATAGCAGTGGAAATGAGGAACTACAGCCACATAACCTCCACATGTCCTATATGTTAGTTGCTCAGTTGCCCAACTCTTTGAGACCCCATGAACAATAGCCCGCCAGGCTCCTCTGTCCATGGGATCCTCCAGGCAAGAATACTGGAGTGGGTTGCCATGCCTTCCTCCAGGGGATCTTCCAAACCAGGGATCAAACCAGGGTCTCCTGCATTGCAGGTAGATTCTTTACCGTGTACTTCAGTCCTGTACACAAGCCTCTCTGAGATTCGTTTTTCTTTTTTCAATATTTTTATGAGACTCATTTTTATGACCACAAAGGCACAATGATATTTACTTTGAACTTTCTTTGGGATCTCCCAGCCCTAGTAATGATAACAGCTTATTAAAGAGTAGTCCCTTATAGTTTGCAAAGGTGTGTGGGGTGGTTTTTTCTTTATCACATCTTTTAAAAGTCCAATATTTTAAAGTTATCTGGGAGCTTTTCTTTTTTCCCCCCACACCACGAAGCTTGTGGGACCTTAGTTTCCTGACCAGGAATTGAACCTGGGCCCTCAGCAGTGATTTTGCCAAGTCTTAACCACTGGACTCTCAGGAAATTCCCCAAAGGTCTAATTTTTATTACTAACAATGACTTACCTGGATAGACTACCAGCTGTGTTTATAAGCGCTAGGTAAACGTGGGTGGACATGGGTTTGAGCAGACTCTGGGACACAGTCAAGGACAGGGAAGCCTGGCGTGCTGCCGTCCACGGTGTTGCAAAGAGCTGGACATGAGTGACCGACTGAGCAACAACAAACGAGTGAGTGAAGGAATGCGCTCAAAGCCTGAGCAGAGGAGACGTGGAGCGAGGCTACAAGCAGTCCCTAAAGCAAAGGCAGCCTTGAGTCTCCCTGTTATCTTGGCACAGTCAGGGTGGTCAGGACCCTGCCCTGAATCATGATGGTGGCAGCCAGGGCCTGGCAAGGGGCCCTGCTCTTCGCAAGAAGTCCTGGCACAGCTGCTTCCTGCGGTAGCTTCTGAAAAAAGAGAAAGTTTGTGCCACCTAGCGGTAAAGAACAGGGACCACAGAGGAAGGCTAGAGAAATTCTTAACACAAGTTATTTTATTTGGGGTGGGGTGTGGTGTCAGGGTGGTGGTGCTTGTGAGAAGGTATTATTAAAATAATATCTGCCTTTTTAAAGTAAATTTTTGTTAACATAATTGTATGCTCACGAGCAGTTGTAAGAAATAATACAGAAAGATCTTTCATGCTCTTTGCCCAATTTCCCCCAGTGGTTAGATCTTGCAAAACAAAGATCAGTGGAGTAGAAATCAGAGTCCAGAAATAAACCCATACATTTGTGGTCAATTGTTTTGTGACAAAAGTGCCAACACAAGTCAGTGTGAGAAATAACGATCTTCAACAAACGGTGCTGGGACATCTGGATGGTCGCATGCAAAAGAATGAGGTCGGACGCCTCATAAGGTGTATGAGCCTTACACCTTGTACACAAACTAACTCACAATGGGTCAAAGGCCTAATTGCAAGAGGTAAAACTATAACATTCTTAAAAGACAGCATATGGGTAAATCTTCATGACCTTGGATCAAGCAATGATTTCTTATATATAAGAAAGACAGTAAAAATGTAAGCAACAGCAACAAATGAATAAATTGGATCTCATCACAGTAAAAATTTTTGTGCTTTCAAGTACACTATAAAGACAGTGAAAAGACAACCCACAGAATGAAAGGAAGTATTTGTCAGTCATATACCTGATAAGAGTCTAACTAGGGTTATAAAGAACTCATAAGTCTATGATAAAAAGATAGACTTAAAAATGAGATTTAAAAACTCAACTTAAAAATGGACAAGGTATTTGAATAGACATTTTTTCAAAGAAGATGTATAAACAGCCAAAAGTACCTGAAATGATGCTTAACATCATTAACCATCAGGGAAATGCAAATAAAAACCACAATGAGATACCAGTTCACATTCACTAAGGTGACTATTAATTAAAAAGATAGTAAGTGTTAGTGAGGATGTGGAGAAATTGAAACCTTTAATACATTGCTGGTGGGAAAATACAGGGGAGCAGACGCTTTGGAAATCAGGCAGTTAGGGAAAATGTTACAGCTGTTCCACAGCATTTGTACTCAAGAGAAATGGAAACGTGTGTCACACAAAGACTTGTACAGAAACCTTCACAGCAGCATTATCAAGGAGCCAAAAAGTGCAAACAACCCAAGTGTTCACTAACTGGTAAAAGTTAAATAAGCAAAATGTGTGTGTGTGTGTATCCCTAAATGGACTATTATTCAGCAATAAAAAAGAATGAAATATTGATTCATGCTATGACATGAACCTTGAAAATATTGTGCTAAGAAGCCAGACACACAAAAGGCCACATGTTGCATGATTCTATTTACATGAAATATCCAGACATGCAAACCCACAGAAAGAAAGAAGAGTAATGGTCGGGGGGAAGGGAATGAGAAATGGAGAATGACTGCCAATGGACATCGATTTCTTTTAGGGATGAAGAGAATGTTCTGGAATTAGTGGTAATGGAGGCACAATGTTCTAAAATATATTACAACCCACCAAACTGTACACTTACAGAAGACTGAATTGTTTTTTTTTAATGTTTATGTTTATTTATTTTGCTGTGTGACTCTTAGCTGCAGCATGCAGGATCTTCCATCTTCACTGCAGCATGCAGTCTTTTAGTCGCAGTGAGCAAATTCCTAGCTTCAGCACGTGGGATCTAGTTCCCTGATCACGGATCAAATCTGGGCCCCCTGCATTGGGAGCTGGGAGTGTTGGCCACTGGACCACCACAGAAGTCCCAAAAGAATGAATTTTAAGGCATGTGTATTATATCTAAAATTTTTAAAACTAGCAAAATTATTAATTAATAAATAATAAATTAAAAAAAGAGAGAAAGAGAATACCACAACCAGGATAACATTGATATTGGTTCAATCTACAAATCTTACTCAGATTTCCCTAATGTCCCCGGTACTTCCCCATACCCTGTGTTTCTACAAAGGATTTAGCAAGTATCCAAAGAAGGTACATTACTGTTTAAAGCAGTAAAACTCCCACAATTATATACGACCTCATACTCAGAGTTGGAGTCACAACCCACGACTCTCATTGTAAAAATGAGGCGTTATAAAATTTACCCTTGGTATATAATTCTATAGAATTAATATCATACCATAACAGGGTATTTTATATTTGTTTGCATTTTACTCAACATAAGTTATCTGTATTTCACGGTCTTAACCCAACAATGCATATCTCTGGGGTTCTTTCCTGGTTTTTAACCAAGAGGCGTACTTATTTCAACTGAATTAAGGAGACTTTTACAGTCTGTTTCTCCCTGTTAATGTCTCATTTTGTTTAAGAAGTTTGGATTACTGCCTCCCAAGCCATGAGAAATATCCCTTTATATAGGGATGTGGAATCTTTCATCCGATGGACGGACCATAATTCCGGTAACCATCCCCTTATTGCTGGACGTTTAGGATGTTTCCATGTTTCCAGTTTTCTTGCGGCAAACTACTGTAGCGAGCAACTTAATTTCTTCTTTTGGATGATTTCCTCCAGGCAAGGGGTGGAGTTACTGGTTAAAGACTTTGCGCATCCGACTCCTGACTTACTTCCCGACGGCGCAAGACCCACGGCCCGGGTTCCCTGCGGCCCCCGACTGCGGCCTCAGCCTCCGCAGAGCCAGCCCCCGGGGGCGCGGCCTCGCGCTTCCCCCGGTCCTCGCGCCCGCGGGCCACGCCCCCGCCGCCCCTGGGGCCCTGCCGGCGCCCGGACTCACCTGGGCTCCCGCCCTCGGGCCAGCGCGCGTCCTCGCCTCGGCCTCGGGGTGTCCTCCCGGCTCCGCGGGGATGGCCCTGGGCGACGCCTGTCTCCCTTTCGCGTCCCTGCCCGCCCCCAGCACCCGGCGGCGCATGCAGTGGGCGCTCGGCCAGTGCCCGCGGGTTTAAAGAGCCGGCTGCCGCAGCCACGCCGGCCTTCAGTCACTTCAGACAGGTCCCCGCCAGTGAACCGCGCCCCCGACATTGTTCGCGCGCCGGGAGCGGCCGTGAGGCGGCCGGGCTGAGGCTAGCGGCAGGAGTCCGGTCACGCAGCCGCGTATAGAGCGCCTACTGTATGCCGACAGTGTCCGGCGCGGGAAATGAGGGACAGTCACCGCGGTAGTGAGAGTGTGTGACAGGTGTCAGGGGCGCCTCCAGCGGGCAGGGAAGGCCGGCGGGGGAGCGGCTGACGGGAGGCGAATCCGGCGGGCCTCCCGGAGGGGCTGATCAGAACAGGGGGCACTGGGAAGCGCGCGCTTGCGCGGGCCAGCGTGCCACATTCGGCCTCGCCTCCGAAACGCCCGCTTAGACTCCGGCCAGGAGTCAGCGAAGCGGGGACGACGGCACTGACAGGAGAGCGTGGGGCTTGGAGGCGGAGGTCCGGCCGCCAGGAGCCGGGACGGGGTTAACGCCTGACGCGGCGGCGCGGCCCGGCTGTGTTCCTGCGCCGAGCGCACAGTGCGCCTGCGCCGAGCGCGCAGTGCGCCTGCGCACAGTGCCGGGCGACGTGGCCGGCCGGAAGTGGGCAGTGCGGAACCGCCGCCGCCGGCCGCTGCGTCCATCCTTGGCTGCAGCTTGGCTCCCGCAGGGACATCGCCATGCTGAAGAAATTCGACAAGAAGGACGAGGAATCGGGTGAGAGGGCCGAGGCCTTGGGGGAGGCCAGACCCCCGCGCTAGCCCTCCGCGCCCTCCCTTTGAGGCCTCCTACCGGACCTCCGTCTGGATGCGAGGCCCCGGGAGGCCCCGGGGCCTTGCGCGAAGGTGCGGCGCCCATCCGCGGCCGGCCCCGGAGAGCCCGAGCGGGCTCTGCTGCCCCTCACCCGGCAGCTCGGGCCGCGATTCGCTGGGTGACCTTGAGCGGGTCTGCGCCTCCGGGCCTCTGTTTCCCCGCCTGTCAGCGGAGGGGGCCAGACCCGGTGGTCCTCTGGGGATTCGCCGGGGCTGCGCCCGTGCTGGGGCGTCCTAGTCGGTGGTGCCCGGATCGGTGGTTGAGAACCCTGACTCCGATTCATTTATCCGGCAAACGTATCGAGCGCCCGGTGCATGCCAGGTTGCACTGCGCCCAGACTCTGCATCAGAGCTAGTGAGACGCGCTCGTGAGCAAGCTAGGAATATAAGACTGGTCGCAGCGGAGTGGAGGCAATAGACATCAGTCACATAGGTGTGTCATTAATTACGAGTGTGACTTCTGCTGTGTGCAGAAACCACAGTCACTGGAGATGGTGGTCCCTCACGCAGTAGGGACTCAGTTAGGTACCAGTTGCATAAATGAGTGAAAGACATGACACTCTAAGAGGCACACGAGGACTGTACCAGGGCTGCTGGGTGACTGCGAGTTAGTGGTTTGGGGTCAGGGGTCCTCCCTGGAGGCGGGTGGCTGGCCCTGTTGGCAGCCTGTAGAGCTCTGCGTGCCGTTGAGAGGAGTTGGAGTTTGAGTCTCCGGGCATCGGGATGTCTTTCTCCATTGTCTACATCTGGGAGAGTTTTGAAATTCAGGGTCACAACCTGTGCTCAGCTCGGTCTCTTCTCTCACGGAAGGTGGAAGCTCCAACCCGTTCCAGCACCTGGAGAAGAGTGCGGTGCTGCAGGAGGCAAGTGTCATTTGCTCCCTTAGGTCTTCTGTCGAGAATGTTCACAGTCAGTGTGATCAAAACGCTGGCACATTCAAAGTGCTGGTTTATAGGACATTAGGGGAGAAATCTGTTCGTGGAAAGACGGGGAATTCATTATGCTGATCCTTTTCTTCGTCTTTGTTTCTCCTTCCGTTTAACTAATAAGCTTTGAGGATTTCTCTGGTGGTCCAGTGGGTAGGGCTCTGCGCTTGCACTGCAGGGGACACTGGCTCCAGCCTTGTTTGCAGAACTAAGATCCTGCATGCAGGCCATGCAGTGTGGCTCCCCCCCACCCCCAAAAAAGAGCCTTTACTAAGTATTCATTAGTCTCTAAGTCAGCACATCTCCAGGTAATATCTAGGGAGGATTTCAGGAGTTGCTAATAGATGAATTTTTAAAAAAGGAAAACAAAGCTCCTTCCATGTGAAAATAAAGTAGGACAGGTGTATTTCTTTACCTTGAGCCTTCTCAGATCTCTGATGTGCTTGAGGACAGTCATGGAAGGGAAATAAACTCAGCCAGAAGGTAAATATCCTTGGTCGCTTCTTCTCAGGCCCGTGTGTTTAACGAAACGCCCATCAACCCTCGGAAATGTGCCCACATCCTCACCAAGATCCTTTACCTCATAAACCAGGTAACAGGGTGAGGCTTGGGGGTGTGGAAAACGGTACTGGGGTGTGCTGGGGGCAGGGGCACAGCCCCTGGGTGGTGGCAGCCAGAGGCCCATCTCTGGGTGCCCTCAGGGTCCCACTCTGAGGTGTCGTCCTTGATGCAGCCTCTGCGGGTCTGAGGCTCGGACCTGGGCTGACTTAGCAGGAAGAGCCTTCCGGCCTTTCTGTCCCAAGCTGAGGCTTCCTTCTGAACTGAAACAGGGGGAGCACCTGGGGACCACGGAAGCGACTGAGGCCTTCTTTGCCATGACCAAACTCTTTCAGTCCAATGACGTAAGTGCCGCCACCCCAGCCCTCCTCCGGGTGATGGGAGGGCCCCCGTGCGTGGCTGCCCCTGTGTCAGGCTGAGCCAGGGGTCACAGGGCTTTTCGCCTCTCCTGCCCAGCCCACCCTCCGTCGGATGTGCTACTTGACCATCAAGGAGATGTCCTGCATCGCAGAGGATGTCATCATCGTGACCAGCAGGCGAGTCCCGGGCCCCTGATGGCCGCACCCATGCCAAGCCCATCTTCTCTCTCCCGTCTTCTCCCGAGCTCCCGCCCCTCAGTCCTCCTCGGTCGCGTGTTGCCAGCGCCCTCGCCGCCTCCCCTTCAGTCACTCTGCCCAGCCACAGCAGCCTCCAGGGTGGGCGGATCCTCTTGTAATTCTCTGGTCTGGGCTTCGGCACAAGCCGTCTCTTCCCTGCTTCCTCTTGGTCCGCTGAGGCGGCCTGGAGCTTCCAGTGACTCCAGCTCTTCCCAGTGACCGGGACGGGGGGTGGTGGGGTGCACGAAGGCCACAGGCAGACTCACCCACAGGCAGCCTGGCCCACGGAGGACGTGCTCAGGAGGCGTTCGGCTCAGGGGTCATCCCTGGGCTCCGCTCTTGTACTTCTTGACGCGGTTTGGGGGGCTGCTACACATGCATGTATAGGTTCACTTAGAGAATGTGGCAGGCATGGCGTCTGCAGCCCCAGAGCTTCCAGGGAGGTAACCCCACAGATAGGCATTAGGGGGGTGTGGCGGCTGTGAGAGCAGGCCAGGAGGACTGCCGGCTTGAATCTGGGTCAGGAAAGGCCTCCTGGAACTGGGGGAGTGGAGTCCTGCAGGGCGAGGTGGGCAGAGCAGGACAGAGGTGGGGTGGGTGGAGCGCAGCTGTCAGGACCTGGGGGGAGTCCGGGGACTTCTCCACAAGCACTCAACAGGGACGGCAGCAGGAAGCCCTGCCGGGAAGATTGCTGTCAGAGCAGGGCAGTGACCCGGGCAGTGTGGAGTTTCAAGGAGACCCCTTGATGGAGGGTTAAGAGCCCAGAGCGGATACCCGTTAGGAGACAGGCCTGCTGACCCAGGTAGGGTGAGTGGGGCGTGGGAGCAGGCCCGGCCCTGCGTGAGGCCCACGCCTTGTCCCCGCAGCCTGACCAAGGACATGACCGGCAAGGAGGACAGCTACCGGGGCCCGGCCGTGCGCGCCCTCTGCCAGATCACCGACGTGAGTGCCCCACTCTGGGGAGGGGCGCGGGACCCCGGGGCTCACGCCTGCTCCCCTCCTCTGGTCCTCACTGCTCCACGCCTGCGCCCCCACAGAGCACCATGCTGCAGGCCATTGAGCGCTACATGAAGCAGGCCATCGTGGACAAGGTGCCCAGTGTCTCCAGCTCCGCCCTCGTGTCTTCGTTGGTGTGTAGCCTCAGCCGGGACCCGGGCTGGGGCCGGGGCTGGGGCTGGTCGGGAGACTGAGGAAGCATCAAAGATGGCTTTCCAAAGGGAAACCAAAGCTGTGTGGCCCCAGTTGTGAGAGTCCCACCCCCTGCTCGGTGAAAAGCACCCAGGGGACTCTGGGTGGGTTGAGGGCTGGGTTGGCGGCCTTGACCCACGCCCTGGGGTGACAGGTTTTGGGGATTTGAGCCTGGCAGGAAGTCCGCCAGGGCAGGGGGAGAGAGGGTGGGAGCCGTGCCGAGTCTGCGCCCTCTCGGAGGACCCCGACAGCAGGGCGTCCTGCTCGCCCCGCTCAGCATGCCCTGTGCCCTGCAGCACCTGCTCAAGTGCAGCTTCGATGTGGTCAAGCGCTGGGTGAATGAAGCCCAGGAGGCAGCGTCCAGTGACAACATCATGGTCCAGGTGAGCCATGAACGGGGCAGGGATGCTGAAAATGCTCAGGCGCTGGCCAGCAGGATGGACTTCCACCACGGAGGTCCTGGCGGCCCCTGGCTGAAGCAGTCTTTAACCCTTTTCTCGTGGTGGGGAGGCTTGGGGGTTTGGGGAAAAGAATCTAAGGCACCTCTTGCAGGGGGAGTTGGCTTACAGACTTGATGGGCTCATGCTAAAATATTTGATAGTTTTGATAACCAGCGAGTATTGCTTTGGGTGTGCGATGCCATCTGCCTGGTTCCTGGTGACGGTTCAGTGGGAGCCTCTGCCCTCCTGCCCAGACCTGCAGCCCCACCGTGTGGACATCTGTTTCCTCTCCCACCCCGTGTCTTAGTGCTTGGTCTTGTTTCCAGGGCCTGCTCTGGCCCCTCAAACCCTCCAGGATCACAGAGGCTTCTTCCCATGTAGAAAGCCCTGAGCGCCGCCCTAGTAAGGACTCTGGAGGACAGAGGGCACAGGGATGGTCTGTTTGCCTCCCCAACCTCTGCTGGCTTTGCAGCAGCAGCCATGCATCCTGGGGCAGGGCCGGGCCGAGGGTCTGCTGTGAGGGTCTGCACAGCCCCTGACTACACGTGACAGGGATGGTCTGTTTGCCTCCCCAACCTCTGCTGGCTTTGCAGCAGCAGCCATGCATCCTGGGGCAGGGCCGGGCCGAGGGTCTGCTGTGAGGGTCTGCACAGCCCCTGACTACACGTGTCCTCAAACCAGGCCGGCTCTGGCTTCCTCTTTCTGGTCGCAGACACCTGGTCTCCAGTTCCTCCATCTGGGTGGCGCCTGGCTGGGTTGGGGGAAGGAGGCCTGCAGAGTCCCAGGTGGCTTGGCCGGCATGGCCCACACCTGGGCTCCGGAAGCGCCCATGGTGCCCACCCCAGAGGGAGGAGCGGCCGCGTGGCCTCAGGCCTCACTCGCCCTGCTCTGTGCCCGCCCCGCCCCCACCCCCAGTACCACGCGCTGGGGCTCCTGTACCACGTGCGGAAGAACGACCGCCTGGCCGTCAGCAAGATGATCAGCAAGTTCACGCGGCACGGCCTCAAGTCCCCCTTCGCCTACTGCATGATGATCCGCGTGGCCAGCCGGCAGCTGGAGGACGAGGACGGCAGGTAGCGGCCCCGCGCCCTGTCGCGCGCCCCCCCAGCCCTCGCCCGGCCCCCGGGCGGCCCCACAGCGTCCTCTTGCCGCCTGTTTCGTTGCAGCCGCGACAGCCCGCTGTTCGACTTCATCGAGAGCTGCCTGCGCAACAAGCACGAGATGGTGGTGTACGAGGCCGCCTCGGCCATCGTCAACCTGCCGGGGTGCAGCGCCAAGGAGCTGGCCCCCGCCGTCTCAGGTGCCCAGGCCCCGCCCCCCGCGGGCTCAGCTGCCCAGGCCCCGCCCCCCGCCAGCCCCCTGTAGCTGGGTCTCCCGAGCCGAGGCCCTGCGGGCGGTGGGTGCTCCTCGGTGGGGGTGGCCATGCCGGTTGGGGAATAGCTGAGCGGGGGATTTGGGTCTGAACAGTCTCTGAGCCCTTACCCCCCAACTGTGCCCCGTGCCCTGTACCTGCTCCTCCCGGGGGCCCCTGGGTTTCCTGGCTGCCGCGCAGGGGGCAGCCCGTCATGGGCGTCTGTCTCCTCACAGTGCTCCAGCTTTTCTGCAGCTCCCCCAAGGCCGCCCTCCGTTACGCTGCGGTCCGCACCCTCAACAAGGTGAGTTCGCGGTGGAGAGAGTGGAGCCGACCTTCCGACAGGGCTGGGGGAGGGGGCCTGGGCCCAGGGGACCCGTCTGGTCCCCCATGGCAGGAGGTGCAGCCCTGGCTGGTCTCTGTCCCCCAGGTGCTGGCGTGAGCCCACCTGAAGGGCCGGCAGAACGGCGGGAGGCCTTCTATGGCCCGTCCCTGTCCTCATCTCTTTGCTCCCGGACAGGTGGCCATGAAGCACCCGTCCGCGGTGACAGCCTGTAACCTGGACCTGGAGAATCTGGTGACGGACTCGAACCGCAGCATCGCCACGCTGGCCATCACCACCCTGCTTAAGACGGGCAGCGAGGGCAGCATCGACCGCCTCATGAAGCAGATCTCCTCCTTCATGTCTGAGATCTCGGATGAGTTCAAGGTCCATAGTCTGCACCTGGAGTGGGGTGGGCCAGGGGGCAGACGGGGGACCTTGCTGGTGGAGATGTGTGAGGTGCTGCATCCGACCTTTGTCAGCAAGGCCGGGAGCTTCCAGGCCGGCCAGTTAAGCCCTTTAGTGTCTCCGTGGGCGCTGTGTCGTGTGCTGGGCAGAGTCCGGAGAGAGGGGAGCAGTACACACGCCGTCTTGCCCTCAGAGCTCGCTTTCTGGGGTGGGAAGATGGAAGCCGACACCGGTGTGGATGGGATCCTTCCACACACTGGTGCAGTGAGGAAACCCTCAGGGTAGCAGTTCCCGGGGGAGCCACCCTGGAAGGACCTGGGAAGGGCCAGCAGGAGCGCTTGTGCGCTTGCCTTGGGGTCTGAGTAGAAGGGCAGCCTGGGGGGACTTGCAGTGTGGATCGGGGCCTTGGACCACTGTGCTTGCTGCCCTGCCCAGGGGGTCGGGGCTGCAGGCTCCCCGAGGGGGGTGAAGGTGCCCTCGTCCCCTGGCCTGCCACGCCTCGGCCCGGCCTCACCCGAGGAGGGGCTCCGCTGGCCCCGGGGACTGAAGGAGCCGCCGCAGGGCCAGGCTGCAGCTCACACCTGTCTCTGGCACAGGTGGTGGTCGTGCAGGCCATCAGCGCGCTGTGTCAGAAGTACCCCCGCAAGCACGCCGTGCTCATGAACTTCCTGTTCTCCATGCTGCGGGAAGAGGTAAGAGTGGGCGGGCCTGGGTCCACCTGTTAGCTGTCTGGCTTCCCTTTCGGCTCCTCGTGCGCAGGCAGTGCAAACACGCCCCAGCCACTGTGGTTACAGTCATAACTGATGACATGCCTCCCTGGCCAGACCCAGCAGATGCCCCGAGGCAATGCTTGAGCAGAAGGTGGCTCACGGTCTGTCTGGTGTCATCTGGTATAGAAATATTCTAGCCATTGCAGTTTTCCATAGAAAAATTTTCTCTCAGAAAGATCGGTCCCTGATGCTGAAAAGGCTGGAGACCACTGTCATAAAATACACATGACACAGAACTCATCGAGGGCTTCCCTGGTAAAGAATCTGCCTCTGATGAAGGATACCTGGATTTGACCCCTGGGTTGGGAAGATGCCCTGGAGAAGGGAAGGGCTACCCACTCCAGTATTCTGGCTTGGAGAATTCCACGGATTGTAGTCCATGGGGTCGCAAAGACTAAGCGACTTTCACACTAGAGTTCATCACTTTAACTGTTCATAAGTCTATATTGTTCAATATTGTTAAATACCTTCACATAGGAGTGCAGTTAATCTCCAGAACTTTCTCATCCTGCAAAACTGAACTCTGTTCCCATTTAACGATAATCCCCTACTCGACACCCCTGCAGCCTCTACACCACCCATTGTGCCTTTGTCTCAAAGGTAGGAAGAAAATCAAGTCCCAGATGTTTCTATTAAAGCACCTGCAGTTAGACTGGGAACGGCCCCGGCAAGCATTCGGCCCGAGCCTTTGGTTCTTACAGAAAAGGGAGGTGGTGGTGGGGGAGCCAGGCCCTCGCCTGCGGGCTCTGGCTGGGCTGCTGGGCCAGGCTGCAGCTGGGCTCCGCAGAGCCAGCTGGGGCTCAGCTTCCCGTCGCCCCGGCACGCAGGGCGGCTTCGAGTACAAGCGGGCCATCGTGGACTGCATCATCAGCATCATCGAGGAGAACGCGGAGAGCAAGGAGACGGGGCTGTCCCACCTGTGCGAGTTCATCGAGGACTGCGAGTTCACCGTGCTGGCCACGCGCATCCTGCACCTTCTGGGCCAGGAGGGGCCCAAGACCAGCAACCCCTCCAAGTACATCCGCTTCATCTACAACCGAGTGGTGCTGGAGCACGCCGAGGTCCGCGCAGGTGCGTTGGGGCAGGCTGCGCCCGGGCCACGGGCACCCGGAAGGACGGCCCAGGGGCATGGGCGTCGCTCGGTGAACGTTCCTGACCTCCGGCTCACCTCAGCAGTTTTTCTGTTTCACTGCATGTAGTCGTTTTCCTTTCTCCTTTTTTCACCTTTCTCCTTTCTTTCTTCGGGTGTTTAGGTTTTTCTTTTTAACAATAGCTTTCTTGAGATATAATTCACATAGCATACTCTCTTAAATGAGTGTGCGCTTCCATATACAGCCATCCTAGTCTTCACTTCACTTTGACTTACTGCCGTTTCCCGCTCGCGCCTGCTCTGAACAGACGCTCCCCAAGCAGCTGTTACTTCCTCAGTTGTAGTTCCTTTTCTCTCACTTACGGTCAGGGAAGGCTTCGCTGCACCTGAGGCCGTTAGGATACAGAAATTGAGGGCAGCTCTCGTGGCCCCTTTGCAGTTCGAGCTGAGAAGGGCTGCTGGGCCCGAGGACAGGGCAGCCTCCCCCGGGAGAAGCGAGGCCTGGACGCTGCTTGTCATGGGGTGTCGGGTTGGGCCTGCGGCTCGGGGCCGCTGGGCTCCGGCTGGCCCGCTCCGAGCCCTGATGCTCATGAGTCGTTTTGCCTCGTGCACGCAGGCGCCGTGAGTGCTCTGGCCAAGTTTGGGGCGCAGAATGAAGAGATGCTGCCCAGTATCCTGGTGCTGCTGAAGAGGTGCGTGTGGCGTCCCCGTGGCCGGCAGCTGCTCCTCCTCTCCGTAGCTGGAAAGGGGGAGAAAACATGCACAGCTGTTGATTGTAGGAAACAGCGGAAGCACAGCCAAGCGTGACGCTGTGCCGCAGAAAAACCCTCCACCTGGCTGTCAACGTGGTGTTTTCTGTTTTAAAAACAGCTTTATCAAGAGATAACTCGCAACCCACACAGTGTCCCCATCTTAAATACATAATGCAGCGGGTTTGTTACATTCAGAGTTGTTTAACCACTACCCCCATCTAAGTTGAGAACTTTTCTCTTCGCGCACTGTGTGGCTTCTGGGATCTTAGTTCCCTGACCAGGGATCGAACCTGGACCCTCTGCAGTGGAAGTGCAGAGTCCTAGCCACTGGACCACCAGGGAATTCTCGAAAACAGTTTTACCACCGGAGAAGCCGTGTGCCAGCGAGTAGTCCCGAGAGCCCCGCCCCCGCCCCTGACACGGCTGCCCTGCGCCCGCCTTCGGCTGCGGGTCTGCCTGTCCGGACCTGTCATGCGACCGCTGGCGTTCAGCGTGTTGCCTCTTAGGTGTGTGGCTCTTTCACGGGTCTCCAGGCTTCGCCCGTGCGGTCACACGTGCCAGCACTTGCTGCCTTTCTATGGGCAGATACTCCTGCGTGGCGTGAAGGGCCCTCGTTTGGTAATCCGCTCAGTCCGTAGGCATTTGGCCCGCTCCCGGGCCGCGGCGGGCGTGACTCGCGCTGCTGCGAACGTTCTTGCGCGAGTCTCTGTGTGACGTGCTTTCAGCTCTTGGGTGTGCGCCCAGGAGCGGAATCGCGGAGTCATGTTCGAGTCCTTTCTGCCGTGTGCTGCAAGATACAGGCGCGTGGCTCCCTCCCTGGGTGGGCTCTGGGAGAGGGTCTCGGGAGAGTGCATGCCGCCACCCCTGCGCCTCTGACACCCGCATCTGGTGATCGGGGCGCAGGGAGCCCTGCCGCCTCTCCCCGCAGCGCCGCCTGCGCCCCGCGGCCGCATCAGGAGCGCCCTGTGTTCTGGCCACAGGTGTGTGATGGACGACGACAACGAGGTCAGAGACCGCGCCACCTTCTATCTCAACGTCCTGGAGCAGAAGCAGAAGGCCCTCAACGCAGGCTATATCCTGAACGGTGGGTCCTCCCCTCCCGGCCCCCGCCCCAGCCGCGCCCCCGAGCCGCGGCCTCCCCGGGCGGGGCGCCCTCTGCTGGGCTCCCCTGGCAGCTGCAGGGCTTCACTGTCCTCTCGGGAGACCGGGCGCGAGGCTGGGAGCAGCCCAGGGAGCTGACCTCCACGTGCCGAGTGCCCCCGCTGTATCCCAGCCCCGTCCTGCGTCCGTCTGCCCTTCGCGGCAGTCCTGCGGACGAGGGTGTCCTGAGAAGTGGGGGCCCGGCGGCCGCCGGGGTTTTCTCGGGGTCCTGCAGCCTCGACCCCCGGACCCGCGTCTCGCTCTGGCCTCTAGGTCTGACGGTGTCCATCCCGGGCCTGGAGAGGGCGCTGCAGCAGTACACTCTGGAGCCGTCGGAGAAGCCCTTTGACCTCAAGTCCGTGCCGCTGGCCACCGCGCCCGTGGCAGAGCAGAGGACCGGTGAGGCACACCCGCGTCCCTCAGTGGCCCTTGGGTCTAGGCCTCCTCGGGAGGGTCTGCCTCGCCCGCGAGGCCAGCACAGCTGCCCGGGGTGGAAGGGGCCGTGCTGCGCGGAGGGAGTTAGCCCGCCTGCCTCTGGCCCCGGGGGAGGAAGCCACCTGCACACAGACAGTGGCATGCTGTCTCCCGTGCTCCGAACTTCACACTGAGGGGTGGAAATTGCGCTTCCCGAGTGACAGCGCTGTGGTCGACGTGCCCTGGCTGTCTCTGAGCTGTGGGTCACCACGCGTGCTTGTTCTGCAGAGAGCACCCCAGTCACCACCGCCAAGCAGCCCGAGAAGGTGGCCGCCACCCGGCAGGAGATCTTCCAGGGTGAGTGAGGGGCTCGTGGGGCTCGCGGGCCACGGCTGGGGTGGCGGCTGTTCCCCCAGGAGCCGAGGTCAGGTCTCCCCTGCGTGCTGGCTCTGAGAGTGTTTAGACAGCGTGCTTGACCCTCAGGTGGAGGTGGTTGCATCCATTTGGTATCTGAGGATTTGGATGTTCAGAGAGACTCGGTGACTGGCCCAGTTTGCACAGCACCAAGGGGAGGGCGGCCAGAATTAAAGACCAGCTCCCGCTGGCCCAGAGCTGCCCAGGCCTTCTTCTGAGCGCTGCAGGCCCTGGGCCCAGTTGGTTCAGGGTGTCTGACGCCTCTCAGCGGAGTCGAGGACACGACGCGGGCCTGTGTCTCGGCTCCATTTCTGCTCCGTCCACCTTGTCTGGCAGGGTTTGGTGAGGAGTCCGTCTGTCCCCCTGCTCCTGCATTTCTAAGGGGAGAGGCTGTGTGTCTAGTTGGCAGACCACATTGTCCACTAGATCCCTGCCTTCGAGGCCCAGCACTGGCCTCTCACCCCGGGTGACCACCACGCCGACTCCCCGACTCGTCTCCTGCCGTCCTGCGTGCTCTGCATGGCTTCTGTCCTCTCTGTTTTCTGTCCGTCGCTGCACTAGCGCCTGCCTTCCTCATAGCAGGCTCCCGATAACTGTTGGATTCATTTCAAGTCCACCTTTTCCATTCCACTCCTGAACCTGTCTTCCACCGACACGCCGTCTCTCAGATGTGGCTGAACCGGGACCCTGAGCTGGCTGGCGTCGCTCTCACTGCAGGTTTTCCCTGTGTTCCTTCCCTCTTGCTGCCGGCAGAGATCAGCACGAACTTAGTGGTTTCACTCAACGCTGCTTCACCCCTTGTCCTGAGGTCTGAGTTCAGCCTCTTTAATGGGGGGAAGAGTAGAATAATAATACTGCCTGCCTTCTCCCCCTGTCCCTGAAATCCTGCTAAGTGTAGGGCAGCATATCCTACTGCCTCGGGCAAAGTTCTTTTCCACGTGGAGGTCAGTGTAACCGGGAAGACGAGCAACGGATCTTGACTAGTGGTCCTCAGACATCGGTGTGTGTCAGTCACGAGGGGAAGCTTGTTCGAGATGCAGGATGGGGGCTCTTGCTGCAGAGTCTCTGACGGGCAGGTCTGGGGAGGCCCGAGGATCTGCACTGTTGCCATGCCTGCACCCCCAGGTGTTTCTGGCGCGGTGACTCCTGAGCACAGCTCGGGGAGCACTGCCAGCTGCTCAGTGCCCCGTTCTCCCGGGCACGCGAAGCTGGCCTGCACCAGACGCCCGCCGGCCTCTCTGATCTGGGCTTTCTGTAACACTCTGAATCTGCTCCCTCTCCTCTGGGGCTGCTTGTCCCAACAGCCACGTGTCTGAGAGCAGCCTGTCCTGCCTGGTTCAGTGGCCAGCAGCGCGATCATCTCCTCTTTGTCTTTCCCCGTCTCCCTCTTCTGAGCACCCTTGCTGAGCTTCTGAGCTTGAGGGGGTCTCTGGATGGACGAGGCCGGGCCGTGGGCCTGACGTCCATGGTTGGTCTGGCGTCTGGTGTGGGATGGCGGGGAGGCAGCTTCATGGAGTGGCACCAGCCGAGCAGTGTGAAGGCGGGAGGGCGTGCTCGGGGGTGTCGGGAATCGGTTGTGAGCCCTTCAGTCAGGGAGCCCTGAGGGCCCGCAGCCTGAGGCCTGATCAGAGACCTCGCTGAGCCGCCGGGTGAACGCGCGGCCTGTGGGTTTCAGAGCAGCTGGCGGCTGTGCCTGAGTTCCAGGGGCTGGGGCCCCTCTTCAAGTCCTCGCCTGAGCCCGTGGCCCTCACTGAGTCGGAGACGGAGTACGTCATCCGCTGTACGAAGCACACCTTCACTGAGCACATGGTCTTCCAGGTGAGCCGGGGGCCTCCCGGGGGGCCGGGCGCCCCGACTGAGCACATGGTGTTCCAGGCGGCCGGGCACCCCCAGGCCGGGTGGCTGGAACCCGGCCTGATGCCGGCCCTGCCTCCCGCTGCTGTGTGTCGAGTCCTTGACTCGGGGTCTGTGTGGCTCCCACGTGTCCACGTGGAGATGGGGGGCCTGGGTCGGGAGTCGGGGTGGCCGTGGGGTGAGAGGCGGGGTTCCCGACGCCACCTCTGCAGCTTGGGCCTCCCTACCCCCCGGCTCAGCATCTCAGCCCCTCTGCTCCCTGGTCCAGTTTGACTGCACGAACACACTCAATGACCAGACCCTGGAGAACGTCACGGTGCAGATGGAGCCCACGGAGGCCTACGAGGTGCTGGGTTACGTGCCCGCCCGCAGCCTGCCCTACAACCAGCCTGGGACCTGCTACACGCTGGTGGCCCTGCCCAAGGAAGACCCCACGGCGGGTGAGCCCCCCGGCCTCCTGGGACCCCCTGGGTCGGGTGGGGAGGGCGGCCTGTGAACCAGCCGTCCATCTCCGGTCAGAGCTTCAGCTCCTCGAGGTCGGTCCAGAGAGGAAGGCCAGCCTGCCCTGGGGCTTTGCACACAGCAGCTCATTTCCTCCTCACACACCCTTCGGGGCAGCACTGCTGTCTGTCTTAACCGAGGTCGGGGTAAACAGCATGCCTGCATTCACGAGGCTGGTGAGAGGCTGAGCCTGGGTCCTCAGGAACCAGAGAGGCACACACATGACCATCCAAGTCCACTTCTCCCAAAGAAGCGGGCTTTTCCAGGCCTGGGATGGTGGGCCCGGACGGCACGTGGACGTGGTCACCCTGAAGCATCTCTGCCCGCCTTGCTCCTCCTTCCTCGTGAGGGCAGCTCCTCAGGCTGCAAGCGGGCGCTCCTGCCTCCCCACGCCCGTGCCCTCGGTCCCGACTCGTGGGCAGGCTGGCACGGGCCGCTGGCGCAGCCGAGGCCTGGAGGGCAGGCTGTGGCCGCCCGCCCGCAGAGCGCCCGCCCTGACGGCGCGCCTTCCCTCCCGCAGTGGCCTGCACGTTCAGCTGCATGATGAAGTTCACTGTCAAGGACTGCGACCCCACCACCGGGGAGGCGGACGAGGAGGGCTACGAGGATGAGTACGTGGTAAGCGACCGGCGGGGCCCGCGGGGACGAGGAGGGCTACGAGGATGAGTACGTGGTAAGCGGCCGGCGGGGCCCGCGGGGACGAGGAGGGCTACGAGGATGGGTACGTGGTAAGCGACCGGCGGGGCCCACGGGGACGAGGAGGGCTACAAGGATGAGCACGTGGTAAGCGGCCGGCGGGGCCCGCGGCGACGAGGAGGGCTACGAGGATGGGTACGTGGTTAGCGGCCGGCGGGGCCCGCGGGGCTCACGGCCAGTCTGCACACGTGTGCTCGCTGGTTTCCGTTTAGCCATCACACAAGAATTTTTGTTTTTAACTTAAAAAAGAAATACATGTTCAAGTGTAACAAGAAAACCTGGGAAATACAAAAACAAAGCACACAGACAGGAAAACGCCAACCATAGCGCTGGGGAATGGCTGGGGGAAGGAATCGTGTGACTGAGGTTATTGTGTACGTTACAGATCCTGTTGGGTTCACTTAGAACTGGGGTATAATTTCCCGTCAGTACAAATACTTCATAAACACAATTTTTTTTTTCATAAACACAATTTTTAATGACTTTAAAATACTTTCTTCTGTTGATATATCCTAATTCACTTCAGCTTGTATTCCGTTAACATTGGGCATTTGTGATTCCAAGTTCTACTATTTTTAAGCGCTACATTAAATACCCCTTTCAGTATAAATTTGTATCTCTGTTTCAGATCTATCTTCTTGGGACTAGAAGTAGAATAATTTAAAAAAGAAATTTTTTAAACAATTTTTTTCTATAAGGGTAATTGAGTCAAAGACTCAGGACAATTTTAAGGCTTGTTGGTTCATGCTGTCAGTTGCTTTCTAGAGAAGCGGGGTCAGTTTGTATCTGCTGGCAAGCCTCTGATGCAGTGAGGTGGCCCTTCCGGCCCCAGCTCGCGGGCTAGCCTAGCACCGAGGGCAGGGGCGTTCCTGCTTTGCCCAGGGTGCTGAGGCTCCCTGCCATCTGAGTGCAGACCCCAGGCAGCCTGGGGTGGAGACCGCCAGAGCCCTCGTGGCCACAGGGGCAGCCGCTGGAACGCAGCCGATGGGCACGTGTGTCCTCCCCGGCCCAAGGCTGAGCCAGCAGTGAGCTGAGCCACGGGCAGGAGGCTGCGTGTGAGGCCCAGCTTCTGCCACAGGGGCTGCGTCCGACCTGTGAGCACCCTTCCCGTGCATGGGAGCAGGGGCTCAGCGGAGAGCTGCTGGCGAACGAGCGGGTGCGCGTCCGGAGCCGCCCGGCCGAGTCACAGGAGGCGACTCTGAGCAGTCCTGGCCCCCGCCCCGTCCTCCCAGGCGCTGGCGGCTTCGGAGGGTGCTCTCTCACAGCCGACAGCCCGAGAGCGGACGGCGGGCCCTCCACCTCTGTGGGTTCTGCCTCCATGCATCCAGCCGACGGATGCAAATAATCAGCGGGTTCCAGAAAATTCCCAGAAGCACAACTTGAGCTTGTTACACAAGGCAACTGTTTACATAGTGTTTGCACTGTATTTACAACTGTTTCTGTAATATTTACATCGTATCACATATTATAAATAATAGAGAGGTAACACAGAGTGTAAGGAAAACGTGTGTAGCTTAAACACAGATACGGCACTGCTTTACATAAAGGACTGGAGCCTCCAGGAGTTTGGTGTCTGAGGGCGCGTCCCGCTGAGGGGCCACCACCCGGCCGTGAGCAGCTGAGGACAGGCTGCTGGTCTGGTGGGGCCCGGCCCCGGAGCGCGGCACTCGGAGCCTGCGCGGCAGGAGGGGGCGGGTGGGCAGAGTGCAGCAGAGGCTCTCGGCCGCCTGTCCCTGGAGCTGTAACTCAGTCCACCCTGCCTCCCCCAGCTGGAGGATCTGGAAGTCACGATAGCGGATCACATCCAGAAGGTCATGAAGGTAAACTTCGAGGCAGCCTGGGACGAGGTGGGGGATGAGTTTGAGAAGGAGGAAACGTTCACCTTGTCTACCATCAAGACCCTCGAAGGTAAGCGCTGGGGGTGCCGGTTCTGGTTTGCCTGCCTTTCAAGACCCTTGGCCACTGTCTCCGCCCCCATCCCCCAGAGATCCAGGACACACAGTTCAGGTACATAAAATCATAAAAAAGAGTCGCTCAGTTGTGTCCGACTCTTTGCGACCCCATGAATGAGAGTCCATGGGATTCTCCAGATCAGAATACTGGAGTGGGTAGCCTTTCCCTTCTCCAGTGGGTCTTCCCAACCCAGGGATCAGACCTAGGTCTCCCACATTGCAGGTGGATTCTTTACCAGCTGAGCCACCAGGGAAAGTTCACATGCTGCTTCATTAAAAGCTGCGCACAGTGGGATTTGGGGTTGGGGGAGTGGTGATGGCTCTAAGCGGAGGTGGGATAAGTGGGTTAATAACTCCGGGACTTCACCCCGCAGAGGCTGTGGGCAACATCGTCAGGTTCTTAGGAATGCACCCTTGTGAGCGGTCTGACAAAGTGCCGGACAACAAGAATACGCACACGCTGCTCCTGGCCGGTAAGTGGCCTTTGTCGTGGGAAGGGCCTGGGTGCCGCTGGGGGGCCCGGACATCCAGAGCTTGCAGCGCCGAGCATCACAAGGTGTAAGAAGGCCTGCCAGAGACGTCTCCCCCCGGCGCCTGCTGCCAGCCTCTCAGTGCCCCTTCCCACGGGCAGCCAGTGGGCTACTGCACGGGGCACCGCCAGCCTCTCAGTGCCCCTTCCCACGGGCAGCCAGTGGGCTACTGCACGGGGCACCACGCGCCTCCTGTGACCACAGGACGTGAGAGCTGGCACACACATTGCCCTTTGCAGACGCAAACATTTGTGTACAGGTGGTGGGTACGTTGCTCTGCACTTGGGTTTTCACTTGACAGTACATCTTGAAGAGCTTCCTCTTTTCTTTTTTTTTTTTAACAACATGAAATTTACCAACATAACAATTTTTAGGTGTTCAGTTCAGCGGCATTAAGTACATTCCCGCTGTGTTGCAGCCATCACCACCATCCGCCTCCAGAACTTTCCCGTCATCCCAGACTGCGCTTTCATAGTTTCTTGTGGCTGACCACTGTCTCACAGAACCAGTACATGTACTGATGAACACCTGGATTGTTCTAGTGTTCTGCTCTTACAGACCGTGCTGCAGGGAACAGTCCCATACATACGGGTACACTTAAGCACTTTACTTTGGATGTGTGCACTTGGGTATTTGTAGGGTAAGATTCTCAAGGCTTTACCAGGTCAAAGTGCATTTTTCATCTCAGTAAATATTTCCAGTTGCCTGCCATAGGAATCGTATGCCTTCTCTCCCACACTTCCGACCAAACGGCGTGTTGTCAATCTGTATGGTCTTTGCCAGGCGTCTTAATGGTGTCTCGTGTGGTTTCACTTTACATTTCTTGTATACTCAATGACATTCAGCATCTCCTTAAATGCAGAGTGCCATTTGCATTCCATTTCCTGTGAATTGTTTTCATATCCTTTGATATGAAACATTGTATGTAGTTTTATTTATATCATATATGTTTTCCCACTGGGTTGGTTATTCTTTTCTAATAGGAATGGGATTTTTAAGCACTTCTGGAAATTTTCAAACTTAAACACACGGAACCCCCACGTACTCCTCCAACTGTAGCAACGAGCATCTCTACCCAGATGCGTTCTCCACCCCCAGATTATTTTAGAGCAAACTCCATACATAGACATTTCATATGTAAATGTTTCTGATCCGTTGGTTCTCCAAAAGCTAATGATCCAATACGCTTATCGCACCTGAAACAATGAACGAAGGGAAATTCTTTTTTCTGAGTGTTTATAAACAGAGTTAGGAAGTGGCTCTGCTTCAGTGCCCTGCTCACAGCTGACCGCACCCAAGCCCACAGCGAGGCAGCTCCGTCCCCTGGGTTTGCAGACACCTGCACTGCAATCTTGCCACCATGGGGCTGTCCCTCGCTCTTTGTGCTTTGATGCGGTCAGGATGTGTGAGAGCCTCGGTGATGTCAGACAGAACCATACATGTCCAGTAATTCATCTGGGCTCGGCAGCAGCGTGACGTGCAGGCTGACCTCTGCCGAGGTCACTGATGATGCTGCAGCGCAGAGAGGTGCAGTGACGTGCCCAGCGCCTCCCGCAGCTCCCGTCTCCCCCCAGAGCTGCCTCTGCCCGCTGTGGCACGCCCCCCTCAGCCCAGCCCCGCAGCCCGCTTCGGCCTTACGCGCCTGCCTTCTCTCCCTTGCAGGTGTGTTCCGGGGCGGCCATGACATCCTGGTGCGCTCCCGACTGCTGCTTTTGGACACGGTCACTATGCAGGTGACAGCCAGAAGTTCGGAGGAGCTGCCGGTGGACATCGTCTTGGCGTCCGTGGGCTAAGAGGCCAGCTTGCATCGGACCACGTCCTCCCCTTTCCCCGAACACTACGCAAGAGTTGCGCCTTCCTCCTGAACCCAGTGGAAGCTCCTTTCCAAGCCTGTGTATTGAAAAGCAATTAGGAATCACTGAGGGTTTTTTGTTGTATTTTTTGTTTTCTTAAATTGACCCCCTGCCCCAAACCCCGCTTCTGACAGTGACTCTCTAAACCTGGCATGATTTTAGCTCGTCCTAGAACTTGCTGCCTTGCCTGCCAGGGAAGGGGCATTGCAAATGAATAAAGTGCTTGCACCACCTGAGCTTATCCCCTTCGGAACCATCATCTTATCCCTACAAATAAATCAGCATGTATTTATTGAACGACTGCTACTTCTGCAGACTCGTGATTAGGGGTCCAGCTTCTGTACCTCGAGGAGGCAGGACCCTTTCACGGGCCTGCGCCCTGGCCCCTCACCCTTTGCTGAGGGGATGACAGCAGCGGGTGGGCAAAACCACCCTCCTGTAGGAGATCAGTGAGGTCTGGGGGTCTGGGTGGGCCACCAGGCCTAGTGCTGGGTCTGAGGTGAGGGTGCACTCCTGCTGCTGGAGGAACAGCCCCACGGAGCAGAAGCCTCTGGTTTCTGCAGCTCAGCTTTTAAACCCAGGCCTGGTGGTTTTGCCAATACATCTGTCTTGCCTACTGTTAAAAACATTGGCGTCAACCGTTAAAGACTCGTATTGGGGGTGGGGGGGAAGGTGGGGGCCTTGGAAAGTGTTCCGGTGCCCACTGAAGTTTGAGTGACCTGTGGTTCCTGGAATTTTCCTGGCGGTTTTTTAAGTTTTGCCCCAAACCATGGGCAGTTAGTATGACTGCCAAGTAAAGACGATGTTTTCTGATTTCACCCCCACAGCAACCTGGAGCCCTGGTCCCCGCTGTGTGGAGCAGGGCCCGCAGGCCTCTGGGTGGCATCGCTGGCCTCTCAGGACAGCCTGGCCCCTCGGGCCCTTCCCGGCCCCTGCCCGAGGTTAGCCATGGGGGCAGCTCACCCGCAGGGGCACGGCCAACACGGAGGACGTGGACCCCGAGACTGCCCGTCTCCTTGTCGGGCCCTTTCAGGAGAGCTACGTTCCCGGGTAGTCCCTGGGCACCCTGCGGGAGTGCGTGCGTGCGGCGGGAGCCGGCCGAACAGCCGGCGCGCTGGGGGCGAGGCCTGTCACGGGGCGGGGCCAGGCGGCCGCTGCGGGCGGGCCTTGAGTGGGTGGGGCCATGCGGCCTCTGGGGGCGGGGCCTGGCTCGAGGGGCGGGGGCAGACGGGCCGCTGGGGCGGGGCCCGGCGCGGGGCTGCTGGCGCGCAGAGCGCGACGGGTGAGCTGCGGGAGAGACGCGGCGGGCGCGAGCGAGCAGCGGCGGGGCTCGGCCCTCGGGGTCAGCGGTCCCGGAGCGGGCGGAGCGGGGCTGCGGGCGGCGGGGCGGGAGGTGGCCCGGACGGGGAGGGTCCCTTCCGTCGCCGGGCCGGGCCGGGCCGGGCCGCGGGGCGGGCGGCGTCCCCGGGAGGCGGGCGCGCGGGCCGGGGCTGGGGCTGGGGAGAGGCGGGCCGCGTGGGGCGAGGCCCGAGTCCGACTCCCCCCGTCCCCGCGGCAGGGCCAGCGGTTTGGGCGCCGAGGATGTGCGGCCGGACGTCCTGCCACCTGCCTAAGGAGGTCCTGGCCCGGGCCTGCGCCTACCGGGACCGGCACGGCCGCCAGCGGCTCCCGGAGTGGAGGGACCCCGACCGGTACTGCCCCTCGTACAACACGAGCCCGCGGTCCAGCAGCCCGGTGCTCCTGTCCCGGGTGCACCTGGAGAAGGTGAGCGCCGACCTGAGCTTCTGGGCCGTTTGGGTATCTTAAAGAAAAAGGGGCGGGAGAAGCGCTATGCCCCTTAGGAGTCCAGCTTATCAGAATCTCTAGGCTTAGGGCAGGGTTAAAACTAGTCTACAGCACCGCTGATGTTTCTTGAACGCTGAAGTTTCTACCCTTTCTGCTTGTTTTATCTTTAATTGAAGCTAGGAACAGAGGTGTTCGGTCTGGTATTCTAAAGTTTAATTGCTTTCTTTGTGTTTATAGAATCTACCTCTGTAGTGTTGGAGTGGTCAATAATTTATGATGTTTTGCTTCCTTGCTTTATCTCCTGAGAGAGAGAGAGGGGGAATGTATGTATACATGCAGTGTAGTAAAAATGCTTCATTCCGGAGAATAATAGTTTCTCCATGTCTTAGATATTTTAAATATCTTTGATATGTTTTTTAAAATCCTGATTGTTTCCAACTTGGATTTTTATTCTGTTTGGTCTGTAATGCATGAGTCACTTTATGAAGTTGCTTGAACCCCTGTTGCACACTTTTTTTCTTTTTTAAGTTTTGGCCCCACTATGCAGCATGCAGGGATCTTGTTTGCTCACCAGGGATTGAAACCTGCGCCCCCGGTAGTGGAAGCACAGAGTCTTCACCACTGGACCCCCAGGGAAGTCCCTGTTGCGTGCTCTTTAGAAGCGTTGTGTTTATATGGTAGTCAAAAGATTCATCTTTACGTTAGGAAGATCATATTTTGAAATCGGCGTACGAGATAACTGATTCTTTTGGTTGAGTGAGGCCATTTACATGAAGGTTTACTTGAGCCATTTTTAGTCGGTGCATACTTCCCTACTCAAACTAAAAAAAACCCTTTTAATGAGCAGAAAATCAAAATAAAAGAAATACTATGGGAAACCTTGACTGGGAAAGGAAAAAATAAAACGTTTCAGAGGAAAGCACGATCTGGAGACAAGGATTGACTGCAGTTTGTTAGTGCTTGGCCCTGTTTCTCTTTGTGCCACCTCATTATGGAATGAATGTTAGCTGGAAGAAAACAGGTGTGAAGACAGAAGTGCAGGAAGACTGTGGGTGGCCCCAGGTGACCCAGTCGGTGAGGGACAGCTGGTGCCAAGGCCCAGTCCGCCCTTCCTCTCCAGTGATGCTTCCTGGAGCTCGGCATGGGAAGGTGGGGCTCCTGAACACACGGAGCCCTCCCTGTGAGCGCGGTGCATTTGCTGATGTAATGTTGTGACTCCACATCTCTCACAGATTTTATAAAGAGCGCTACGATTTCCTGATTTTGATAAATAGTTGAGTTTTCGTTTATCTGAAAATGAGAAATTCTGAAATTGTAAAGCCAAAAATAGAACCATTTCGGCTCGTTCATCCACATCATCAAGACCAGCGCCTGTGTGCAGATTGTAATATTTGCATTTGAAACCACCGATTTGCACCCTACTTCCCCTTCTGCTTAGGCAACCCCAGTGCTACCAGCTGTTCTGATCACAAGTCCGAGAGGGCAGAGGAGAAGATGAGTAATACTGAGCAGTATTCTCAGTATTTTGGCTTAGAAGTACTTTCTATTTATCATGCCCCCTATGGGGCAGCCCCTTACCTGGGTTTGGTTTACAGTTGTCAAGTGAACGCACTCAAGTTAAACGTGCTACGTGGAATTTGTAAGAGGACGATCTCCCAGTCTCAGCACTGCTGACACCTTGAGTGAGATATTTGTTGTAGAAAGCTGACCTCTTTGCACTGTGGCATGTTTAGCAGCATCACTGGCCTACTTTGAAACCCCCCAAAATAATACTCATGTTGCTTTCGAGTCACTTATGGACATACAGAGTAGTGAAATATGAGTCCCAAACACACATCAAAGAGATCAAAGCTCCACCTTCTTGTTTCGGCTTTTACACTATAAACAAGCATCTTTTTTGAGATCTGTTTATTGCTAATTTTTTTTTTTTTTTGTATTTCTGTGCTTTTTGCTGGCGATCTCACTGTTTAAAATTGTCCCCAGGTGTAGTGGTAAAGTGCAGGCTAGAATTCCTAAAAGCAAGGAGGAGGTAACGTGCCTTACAGAGAACATGCATGTGTCAGAGACGCTTCACTCAGGCATGAGTTACTGTGGCTGTCGGTCATGAATTCAGAATTAATGAACTGACAATATATGTTAAATAGAGTCTAACATAAAATAGTAAATATGCTGAACAGAAACACAGAGAAGGCATGGTCGTATATGGACCAGTTAATGAAAAGATGGCTATAGGCGCCTGGCCTCCTAACTCTGTATTTCCCCCAGAGCAGCTCTTGGGTTTCCTTAACCCCCTGTGTGCAGTGACTTTGCGGAACGTGACTGCACGTGGAACAAGCATGGACTCTGCGGTGTGGGGGAGGGTTAGCTCATTAACACAGACAAGGTTTGCAAAGAAATGAGACAGGCTCTTGTGAAGAGCACAGTTCAGGCACTCAGTTCAGTTCAGTCCCTCAGTCGTGTCCGACTCTCTGCGACCCCATGGACTGCAGCACGCCAGGCCTCCCTGTCCATCACCAACTCCTGGAGCTTGCTCAAACTCATGTCCATGGAGTCGGTGATGCATTAGCTTGGAACAAAAAGGGAAGCCCTTCCAAGATCCTATCACTGACAGTTTCCCGTGCTCTCAGAACCCTTTGCTCTCAACTCTTTTCATTCGGCTTTTACCTTTCTAGATACTTTTTCTTGAACTGCACTTTTCCCTCATTTCTTATTTTTCCTTTTTTCTCCCCCGGCCCCCCCTCCCACCTCCTGCAGGTTTCATCCTGTGGTTGATATACTTTCTAAGAAATTTCATTCTCATGGCTTCACCAGTCACCTTTATGTAGACTTTGCGGTTTCTTTTTAGTCATAACCTCGAAAAATATTAAACTACCACATGTGTACCTCCTCCATGCCACACATCTAACTAGGGTCTTCTTATGAAGGCCTAATTCTTGCCTTTATTCCGGAGATTGGCAAACCGTGGTCTTCAGATCCAGTCCGGTGCACTGCCTGTGTTTACAAATACAGTTCATTAGGGTTCAGCCCTGCTCGCTCTCCGGCTGCTCTGACATGCCAAGGGTGCCAGAGCTGAGTGGCAGCAGAGAGCGCATGGGCCCAGAAAGCCGCAAACAGCCGCTGTCTGCTCCATTACAGAGAAAGTGCTGACCTCTTCTCCGTACCATGCCGCCTGTCTCCTCAGCTTAAACTCCACACGCTTGTGGGACATAGGAAGCGTCTCTCTGCGATTTCATTCTGGTGACTCAGAAAACCTTTCCGTTTTCTGAGGAATTAGGGCAAGGCCTTGCAGCTACAGTTTGTCTCTTCCCTGGAGTCTGGGGTCTCCAGAGGCAGAAAGCCAGGGTCCTCGGATCATTTCTGTACGTGAAATTTTCTGGGACAGAGCAGCACCCATTTATCTGTTGCCTTTGGCTGCTCTGTTCCTGTAATAGTGTTTATTAACATACCAGAGACTGTAGGGTCTGCAGAGTCGGCAGTGCCTACTGTTTAGCCTTCAGAGAACAGTCTGCGGGCATCTGGTGTAGAGACCTCTCCCCTGTCTCACCGGCCGGCTGTTGGCTCTTCCCTGGGCACAGACTCGTGGCCGGTCCCCAAAGTCTGGGCTTTCTCACACGTGCTGGTCTTAGCGTCGCTGGATTTCTTACACGGCGGCTCGGGGCAGTGAAGGCAGGGTCTCGGCCAACACAGAGGAGGCTGAAAGCCCCTTGTGACCTGGCCTTAGAGAGCTTACGGCGTCTCTGGTGCCACATTCTGTTGGATTCAGTCAAGTCACAGACCCACCCAGAGTCAAGGGCATGGACCATGGACCTCCCCTACCCGCCCCCGCTCACGACAGGAGAGGTCTCAAACGCTTGGGGACCCCCTTCTGAGCTGCCACAGACTTCCCACTGTTAACCTGAAATTCGGCCTGTGGTTTTTCCCCAAATCACACCCCTCTGGGGATGCTTCTCTTTTGCTCAGCAGTGCCATCATTACTTCAGTCTTCCGGCCCTGAAAACCCAGTCACCCCGTCTTCTGTGTCCAGTTCTCTGGTTTCCTGCCTTTCAGATGTCTTTTATTATCACTGCTCCCACCAGACCCACCATACCACTGCAGCAGAACCCCGAATGTACTCTGCTCAATCTACCAGCCCAGTGTCTGTACCGAGAGAATAGTGTGTGCATTTTCATCTGTCAGTCTCATCAAATTCTCAAGGGGCCAGGCACCCCAATAAAGCTTAGCAACCGTATGTTCAGGGCGGGGGCCCCAAAACGACCCTCGCGTTGGGAGGTTGGTTAGAAGAAAGCACGTAGCGTGGCTGCGCTTCATTACAGTGAAGGGATACACAGTAGAATCGGCAAGGGGAACAGACGCAAGTAGAGATCTGGAGAAATTCCTGCCCAGGCTTCCTTACAATCTCTCCTCCCTCCTGGGAGGGACACACCAAGCAAGTTCTTTCTCCAGCAGTGAAAAAGGGAGTAACTCATGTGCAGTGTTTCCGCCCAGAGAAACCCATCGGACACAGGCCCAAGGTTTGCTGAGGGCTGGTGACCGAGGCGCTCTGCCCAGCAAGCAGCAGCATCCCAGATGCCCAGAAGGAAAGCCGGTGCTCAGCAAGAACGTCGTTTCCTGCCTGAAGCGGGCATAGGATGCCATCCCAGTCAGGGGAAGGGGGACGCTCTCAGGAGCCAAGTTCTCAGATGCTGCCTGAGCACCAGCCCTGTGAGCAGGCCCTCCTAAAAATAGCATCCTCAGGCTTGCTGTAGCTTGCTGCACGAAGCCACTTCCTGCCCAGCCTTGGCACCGCCTCTGATTTCACCTCTGGTCCCTCCTCCCATCTCTTCTGTGTCCCAGCCCTGTTCTTCTTGTGGGGTCCAGTCTGAGAAGCCCCTCACCCAGTGCTCCCCCTTCTGCCCCTCCCAAGGAGCTGATTGCTTCCGCAGGCCCCCTCTCACAGATCACTGTCCGCCAAACTTTCCCGGCCCGCCTCACAAGCCACTTACATCGTATCACTGCATGTTGCTCAGTGTCTGCGTGGCCTCACGAGGATGCTGCAGGTCCTTCCGTGTGTCCCCCGGTCGAAGCACGGACCTTCCGTAGGGTGACTGCCTGTCCTGCGTGCCTGGTGAGAGCTGGGCCCCGTGAGGTGCAGGGCCTCAGAGCCTGTCTCTCTGTGGCCGGCATGGAGTCACAGTTTACAGGACTAGACCTCTTTGCACCCCCACCCCCCCAGGCAGAATGTCATCTGTCTGATAAACACGGTTGCCTGAGAACGCCAACCACTCACATCGTGAGAGGCCATTAGAACTGTGGGCACGCAGGAGCTCTCCCTCTTCACAATCATCTACTCTCTGCATGTTGACACTGCTGGTGGTGGTGGTTTAGCCGCTCAGTCATGTCCGACTCTTGGACCCGTTGGACTGTGGCCCACCAGGCTCCTCTCTCCTCGGGATTCTCCAGGCAAGAACACTGGAGGGGTTGCCATTTCCTCCTCCAAGTAGTATGGTGCGTGTCCTCCATAGCGTTTTGCAGGTTCCTTCCCGTCTCCTCACTGCACCTTACCCCTTCCCCTGGCAGGACGCAGACTCGTCCGAGCGGATCATTGCGCCCATGCGGTGGGGCTTGGTTCCCTACTGGTTCAGAGAAGCGGATCTCTCCAAGCTGCAGATTAACACCAGCAACTGCCGCAGTGACACCATAATGGAGAAGCGGTCCTTCAAGGTGGGCATGGGCGCGGGCGCCAGCAGGCTCTCTCACTGCCGGCGCCTTGGATACCTGTGGACAGCCCCAGGCTGTCCCGCTTGCCGCTGGAGAGTGCTGTTCTCTGTACCCCGGTGAGACAGAGCGGGTCTCACCAGGACCACGGCGTCTTTTTCTCCCACTCAACCGTGGGCTGCCGGGTACCCAACCGGAGGTTCTCGTGTAGCGCTCGCGTCGCAGGACGGCTGGACGTCCAGGTGGCTTCTAACCCACGTGTCCCGCCCTCAGCCGCGATGCGGGGACAGAGGGAGGCCCGCCCACGTGTCTCGTGGCGGGCGGGGGCAGTCAGGCATCTCACGCGGCACCCTGCTCACCCTCCAGGGAGCGGGCACAGCCACGGGGCTTTACAGCCCCACCTCAGAAGTCCCAAGCATTGCTTCTGCTGTGTTCCTTGGTTTATCCCGACCCTGCCCAAGGTCACCGACGGAGGGGACGTCATCGCATGTGAATCCTGCTGGGTGGGGCTCGTTGGGGGGGGCGGCCAGCTTTGGATACAGGCTCCACAGCACCCATTTCCTCTTCAGCACATTATTTAATCTTCCCAACACTTGTGTACGTGCGACTTCACACCTATAAAACGCAACGTGCAGAGGAATTACCGCTCTGAGGTCGCCCATGCTTTCCCCCAGGTGCCTCTGGTTAAGGGGAGACGCTGTGTCGTCTTAGCGGACGGATTCTACGAGTGGCAGCGACGTCAGGCCACGAACCACCGGCAGCCCTACTTCATCTACTTCCCGCAGATCAAGACCGAGAAGGTAGCAGCAGCAGCATGTCTGTCTCTGCTTGGCTCTCCGGGCTTCTTGGATGTTTGGTTCGGTGGTGTTCCTGTTTTTTTTTTCCTCAGCCACAAAGTATCTATTCAGATTTTTCTTCTGTGCCATTATCTCTTCTTTCTGGGATTCTCGTTATACGTGTTTTAAGACAGTGTTGTGTCGTCCCATAGCTTCCAGATGTCTTATATACTTCATTCTTTTTCTCTGCGTTTCAGTCTGGGCCATTTCTACTGATCTGTTTTTAAGCTCACTCTTCTCTCTTATTTACTCTTGAATCTGGTCCTGTTGATTTCCGCATATCTTAGCAGTTCCTTGGTTATCTGGCTGCTTTGCGTATCTTAGAATTTTTCCACTGGTTGCCAGACACGGGAGGTAGGAAAGAGACTGAGACCAATAATTCCTGTGTCTGGACGAGGACATGTGTATCCTCCCTTAGGCTGAGTTGATCTTGTCAGGAGCTGGTGGGCTGGACTTGGGTCTTCTCGTGCACCAGAGGCTTTCACTGTCTGTCTGGTGTCGCCCCGTGTTCAGGGTGAGGGCTAGGTTTCCAGAGGGTTTTCCTCAGGAGCCCTGCTCCCCGCGCTTTGAAGCCCTCGGGATGCTCTCCGCAGGCACCCGCTGCCGCCCGTCACCCGGAGCCTGCTGGTCGCAGAGGCTGCAGTGTGCTCTCTGCTGTCCGGGTCCGGCCTCGTCCTAAGTGGAACGGAGCCCTGGCTGGCGGGCTTTCTCGGTGAGCCTGCTCCTCCCCAGGGGAGCAGAGAGCTGTTCCTGTCGTCCTTCTGCAGCCTCGGCGGGGCCTCCCTTGACTTAGGAGTGACGGGATCTATCCCTTCGCCCCTGGCCCCTTCGTGCTCCTCGGAGGAGAACAGCGGGGTGAGGCTTCTCGCCGTCCCCGGCCCTGTCTCTCTTGGGAGCACCCGTGGAGGTGGTCTGGATGCCTGCAGCCCTCTCGGGCGAGCCGGCGCCCTGCAGAGGGCAATTCAGCAATCATCTTATCTGAATTCTTAGCTGCTGCATAAAGGAGGCTTCGTTTGCCTTCCGCCACCACTGGGAAGCCTGCAGTAGGGCCTTTTCTCCCTTGGGTGACCCTGACTTGGCCTTACAGTTCAGGCTAAGTGGCTGCCCCATGACCTGAGTGCTCTGATGAGTGTAAGGAGAGTTATGGTTACGGAGAGTCTCCACCTGTTCTTGTCGAGAGGGAGGGTGGAGGTGACACTCTCTCTAGCCTTCGGAAGCTGGGGACTGAATCTTGAAGGCAGTAGGAGTTGGCCCATCGAGGGCGGGCAGAAAAGACCTTTCGGGCAGAAGAGGAAAGTGACGTCCTCGAGACTGGAGGGCTGTGTTTACAGACAGCTGGGTGGGCAAGTTCCCCTGTACGTGAAAGCTGGAATGAGGCTCCAGATCCCGGCAGGCCTGAAAGCCCACGGGAGGTGTTAGCCTGTATCGAGACATCGTTCGGGAGCCATAAACCTGCCTCGGGGAGGGTCCGCGGCGCAGCCTCTGTGCTCCTCTGATGGCGCGTCCGGGGCCTCTGTGCTGCAGGCGAGGCCTGGATGCCGGAGACGATGGCCATGCTGTCGCCTGCAGGGCAGGGCTGCTGCGGGGTGCCTGACCTGCCGTGGGTTTGCTTCCAGGCCGAGCAGGTGGGTGCTGTGGCCAGCCCCGAGGACTGGGAGAAGGTCTGGGACAACTGGCGGCCGCTGACGATGGCCGGCATCTTTGACTGCTGGGAGCCCCCGGAGGGCGGAAGCTGCCTCTATTCCTACAGTATCATCACGGTGGACTCCTGCAAGGTCATGACCGACATCCACAACAGGCAAGTCACACCCCCGCCCGAGTTCAGAGGGGCTCAGCGCAGGCTTTGTCGTCTCTGGGTTCAAACAAGCAGCTTTCGGAATTCAGGGTTTCTGTATGCACAGATGTAGAGAGTCGGAAACTAAGCCAGTTGCTTCATGAGATATGGGTACAGTCTGCGTGGCTGTAACATGACACGCATTCCTAAAAGTTACCATGCTATGCAAAACTGTACAGTGAAACCCAGAGCTTACAGAAAAGTGGGAATAAGGCGACAACACTTAAACATTTTGTCAGTGACCCAGCTGAAAAAATAATAAGAATCTAATAAAACCCATACCACAGTTTCATGTATTCCCTAGCTAAGAAGTACAAAGAAATTATAGTAAATACAGTACCATACCTTAAAAAGACCTGAAATCAGCCTGTGCCGGAGGGGTCGCAGCTTGTGACTTACTGTGACATGGTGGAAGGAAGGTGATGCAAAATGATTGTCTTTTCCGGTCTTAAATCCTGGGACGTGTTCTTCTGTCTTTGAAATGTTGTTCCTCCGAGGCTGGCCTTCATAATAGATACATGTTTAATCAGAACCAAACGTTCTGATGCGATGGACCGCCTCCCCCAGCCAACTTCAGTGTCACCCCTGGAAATGCCTCAGCGGCGTGCCTGGAGCCAGGCAGACAGCCATCGTGGCCTGATGGAGCCCCCTCCGTGCCGGTCTTCGGTCTCTGTGTACGGACAGTGCGTTCTCTTTATGAGGAAGGCTCCCCCCCCCCCCCCACTTTTTTTTACTATTTGGCTTTCGGTCAGCATCCTGAGAAATCTTCCTGTTGCATCTGTGCCTTCTAGCCTGGCTGCTTGCAGTAGTTCCGGCCGTGGATGTTCCTCTCTTCCAGCCCCCTCACTGTTGTGGGGCCTTACTGTCTACTGCCCAGGAGATTCCACGTGTTCTGTTCTTTCAAGATTGTCATTTAGTCGCTCAGTTGTGTCTGGCTCTTTGCAACTCCATGGACTGTAGCCCACCAGGCTCCTCTGTCCGTGGCATTTCCCGAGCAAGAATACCAGAGTGGGTTGCCATTTCCTCCTCCAGGGGATCTTCCCGCCCCAGGGATTGAACCCGCATTTCCTGCATCGCAGGCGAGTTCTTTACCACTGCGCCACCTGGGAAGTCTGGCTTTCAGGATGCTTTATTATTTCAGCTTCTCCCCAAGACTTAAATGTTTTCCGTTTTCGTGCACTGCTTAGAATGTCTGAACCAGGAAGCTTAGACATGTTTGAGGTGTTGAGTGAGCAGTTTTTTGAACAGAAGAGTTTCCAAGTGCCAAGTGAGAGCAGATCACCACTTTGGAGGCCAGTGTGCGATCAGCCGAGGTGGCCGTCGTGTCTGAGCTGCGTGCTTCATGTGCTCTTAAGGGCTCAGCGCAGAGGGGGGATGTTTGCTGTGTTCACATTGTTTCCTCATAGATAAAACAGTGCATAAGCAAACACAAAGTTTGCATTATGTTTAAGCTGCTCTCTGTCAGTCGATCACACTGGAGTGACTTTTCACTTTAAAGCAAGCACTGGCAGAACTGACGTCCGTGTGACAATTTCACAGTCTTTGCCGGGTCTCGGTGCCCTCGGGTAAGTTTATGACGTTCTGCTGAAAAGAATCCAGCACGGCACGTATTGGATTATCTGTTTTAACCCCTTTGTCCTAAGCATTCCATCTGAAATGATGCTTTTCTGGGATATAATAGTTCTAGTTTTGCTAATTCACCTTAAAGTTCTATTTCATCAAATCTAAGATTTTGTTCCACTATTTTATACAGTTAAGAAAAGTAAACTGCTGCCAATTACTGCCAATGAAGTTGTGATACAGTGCAAAGATGCCATTCATTGTAAATCTAGATTTCAGAGATTTTGAAATGCTATTTAAAAATATATCTTGGGAAGATTCCCTGGCAGTCCAGTGGTTAGGACTCCATGCCTCCACTGCTGAGGGCCTGAATTTGAATCCTGGGAAACTAAGATCCTGCAAGCTGTGTGGTGCAGCCAAAGAATAAAATAATAAACGTATGTGTTTGATGTTTAATATGTGTTTAATTTGTTGAAGTACCAATAATTATTAAAAGTAACATTCATGCATGTATCTCCTAAATTCAACTGTACCACCACCCAATGAAGTATGTACATGCTTTGCACTGGCCTAGAATGTAAAACTGGAAGCTAAACAAGGGCTCTTTTCCTAACGTCTCCTGGGTACCAGGAGTCGTCTGGGGCGGCCTCTTGGCTTTTCTGAGCCATGGTTCCCTCTCGTTGACTGTTAAATAAATAGCTCTCCCTTACATAAACCTGCCTGGGTGGGAAGGCTGGGGTCTTAATCACAGATAGGTATCCTGGGCTTTGTCTCCCCTTGACGTGGCCGGCACTGTGAAGGTCACCAGTCCGCTAGCCTGTGCGCGGGAGGGCACCCGGTTGTAGCGCCGGGCACAGCCTTTGCCACCACACTCTGAGCTGGCTGTCCGCGCTGAGCTCCGTGCCCTGTTGTCCTCGGGGGCACGGGCAGCGTGCGGGGTGCAGATGTGGAGGCGCGCGGCCTGTGCATCGGCTCACTAGACACCCCCCGGTGCTCCCGACCCGTCTTGTGCTCACCCCCAGGATGCCTGCCATACTGGATGGGGAGGAGGCAGTCTCTAAGTGGCTGGACTTCGGTGAGGTCTCAGCTCAGGAAGCTCTGAAGCTGATCCACCCCACGGAGAACATCGCCTTCCACCCAGTGTCGTCCATGGTGAACAGATCCTGGAACAACGCTCCCGAGTGTCTGCTCCCGCTCCACCTGCTGACCGGAAAGGTAGGGGCCTGGACGCCCGCCGGCCCTGCCGGGCGCTCTGTCTGCGCCGAAGGGCCTGTTAGTGCGTGCTGGGACCTTCACAGCCAGAGACTGAATCCAAACCACCCATAGTTCTTCCTTGCGCGCAGCAAGGCGGCCCAGGGCCGTGACTCTCAAGAGCTGGCTGCGGGTCGGCCCGATGCACGCCTGTCAGCGTTGAGGCTGGGCTGGGCCTTCTGTACCTCTGGGAAGCTGCGCGGGGGGGTCTGATAAGAAGCCACCTTTGAGCACTCACCTGGAGGGTGACTGTGGAAAGGACAGAGGGCCCCTGACCAGAACCGTCTCTGCTGCCAACCGCAAGGGAGGCGTGTTTCTGTCCGTTTTCTCTGCTTTTCCAACTACAAGATGGGGCATTTCAGTCCTCACTCTCCTTCAGGAGACTGGAGAACATTCCTGCTAGGAACACGAGCTTCTTAGAGTTGGCGGAGGTCACGGGGGTGTGTTTTGAAAGGAAGGTGGACAGACAAGAGGCCTCGGTGACAAGCCCAGAGCGGAAGTTGGCTCTGCTGATACCAGGGATGAGGCGTGGGGGCGGCAGCTGCTCCTCGGTGGCCAGAGGATGGCAACAGCTGGGACCATGGCACCTGCGCCGTTTCCCTTAAAGCTTCTTACATTTTCACACTCACAGTCAGCGCATCCTTTTTCTGTTGGTTCTCTCAAAGCCTTGTATCCCTGGTAGCACTTTTCATTACCTGTCTCTAAAAAAATGCAACTGTAGATACTCATTTTGCACCAGACATGGCCCCATGTCTGTCACGGTCTTCTCTGCAGAATTCACGCTCTGGAAAGCTGGCGTCCTGTGCTGGGCTCGGGTGCAGGGCGCAGCCAGCCCCTCTCGCCCGGCCTCTTTCTGAGGGCTGCGTCTCCAGCTCGCTCCCTGCACGGCCTGCTCAGGCTGAGTGCCGCTCTTCCTCTGAGCTTGCTTCATTCTCTGCCCTGGTTTGGAGAGCCTGCCCGCTGTCTTCTCTGGCCGGTCTCGCCCAGCACGAGCTGCCCCCTCTCCCTTCCGGCCCTGGGAACCCACCCTGCTCCCTCCCTCGTGCCCCTGGTCACATCTCCGTGCCCAGGTCGGTCCCTCGCACAGTGCCTCTTCCCTGGTTTCCCAGGAGCTCGAGCTGGGGGTTTGAGCTGCCACTGCTTTCTCCTAGGAGCTCAAGGCGAGCGCCAGCAGCCAGAAGATGCTGCAGTGGCTGGCCACGAAGTCACCCAAAAAGGAAGAGCCCAAAACACCCCAAAAGGCAGAGTCAGATGTGCCCCAGTGGTCCAGCCAGTTCCTGCAGAAGAGCCCACAAACCCCCAAGCGAGGCAGTGCCGGCCTCCTGGAGCGGTGGCTGAAGCGGGGTCAGGAGGAAGAGCCTGCGGCCAAGCGGCCTCACACGCAGTAGCACAGGCCTTCCGGAGACCACGGCCGAGGTGCTCGGCGCTCACTGCCGCATGGTCAGAGGTCGTGTGTGTGTGTGTGTGTGTGTGTGTGTGGAGACCACGGCCGAGGTGCTCGGCGCTCACTGCCACGTGGTCAGAGGTCGTGTGTGTGGGGGGGAGTTCCAAGGCTGAGCGGTGTGTGTGTGTGTGTGTGTGTGTGTGTGTGTGGTGGGAGTTCCAAGGCTGAGGGGTGTGTGTGTGTGGAGACCACGGCCGAGGTGCTTGGTGCTCACTGCCGCATGGTCAGAGGTCGTGTGTGTGTGTGTGTGTGTGTGTGTGTGAGTTCCAAGGCTGAGGGGCGTGTGTGTGAGTTCCAAGGCTGAGATGTGTGTGTCTGTGTGTGTTGGGAGTTCCAAGGCTGAGATGTGTGTCTGTGTGTCTGTCTGTGTGTGTGTGTGTGGTGGGAGTTCCAAGGGCGAGAGGTGCTGCGCTGAATCCTACTGTGATCACAGGTTGCACTTGGGGTGGGAGGTTGGTGGTGAAGTGGCTCCCATCATAGCTCAGTGTTAGTTCAGGGTTTCGGCCTCCCGGGGCAGTGCGTGCTGGCTGTGACCAGGACTGCCGGATGGGATGGGCTGGCAGCCCCCATCAGCTCCGAGAGAGGGGAGGGAGCTCTGGCCCACAGCCCTCGCCGGGTGGCTGGGCGGCCAGGTGGGCCCTCCCTCCGAGCCCGTCCCTGCTGGCGGTTCTCAGCAGAGGCTGTATTCTGCTCAGCCTGTGGGCTCTTTCAGTGTTTGGGAGTTAGGTTCTTAAAACATTGTCTTTTTCTCTGAATGAACTGTATTTGATACCCTGTCCAGAAAATGCTGCCGGGGGGAGGAGCTCTGATCTGTTTCCTCCTGGCCACGGTCCCGGGGGATGCTTTTGTCATAAGCATGGGGCACTGGGGTCTTTGCAGGCAAAACTGCTTTTTTGGAAACAATAAAAAGACTTAATACCTGGAAATTGTCTGAATCCACTAACTTAAAGCAACCAGAGTGCCTGCCGAGCAGGAGGGGCTGCGGGGCCGGCGCGCTGGCCGGGCGCGGGCCGTGCCCCGGCTCAGGTGCGCAGCGCCCGGGGTCAGGAGGGCACGGACGGGGACACGGGTGGGAGGCGGCCACCCGCCCAGCCTGGTCGGCGCCCCCGCGTTTGCTCTGCAGGCAGATGTCCGTCTGCGTGGCTGTGGCCGTCCGTCCGCCTCGCCCAGATGCCTGCGTCCGCGAAGGCAGGATGCGCGCAGCCCTGCAGGCTCACCCGGGCGCCGCGTTTGGTTGGGGGGCGCCGCCGAGGCGGAGGGGTCCCCGGCTCCAGGGCAAGCCTCTAGGACGTCCACCCGGCCAGGACCGCCCCGCGGCCGTCCCGGCGGCTGCTGCTGCAGACGGGTACCTCCGCATCCGAATCCCGGACCGTCAGCCCGACCCGGGTCTATGCAAATCAGGGATCGCAACGCCACCAATCAGAGCGGGGCCCGGCGCTGCTCCTGCCAATGGCGGGGCCGGGGGCGGGGCCGGCGCGGCCCGGGCTCCCCGGTTCCTCTTCCGGGGCCGCGGAGGGTGGGCTGGAGCCGGACCCGTGGAGGGGCGGGCGCTTTCTTGCAGCTTCCGTCTCCTCTGTGCTCTTCTGCTTGGAGTACGAGATTTTACAAATACAGAGAATATACAGGAATGTCGACTGTAAGACTTTTCTGTCGTATTTACTTCGTTTAGTAGAGCAGCAAAAGGGAAATGCCCTCGGTTTTTCGCACTCACTCCCAGAGTCTGTGTGCTTTTCATTCTGGTTTTTATACCTCGACATAAATGTGATGTTTAAAGGCGCATTCTCATGTCAGCACATGGTTTTGTGATTTTCAGGTGTACGTTAACGGCGTCACGGGCATTTCCTTCTGCAGTTTTCCCCCTGTCTGAAGCCTCAGCGTTTCCAGGCATTGCCAGGTGGCACCCCAGGTTTTCACTGGACTGCCGTTTTCTCCCCTCTGCCAGTCCTCACTCCTGCTTGTAAGAATCAGGTCTCAGAAGGGCAGCCTGCTCCTGCCCGCCTCCAGTGGCCACGGAGACCAGGCCCTGCCATTCTCCCGGCAGGAGGGACAGTCCCTGCACGGGGCTCTCTGAGGCCTCCCGTGCCGCGTGGGCACACGGCTTGGCTCCAAGCCTCAGAGGAAGCAGAGGGCCGCCTAGACTCCAGATTCTGTTGCAGTGGACAGATGTCTCCCCGACTCCTGTCTGCAGTCCACCTGGCTCCATCGCTTCCTGTAAAGCTGTGTACCTGAAAAGCCCTGTGCATCCAAGGAGAACAGACCCAGGCGAGGGAGGGACTCGGCCCACAGGGGCAGGTCGGAGGGGAGCCTGGCCTGGGTCTCAGCTTGCAGGGTGAGGACAGGACCCTGCTTTCTCCCGGGAAGCCCCGAGGGCAGGCTGGTGATGGGAATCAGGGTGATGGCTGACCTCAGCCAGGAGGAGGGTAGAGCCTCAGTCCTTGCGGAAGGAGGCCTGGCTTGGGCTGCGTGGGTGGCCCGCAGTGCATCCAAAGCTGCCCCGAGGCGTGGTTTGTCCTTCTCTGAATCAGGACAGTGGGTGCTTGCGGTTAACTCCCAGGAGCCCACGGCAGCAGGTGCTGGTTGTTGGGGAGCCGACGCCTACCGCTGTCAGGGTGTTGCTCCTGTGGAGAAGGGTCCTGAGGCTCCAGGGAAGAGACATGCTGCAGACTTCATGGGCACCACTCCCAGTGGAGGTACGGGGAGTCGGGGCTGGGACAGGGCCCCACTGCCCCACTTTTCGCCCCCGATGGAAGCAGCCAGGAGAAAGAGAACACTTGGGAGAGGCAAGAGGAGTTGGGCGAGAACAGGGAAGCAATACCCGGAGGTGCACAGTGCAGGGCTCTGGGGGGAGGTGGTCACCTGGGGTGCAGGCGCTCAGCAGCGGCAGGCTGAGCTCGTCACCACCGCAGCGCTTGCCTCTGGCTCCTGCTCCATCAGGACACCACCATCCAAAGCCATTTGTCTCATGAAACAGCCAGAACCACCCAACCCTCAAAGAAGATCAAACTGTGATCACACAGGTGGGGACCACAGGCCACACCACATCACACGTGATTTTGTTTGGCCTAGGAATTTATTGTTTGCTGTGGATTTTGTTTATTTTGTTTTGGTAAAATCCACACGGTGTAAGGTTACCATCGCACGCGTTCTTCAGTGCACAGTCCTCTGCTGTGAACAACGCTCCCACTGTTGTGCAGCCATCACCAGCATCCATCCCCAAAGCCTTTCCACCTTGCAAACCTGAGATTCTGACCCCGTCCCTGTCCCAGCCTCTGACACCCACCATCCTGCTTCCTGTCTTTGTGAACTTGACTCCTGAAGGCCCTCATGTAAGTGGGAGCATGCTGGCTTGTTTGACTGAGCGCACTGTTTTTCAGGTTAATCCCTGTTGTCGCCAGTGTCAGAACTTCCTTTTAAGACAATAATATTGCATGGTGTGTTGAGGCCACACTTTGTTCATCCATCAGCCACTGATGGACCCCTGGGTTGCTTCCACCCATTGGCTGTTGTGGCTAGTGCTGCTATGAGCACAGCTGCGTGGATCTCTGAGTCACTATTTTCAATTCTTTTGGGTGTGTCCCCAGAAGTAAAATTGATGGCTCAATTCTATGTTTGATTTTTTGAGGAACCTCCATACTGTTTTCCAATAGCTGCATCATTTTACATTCCTACCATCAATGCACAAAGTTCCAGTTTCAATTCCACATTTTAAAAGCGGGAGGTTTCACATGCACACACACAAAATGTATAGTCTCCACATAAAAACTTCTCAGGAGGTGCCTCTGATGACGGAGTCCCGTGTGGGACCACAGGCAGCTGGGGGACCCTGCTGCCAGGCTCCCTGGATAACCCACTCCCCTCCCTGCCTCCAGAGGGCAGCTCAGAAACTTGCAGGTGCTTCTGCAGTGTCTAAGAAAGCTCTGGCTACATTCTGCCCCGCTGTTGCCTGGAGACCATCAGAAGGGCTCTGGGGCCTGTGCACCTCTGTTTGAGAGCCTGGTCCCGGCTGGAACCACCCACCTGATGGTGGAGAATCATGATCTCTTTGCACGGCTATGGCTGGGCCGCATGGGGCTGCCCTCACTTGTATGTTTCCCTGCGGGGTGGCCACAGGCAGATTCTTGCCGGATTCGGGAGGAAGCCGCTGCCATGGTTGCCGGGCTGCCCACTTACCTCCTCGGTGGGAAGCAGGATTCTCAGGGTTCCTGATTCCCGGGCCAGATGTGGACATGTTCACCCCTGGACGAAGAGTCTCAGCTTCTGCAGGACAACGACAGCCCCGTCGCCAGGGTCAGAGGCAACATGTACTTGGGTTTCAGTCCTGTGCTCAGCACCAGGCGCTGTCCTGGTGGAGGACAGCTTGAGCCAGAGTTGACTGGGTCAAGACCCCATTCTACGGGTTGCTCGGGCAGTTTGGCCTTGAAAGGGGCCTTTGCAGCATCTGCGCAGCCATCTGGGGCCTAGGAAGAGGCAGGATCCAGAACACAGAAGCAGACCTGAGATCTGAGGAGGTTCCCAAAGAGGCAGGTCCCAGCCCAGGGAGAGGAAAGAGGTGGCCTCGCAGGAGAGAGAGAACTGCACATCCAGAGGTGGTGGAAAACCTGAGACCCCAGCCAGAGGGTCAGACAGCCCTGCTCAGCAGATGAGTGAGCAAAAGATATCTCCTTCAGCTCTGTTTATAGATGAGGACACTGAGGCTTGGAGAGAGCAGTCTTGCCACAGACATCAGACGGTGTTGGAGCCAGGCCCAGAGCCCTGCCCTGCCACTGCGGGCGCCCACTCCCAGCCCCACCCAGCCCCTGCCCTGCCCGGCGGATGCAGGCCTGGGCCGTGGCCGTGCCCCTGGTCGCTTGCCTCCGTGCTGTAGTGCGGTCACCTCATCCAGGAAGCCCTCCTGCAGGGCCTCGCGGTGTCACGGGCCTTCAATGTTTATCTGGAATTGAGGCCCCTTGAGGCCAAGTCCAAGAGACACAGGAAGTGGATCCCCCTTCTCCACCCTGCCCCTGCCCCCTGCTCTGTGCAGGAGCTGAGTGTGGTGTCAGAGCAGAAAATAGACCTCCCACACCAGTGAGGTGGGTGTTGGAACACCTCCCTCACGGGCTGTCTTGAGGCTAATGTCTGCAGCCTTCCTTGGGGTGCCAGGCACACAAGGGGTGTTTCTTCAACTTCAGGGTGTGGGACCCACCCACAGAGGTGCCGCTCAGCTGAAGGGAACTCGGGCAGAGCTGAGGAGGGGCCTGTGGTGGAGTGCAGGCCCCTGGGAGAGCATGAGGGCTAGGGTTAGGCCCCTGGGAGAGCGTGTGTTCGATTTTCACGGGTTTACTGGAGGCCGCGCAGGAGCCGCTCTGTGGTGTGGGGCCCAGCTTCTCACTGCGGCGGCTTCTTTTTGCTGAGCGTGGCCTCGGCAGCTGTGGCCCACGAGCTTCGTTCCTCCACAGCACATGGGATCTTCGTGGGCCAGCGATAGAACCTGCGTCTGCTGCATTGGCAGGTGGATTCCTAACCACTGGACAACCAGGGAAGTCCTGCGTGAGTGGTTTTGAGGAAGAGCAATTTGAATGGATGACAAGGTCCAGGAAGTGGGCATGGGGGGATAAAATGAGCTGAAGGAGTGAGACTGGATTGCAGGTAACAGAAACACAAGTCAACTAGCTTATGTAAAAAGCAGGCATCGGCTCCTGAACAGCTGGCTCTAGGTAGCTTCAGGCTCAACTGGACCCGGGCCTTGCATGAACACCCTGAGGTATCTCTTTCTCTGTCTTGGCTCCTTTTCCAGGTGGGCGTTCTCCATGTGTTGACAAGGGTGGCCACCGGCAGCTCTGGCCCAATGTCCCTACCGTTAGTGGTCCTGGGCAGAAGAGCGCTTCTCTCTCACTACTTCGATTGACTCACTGAGGTCAAGAACTCATTTCGCCAATCGTTGTGGCCAGGCAACAGGGTGAAGAATCATCAGCCAGGTCTCTGGTCACGTGACCATGCTTGGGGCTGCAAGGGTCAGACCCCAGAGCATTGTGGCTGGAGAACAGGGAGCATGACTTCGTCCCTGGGAGAAAATGAAAGTGCTTTTTATCGTCAGAAGAGGCGCGCCAGTGCTCCTGGAGAAACAGGCCTTAGCATGGAAAAGGCAACAAGCCAGGGGCCAAGCCTTTAAAGAGCAGAGGGGAGAGGGTGACAGGAGACGTGGGGGCGGCCTCAGAGCTGGAGGCCACTGGAACTGGGTGGTGAGCAGTGCACAGCCGATCTAGGAGGAAAGTCTGGGAAGACCATGCAGAAGGGCTGACCTGCAAGGCCACTTGAGGGTGTGGCGCTGCAGGGAGGTCGTCGAAGGGTGGAGTTAGCAGGGAAGGAGCTTGGGTCGGGGGAGCTCTGCAAGACGAAGCTGCTTGATGTGAAGAGCTGGGCCAGAAGAGGTAAAGATCGCTGCCCCGTCCCCGCAGCCCACCCCACCAAAACCCAACCTCAGGGCCACCTACGAGAGGGCCAGAGAATGAGTCCCCAGCCCGAGGCGTACTTGGACAGCTAGGGTGAGCCAAGGTGGCATCTTGCTCAGGGAGAGAGGATGGAATCTGAGGGCTCACTTTTAGTGGGTTAGGAGCACCATCCCCTGGACCCTGGGGAGGCCAAGGCCTCTCAGGGCTGCTAGCCTATTGGCTGGCTCTGCAGACAGCTTGGGACTGGCCCGGTCTGGCACGGTGGCCCTGCGGCAGGGTACTGGGCACAGTGCCCCCCAATCAGAGCTGCAAAGGAGACGAAGCCGTTGCCAAAACCTGGGCTGGCAGAGTGGGTGTTTTTCCCAAGAATCCAGACAGCCACTGCCAAGTCCAGCATTCCTCCTCCACCCCGATGGAGGCCTGGTCACTTTAGAGATGACGTGGTTCCCTCCCACCCCCAGCAAAGCGTGGGTAGGGCCGGCACCTGAGCTGGCTCGGCCCCAGACTGAGCTGGGTGCTAACACTGGCAGCTGGCCCCGCAGCAGGAGGCAGTGCAGACCCCTAGCAGGGACAGGAGGTCGAATAGGCACGGGTGGCCGCTTGCCCGCCGTGTGGAGGGTCTATGCTGCCACCCCTCCCTGTGTTCCAGAGGGCAGTGGCTGCCACTGGCAGCGGCCAAGTAACTTGCTGGCCCAGGACTCCTCTAGTGGAGATTCTCTGCGGCTGTCATCTAGTTCCAGCCCAGACTTGCTCAGCCTGGTCTGTACACACACACTATTCTGGAATGTTCGCTGGCTTCTCCACCGCTCCAGCGTTCTCCCGTTTTGCAGGGTTGTCCCTTCATAGGAACATATTAAAATAGGCCTCAGTTTACCCTTAACTCTGGATCCCACGTATGCTCCAGATTACAAGCTCCAGGAGGGTCAGTCTTGCTCAGATCACTTCTTGCATCACGGTGGGTGAGCCTGGGTCCGCTGTCCACATCAACAGGGAGCCTCACTTAACTCAAAGTTAACTAAGCTGTGAAGGCCCACCCTGCAGTGACTGAGGGCAGACCCCCGCAAAGCCCCTGCTCCCCCAGCCCCCGGGCCAAACCGCCATTCTACCCACGTAAACCCATGCCTTCTGGGACCCACCGCCCAGCTCCGCGCCTGCGTCTCTAGCGGACTTAGCGCGCCGGAGACCCTCCGCTACCCATCCAGCCCAAGCTCAAGCCCCTCTTCCCTACTCCACGCGAAGACAACAAGAGCGGTTGAAAGGTTTAAACAATTTATTTTGCCCCAAAAATGGAGGCCAGAGGGAGAAAAGTCACGCGCGCTACCGCGCCATTCCTCAGCGCGCGCCCGGAGGCGGGAAGGGGGCGGGGGGCGGGAAGGGCTGCACCGCCCTGGCGTCCTCGCGCGCAGGGCCGGGGCGGGCAGGCACAGCCCGGCCATTGGCGCCCGGGAGCCGGTAACCAAGGCGACAGCCCGGGCCAAGGGCGCGAGCCAATAAGGGCGTCGCCAGGGCCGCTTCAAAAATCTAAAAAGCAAATAACCAAAAAAAAAAGAAAGAAAAAGGCTCCCACGTTGGGGGATGGGCAGGCCGGCGCGGCCCGGGGCCACTGATGTCGGGGCGCGCACGGCGGTTCGGGCTCCGCGCAAAACCTACGTGCACTCTGGGGTGGAAAAGTAGGCGCCGGGGTCCTGTGATCACTTGCGGCCCTTGGGCACTTTGGGGACGCTGGGCTTTGCCGCTTTCTTCACCTTCTTGCCCCCCGCGGCCGCCGCCTTCTTGGCCTTGCTGCCTTTGTCCTTCTTGGAAGCGGCGCCCTTCTTGTGCGAGCGCTTCTCGGGCTGTGGGCCCTTGGCAGGCTTCTTGTCCGCGCGTCGAGGGGCGGCCGCACCCGGGGCCGCCTTCTTGGCCTTGTGCGCAGCGGGCGCCGGGGCAGAAGCGGGCGCCGGGGCTCCGCGCCGCTCGCCGCCGCCGCCACCCTCCAGCTTCTTGCGGTTGAGCTTGAAGGAGCCGTTGGCGCCGGTGCCCTTCACCTGCAGCAGAGTGTCGTTCTGCACCAGCGCCTTGATGGAGTACTTGAGGTAGGTGCGCCCATTTTGCTGGTCGAACCACACCACCTTCTTGGCCTCCGCGTAGATCTTGGCTAGTGATGAACCGTTGCGCTCGCCCAGCCGACGGATGGTCTCCACCACCAGCTGGCTGTACTTGCCCGGCTGATTCTTCTTTTTGCTATTCTTCCTCTTCTTGGATGGGGACAATGAGGTCGAGCCTCCAGCCTTCGCCGCCTTCTTGGCCGCCCCCTCGGCAGTCGTCAGCGGCAGGGCCTCTTCAAGCTCCACAGACATAGTGGCGAGCGGGTTGGTGGCGGGCGGGGCGCGGAAACCCGGGGGCCGTGCCGGGAAGAGAAAGGCGAGGGGCCGCGGGGGCGCCGGGGGGCTGGGGGCGCGCGGCGGCTCCAGGCGGGAGCGGCCGCGGCCGGGCCTGGGGCCGGGCGGCAGGGCTGGGGTGGGGGCCGGGCCGGCCGGAGCGGGGGTCCCGGATCGGGACCGGAAACGGGGCCGGCGCGGAAGCGATCGGAGCGCAGGAGTCCGGCGCGAAATGGCCGGAGCAGTAATCGTTCGGAAGCGGGGAAGTCGGCCTAGCGAGCTGCCGCCACCGCCGCCTACGCCGGAACTTGCTGGGCGTGCGCGCTGCGCTCTGGCGGGGAGGGTGCCGCGCTCCCCTTTTATGGCTCTACGGCGGACCACGTTGAGAACAACAACAGCCTGGTCCGGGGCCGGCGCCAACTTGTGCTTCTTGAAGCCCCTTCCCCGGCCGCTGGCTTCCTAGACCCGGCCTCCCCGGCGCCGCTGTGCCCGTCGCTGTGCACCCCGGACAGGGCCCGAGCCCGTGGCGCGGTGGAGAGGCGACCCGCGCCCAGGGAGGGCTGGCTAGAGGGGAACGGAGGGGCGCACCCTAGGCTGAGGGAGCGCGAGAGGAGGGGGGCACCCCGTTTGAGGCCGAATAGCGCGGGCCCCCAGGGAGGCCCCGCAGCCCGGAGCTCCGCAGCCGACAGCCAAGAGTGCCCCACGGGCCCCCAAGCCCAGATCGCGTCCGGAGGCCCCCGGGCCTGCCCGCTGGACGGGCTTTAATTTGTCCGAACTAACACAGGGCACGCCCTCGCGCGGTCGGCTGGGGCAGTGTGGAAGGAGCCGGGACGCTTCGAGGGGGGTCTCCGCCTGAGTGCAAGGGGAGGGCGGATGCAGGCGCCTTCCTTTGCGCACCCGAGGCCTCCTTAGGCCTCGAGGGCCCAGGGCACCACGCGGGAGGCGGCGGGGAGGACTGCAGGTGCTTCTTTGGGGACATTCCCTAGGCGTCCCCACCGCCGCCGCGTATGCTACAAGTGCCCCCATTTTATGTTGCCTGAGTAGCTTCTACCCTTACCCCAAAGCCACAAGGCGGCTCTGGCGGGGACGAGGGGAGGGGCTGGCCCCCTGAGGATTTCCCAAGGAGGATGGGGGAGAGGTGCGGCTCCTCGTTCTCTGCACCACCACCCCCCCACTTCGTGTGGGGAGCGCAGTTGAGCGGGGACACTCTTCTCTGGGTACCAGGCGGAAGCTTGTGCAAGTTGGTGGCCCTGCCGCTGGGTCCAGTACTGGGGGTGAGCAGGAGGCGTCGGACCATCTTTCTCCAAGCCAAAGGAGCCCCCACTTGGGGAAAGCTGAGACACGCGGAGACGCTCCAGGAGGAGGGTGGATCCCTTTTAGGATGAGTGATTTAGGCCCGATCCTGCGCCCTGCAGTCTCCTGAGGCCCAAGCATTGGAGGAGGGGCGGGCTTGACGGAGTGGGGGCGTTAGAGCAGAACCGCGAGGCCCCTCAGAGGTCTGTGCGCACCCCTGCCACAGCGCTTGCGCTGCCCCGCGTGCTCTCCAGCAAGCTGCGGTTATAATAAGCCCCAGGGGAGGAGGACTTTGAGCCAGGGAAATGTGAGGCTGGTGGGATTTGCAGGGGGACGGGGAGGTCAGAGGCTGGGAACCACAAAAGGGGGCAGTGAGTACATCCAGCAGGAGAGAGAAGGAAGATGGGTCTCAGCGTGGGCTCCTGGAGCCCCTTCCAGCACAGCGGCCGGGAGCCCTGAGTCCAGGGGGGAATGGGGAGCAGTGGTCAGGGGCCTGCAGACACCCAGGGCTTGAGCGAAGACCTCGGGTTCCAGAGATGCAAGGCTGTGTGCAGGGCGAGAAGCTGCGAGATGGGAGAGCCCTTGTCCCCCTCCCAGGGTGGACCAGGGTGCACGGAGGTGGAGTGGGAGCAGGGGCACCCGGGAGACAGCTGGCCCAGGGCAACCAGGTGACTGGTGAGAGGGACTCAGGTCAAAGGGAGAGCAGAGAGTGAAACCAGCTCATCCTGTGGGGGCGGGGCAGGGGTGAGAATGTGAATCTGGAGCCAGTTGCAGCAGCAGGCAAGACTGGGTGAGGGCCCTCTCCCCCGGGCCTGACATCAGACCAGACGTTAGAGGAGGGTGTGGGCTGGCTGGAGAGTGCGGCTGTCCACTGGAGACAGAGGAATGACCGTCAGAGAGAAGAGGACCAGGCTCAGTCGGGTCCTGCGAAGTGAGAGATTTTCTAGAACAGAGGACCTGTCTGCTCAGGGTAGCCCTCAGGAAACCGGCTGAACTTGAGTCACCTGGCCAGCTTCCGACTTCTCAGGAACTCTGCCCGGACTTTTCCTCTTCAGCCCAGTGTATTTAAAAAGATGAAGATGAAAAATCAGGCCATTTCACACGAAACTGCAGTCCAGATCTCAGATTTCCCTTTTTAAAAAATCTGCAGAATGGACCGGGGTCGGGGCAGAAGCGGGGTGAGTAACAGTGGGCTGATGTCCAGCACCTGGCCGGTGAGGAGGGGGTCAGCGGGAGTGGGGGAAAGGCTCTGTGGCCTGGGGGGAGGCCTGGCCATGCCGGAAGGAACACAGGACTCGGAGCGGAGCGTGGACGCGTGCAGGCCGGCAGCGTAGCCCAGACCCCCAGGAGGATGCGGTGCACACACTCCAGAGGCCTCTCCAGCCCCGGGAGCCCCGGGGCTCGGGGACACGGGCTCTGGGCTCCGGAAGCTGGTGGGATGGAGTGGTTTCTTCCCACTGACCTCAACATACAGATGAGGAAACAGGACTGGGCCCACGCCTTCAGGAACGCGTGGCCCACAAACCCCACACTCCCGGGGAGCCGCCTGTCACCCCTGTAAGGACAGGACAGGTGGCGAAGGCCTCCCGTGGCCAATGAAAGAATGACGAAACGTGGGGAAAGGGGCCTCTGCAATTGGCCCAGGGCCTAGGACCCTCAGGGTTCAGATTCCGTCCATACACCGGTGACACCTACATCTCTCCCGAGTGGCAGACAGAGGCCGCCCACCTTCCCCTCGGGGTGTCTGAAGTCTCTCTTCTGTGTCTCCTATTTTCTCCTGCAATCCCGCTCTCCCCCACACTTGCAGAGAGCAGGGGCTGCTCCCCGCTTAGCCGCCCCACCCTCTGGCTCTGGCCTTTTTGTTCCTTGCGCCCGAGGCTCCACCACGCCTGGGACTCCCACTCGGGGCCTTGGCACTTGCCACGTGGCTGGCCCTTTTCCTCCAGAATCCATTCAGAGCTGCCTCCAGGCCCACCGCCCCGCTTTATTTTCCTCATAGCACTTATCCTTATCTGACCCTATGTTGCCTATTTGTCGGGGGGCAAGGGAGGCCCTCTGAGCGCCAGCTGGACTGGCCCTGTTCCCTAGGGCCCAGCTTCCCTGGGGCACACCCTGCAGCAGCAATGTGGTGGCCTGGAGCCCTGCTCCACCATGCACTCCCGGTGTGACCCACCTGCCTGGGCCTTGGGCCGGCTCTGTAGGGGTCCACACACAAAAGGACCAACAGGGCGGCCCCCACACACAGTTTCTGACTGCCTAGGATGGGGCCCCAGGCAAGAGGCCGAGAGAGGCTTGAGGGGTCGCAGCCCCTGTGGGAACGGCCCCGCGGGCTCCAGGGGTGGCGGGAGGTCTGTCTCCCCACACTGTGCTTTAGACAGCGTGGCTGGCTCCAGCCCGGGCCCGCTTTGGTGTTTAAAATGCAAGTAAGAGGCCTTGGGTGCTTTTTAGTATCTAAGGGGAAATGGAATTCACCAGGTGTGAGCTTGGGGAAGGTCGCCTTTAAGATGCAAATGTGTATTGTGAAGCCCTGAACGGGGTGCTCTGGAGGTCTCTGGTCTCCCCCCTCCCCCACAGCGGCGGGTGAGCCGCCCGCAGAGAGCGGATGGCTCTTGCTGAGGCTTGGAGGAGGCAGGACGCGGGATGGAGAGGCCAGCACACCCTGTCCCCAGGGGCAGTGGAGTGAGCCCGGAGGCCCTGGCTGCCCACCCATCCCCGCTTCCCCTTGGGGGGCTTCCCCTGCTGCAGACACCCCCGAAGTGCAGCTGTGCTTAGAAGACTGTAAAGAAGGGACGGGCGCCACTCAGCATGGCGGGACCCACTGCTGCCGGGCACTGTGTGTCGGGGTCACAGTGAGAGCGGCTCCCCCGGGCGGGGGGGGGGACTGAGGACTGGGAGCACGAAGTGACAGTCCCTCCCTCCCCCCCGGGAGCCGACGGCTGACGCGGGGCCTGGCAGGTGGCGCCGTGTCTGGGAGGCGTCCCCCCAGCTTCCCGCGGCTGGTTCTTCCAGAGCTGGGGAACCTCTCGGTCACGCCACCTTCTCCAGGCCTTTTACTTTAAGAGTTTTTTTTCCTTTAAGAGCCGGGTCCCTTTTTCTTAGTGAAGTTATTCGTGGTAGAAAACCCGACTGGAGGAACAAGGCGGTGTCTCAGTCTCTGGACACGGGTCCGTGTACGGGGGCCTGTGCTCAGCAGCCTCGGCGCCCCCCCTGCCCGCCCCGTCCTGTCATGCCCTCGGAGCATGACAGTTACTGATGTTTCCCTGACTGTCCTTTGATCACCAGCCCAGAATGAGCCGCCAGATTCACTCTTACAAATCCACTTAAGTGTTGATGCCCTGTGACCCGGCAGGCTTCCAAGTGTGCGCCCCTGCAACCCACGTCCCCGTGAGCACCCATCCTGGGCCTTGTGAGTCCACCTGGCCTGGCCTGCGTGTGTGTCTCCCTGCCCCACATTTCAGGCGCAGCCATCTGGCCACCCCTGGTGAACTGGCTGCCTCCTCGGCGCTTCCTGGCTCCCCCATCGAATTCAGCCTTTCGGGGGCTTGGATGGCCTGGCGTCCTTCCCCTTCACAGCCAGGCTCTGCCCCCCCACCTCCTTTTCTTCCTTCTGAAACAGCCACAGCCCTGCCTCCCCAAGGGGCCTCTCCTGCGGGGATCTCTGCCTGGCCAGGGGCAGGGGTGGGTGGGCAGGCTCTGGGAAGACAGTGCGGCTGAGTGGCCTTCGAGCCGTGATCTGTGGGCAGGGCAACCCAGGAGCGGCTGGCCCCCGCCTCCCCGAGGGGCCTCCCCTGCAGGGGGATCGCTGCCCGGCAGAGGGGGGCAGGCTTGGGGGATAGTGGCGCTGACTGGCCTTCTAGCCATGTTCCATGGACAGGGAGGCCCAGGAGAGGCTGGCCCCTTGCCCGTTTGCCTCGCTCCCCCAGCAGGGTGTCCTGGGGCCGAGCTGGCCCACGCGCCAGGGAGGCCAAGGCCGGAACCGGTTGTCCAGCCTCAGCCGTGGTAGAGCTTGACACCTCTTCTCCACGGGGCCCCGGGGATCGAGGCCGAGGGGCTGGGGCAAGGTTGCGTCTAGACACTGTTCTGGGAGGGGTGCCGGGGCCAGGGCAGAGCCTGACAAGCAGAGAAATCATCTTCCAGGGTCGCCCTACCGGCAAGGTCCCCCCCCCCCCAGGCTGGGGAAGATAGCAAAGCATTTGCTATTTACCTCATTTCAAGGAGCGGCACCACCCCCTGCCCCAGCAGTAGCACTTGGTTTTATACCATTAATCACTCTCTGAGATTGTCCTGTCTTGTGCCTGTCACCCCCACGAGAGCAGGAATGCTCTTAAGCCACGCCGCACGCGGCCTGACACATAGTAGGCCCTCAATAAATATTTGTTGAATGAATGAAATGGGAGTCAAAGCCGGGCGGGCTTAGGGTTAGCACGAGGGCCTGCCAGGCTCACAGGAGCTCATCTCAGGACGATCGGGCTTGCCCAGTCCTGGGGGTCCTGACTTTCTTTCCTGGTCTAGAACCAACCCCAGCCACCCCTGAAAGCTCCCTAACTGCCGCTTTCTGGGGGTGCCCCTCCTCCTGCCCATCCCCACCCCCCGCTTCCTCCCCCACTCCAGAGGCCTTTGAAGAGAGTCGTGGGAGCTTCTTGCTCTCCCACTCAGGGCCCCCTCACCAGCCACAGCATCCCGGCCCTGCTGACCTCTTCGACTTTATATCCTGGGCTCACCCGGCCTCCCTGCCACAGCCCGCGTCCCAGCACAGCTCCTTCAACCCTGGTCAGCCCAATTCCTTATCCTGTTAAGTTTTCTCTAGCTAAATTATCTTCTGCTTTAACATCTGCCCTCAAGGCCCCTCTGTCTTGTGTAGCCTTGAATATGATACTCTAGAAGGGGCTCTAACTGCTATTTCAGAAGATGGGTGCATGGGGACCCACTTGTGAAAATGAAGCGGCCAGCAAAGCGCACCAGACACCTCCTCCTCCTAACTCGAGAGCCTGACATACACAGCTCTCCAAAACTGAGCTCCCCTCCGCTCCTCCCCTCTCATCAGCCACTGCTTCTTGAAGGAGGTGACCCTCTGAATGCTTTGGGAGCGTCCTCGATGGGTTCAGGGGAAGGGATCCCCTTGGGACCTGACAAAGCTCAGGTGCAAGGTGCAGAGAAGGGGCCAAGCCCACCCAGGGCTTCTGGGTTGTGCTCCAAGTCTGATTCCCAGTCCAGTGCTCTTGCCCTTCCTGACCTCTCATCTGGCCAGTTAGCTGGGGATGGGGAAGGGATGGGGAGGCCAGGCCAGGCCCCTGGATGAGGACGGACGTTGGCCATGTGCCCGCCTTGTCTGGGTGAGAAGGCTGTCTGGGGCCAGGCCCCAGAGCCTGGGAACATTGGGAGGGGACCTGGGGGAGAGCCCGAGCTGTCTCCTGGCCTCTGAGCTCACCCTGGACCTGTCCGCCAGGCACCACCAGCCCCAGAAGACTGAGAAACCTCCGAGTGGGTCTCCCTGTGGCCAGATCTTCACAGAGGCCACCGTTTTCTCAGAGCCCCCCCACTGGACCCCATCAGATTCTGCCCATCCCCCCTTAAACTTAAACCCTCAGGCTGTTTCCCATCGCACTTAGAATAAAATCCAAGCGTGCTGCCCCGTGTCCCCCACCCGCCGCTCCACCTGGGGCTTTTGTGCTGCAGGGCCCTCCTCACCTCCCCTTCTTGCCAATCAGGTGAGTACCACCTCACCCAGGGAGCCCTCCCTGAGCACCCTATCTGAAGTAGGACCACACACCCCCCACCGTCTTTCACTTTTCCAGGTTTTTTCTTCAAAGCACTTGTCACGGCTGTAGCTTCTGCATTTATAGCCCAAGTCTCTCTTCCCCACCCAGCTTCTGCTTGTCTGGCTGTGGGTCACCGGACCCTCTGTAGGCGGCACACGGTAGATGCTCAGTGAAAGCTTGTGTGAATCAATGAGGAGAAAGAGCCCTGCCTAGGAGGAGCTGGGAGATGTGGCCTCTCCTCTCGGCCCCCAGTACTGACTGGTTGTCTGGAGAGTGGAGAGCTAGACGGCAGCTCCCCCTGCCACACACGCACCCTAGGCCTGCGAGGGGCCAGCAGAGGGCTCAAGCGGAGGAAGGGGCATTTCCAACGGGACGCTTGTGGCCTGGAGCCCTGGGCAGGGGGCTCCGAGGACCTGGGGGCAGCCTTCTGGGGGCAGCGGGGAGGTTCTCGGCAAGGACAGTCTTCACCCCCGGAAAGGATAGCGGCCGGGGTCGGTCGGCGGAGGCCTCTGGGTACAGAGGGGAAGGGTCCTCAGGGTGGGGACGCTAGTCTCTGCCCCAGGGGCGCGGGAGCGGGCGCCCAGCCTCCGCGTTTTCCCCAAGTGCCCCCGGCCCTTCGCGCCCGCCCGCCCTCGTCCAGCAGCGCAGGAGGTCTGGACCGCGGGCCGCCGGCGGGCGTTGGGCGCGCGCTCCCGCGGCCGTCTCCATGGAGACCGCGCGCGCCTCCCAACCGGGGCGCCGGCGGACGTTGGGCGCGCGCCCCGCGGCCGTCTCCATGGAGACCGCGCGCGCCTTCCGCGGCGCGGCGCGCGAGCGCGCGCACCCTGAGCGGTGCCAGCCCGGGGAAGGGCCTGGGGGCCTTCCGGGCGACGCGGGCTCGCGAGGCCGCTGAGGGAGCAGCTTTGGGAAAGGCACTGACCCAGAGCCGGCGATCTGGACCCTCGGTGGCGGTCGCTTGTGCTCTGGAGGCGGCTCTGCAGTGAGGGTCCGTGCAGACACCCCGCCCTGGGGCAGCCGCCGAGGGCGTCGTCCCGCCGGCCCCCAGCGCGGTCTCCGGGCTCTGGGGCCTCAGAGCAGCCTGGTCCCCTCTCCTCCCGGCCAGGAGACATCCCTGCCGCCTACACACGCGCGCGCACACACACACACAAACGTGCACGTGTAGATGCCCACAGCAGCTGGCGTTCTCGCAAGACAGCCCTACCCTCTACACACACACGTACATAATGTCCACAGCCTCGGTGGGGATGGCCCACCTGGAGGCGGGCTTCTCCGGGCCTCTGGCCAGGCGACAGCTGACGCACACCTGCCCTGCTGCCACTGCAGCAGTGACCTCACCCGTCCTCCCCGCCGTCCCTGGTGCTGCCTTCAAGGATGTACAGTGGGCACCTGCGGGCCTTGGTCGGGCGGGAGCCCGTGCCCCCAGCACCCGTGGGGACTGTGGCCCCCGGGGACCAGGGCGTCACAGACCCACCTGGTGGTGAGTCAGCAGAGCTGCGTGCTCACGCGGGTGCCCCTCCGACACCTCTGGGCCTCCTTGTCCCCGCTCCCCATTCCTCTGTCTGGATGCTTCTCTGTTCATTTCGTCCCAGGAAACCAAAAAACCCCACGGGAAAACCATAGACAAAAGCACCAACTGTATCTATCCCAGGGCCCACAAACGTACAGGCCTACTTGACCAGGTAGAAAATACGTCAATGAGGCGGTTTGCAAGGCCTGGTGGGCCCACAAGGGGGCGACTGAGAGCAGCCCCCGCTGCGGCGCCAGGCGGGAGGCAGGCTAAATACTCAGAAGACAAGGAGGAAAATGATCTTGCTTAGTATGTAATCTCGTGTGCTTTAAACGTTTGTTGTTTAGTCGCTAAGTCGTGTCTGACTCTTTGTGGCCCCAGGGACTGCACCCCGCCAGGCTCCTCTGGCATGGGATTCCCCAGGCCAGAATACTGGAGTGGGTTGCCATGCCCGCCTCCAGGGGATCTTCCCGACCCAGGGATCGAACCTGTGTCTCCTGTAGTGGCAGGCGGTCCTTGAGCGCTGGGCTGCCTGGGAAGCCCTCCAGTGTACCATCTACTTGAATGTTTGTACGCACTGTGAAACAGCACAGTCCGTCACCGTACACGGTTCCAGGATTTTGTTTTTTTCCTGATGAGGACTTTTTAAGACCTACCTTAATTGTGAAACTGTATGGAGCCTGTAGTTAAATCCGTTTCACCTGTAACCTGCCTTGACGCCTCAAGCTCATTTTAATCGTTGCTGCAGAAAGAGTCGCGTGTCCTCCACACAGCGCGGAGCCTAAACAACACGCCTGCCCAAGCTGTCCTCCAGGAACTCGGCTTCAGCTGCACCTGGTGTGAGCTGAGCCGCGGGACCACGGCCCCTCCAGCTGGGCCGGCACAGGTGTCCACAGGGTGACCTTTTGAAGCCGCAGACGCCAGGGTCTGGTTCCACCTGCGCAGACCCCTGACGGGACGCGATGCACCCACCTTTCCCCGCCACCTCGCCCTGCTTCTTACTCCTGATCCCTTCATGCCCCAGCCCCTTGCCAGCCGGGAGGTTCATTCTCCTGCCTCCTTGCTTGGCTGCCTTGTGAATAAACCCCCAAACCTCGGCGTCTCGGTGGAGTGTGGCTCGCTCCGCGTCAGGTAAACCAGCTTGGTTCAGTGGCGTCAGCAGCTTTGCAAGATGCAGTTAATTGGGCGTGATGAACCCCAGTCACCATCATGAGCGTTGCAGTCCCAGGACCTGGAAGCCTGTGCCTTTCAACCCTTCACCCATGTCACCCCCTCCCCACATCCTCCACCTGTGGCAACATCCAGTCTGTTCTGTGAGTTTGGCTTATTTTTAAAATTTTATTTATGTAATTCATTACATTTTTCACTGCCCCAGTGGGCAGGCGGGATCTTAGCTGCCCAGCTGGGGATGGAATCTTGGTTCCCCAACCAGGTGGCCCTGTGGTGGAAACGTGGGAGTCCTAATCACTGGGCCTCCAGGGAAGTCCCCTGCAGAAACCTCATAGTTGAATTTTTTGGAATGCTTTTTCTGCATCATTTGAGATGATCACATTGGGTTTTCATCTTCACCCTATAAATGTCGTGTATTGCATTCTAGGAATAAATTCCACTTGGCCAAAGTGTATAGGCCTTTCAGTATGCTCTAGCAGTTTCCTTTTTCCGGGAAAACAAGAGAGAAGCGATCCCCTCATAGGACTCAGGTGATGCCCAGGGTAACCTGAGCGGATGTCAGAGCTGGAGGGTCCTCTCATCCCAAAAGGGACCTGGAGTGGGGGGTGAAGCCAGCTCCGTGCTCCTCCGCAACCCCAGGACAAGATGACCCCCAAACAGCCCTTCCGGGGTAGAGGCATGACTGGGGAGAGAGGGAGGGCACGTTTCTGGGCTGACAGCCGTGCTGGCTTCCCATGCAGACCCCACCTCGGTCGGTGGGCCTTTGCTCCCCTAAAGCTGGGGCTTTATTACACCCCTCACCCCTCCTCCTCCCTGGATTCACCGTTAACCCACGGACTAGACAGGACCCTGAGTGGGGGACGGCATTCCAACGCTGTATCCTTCCCGTGGAGCTCCAGCAAAGTGACGAGTTCCCGGCAACAGGGACTGAGGAAGGAGGGCGGTGGGCCGGGCTGACGCTCACGTCTCTTCCGGATGCGGGGGAACCCAGCGGTCGGAGGGAAGCCAGGCAGGGCAGCCACATCAGCCCCAGGCACGCCAGGGCTCCGGCAGCACTGGCTTCCAGCCACACACTTCTCAGCCCGCGTGAGCAGGCGCATGCGGGGAGAAGGCAGGCACATGCGCTGGGGCCACAAGTAGGAGCCGCTGGAGAATTGGATTTTGCACATTTGAAAATTCTGGTGGGATGCATGTAGGGGCAGTGGACCCAAGAAATACAAGTGGGGGTGGTGGTCAGGAGAGCTAGTGCGTCGTTGAGATCCTCAGTTTTTTAAAAATTGTTTAAGTTCATCCTGAGTTTTCGTTGTGCTGGGTCTTTGCTGCCGTGCAGGCTTCTTTCTACTTGGGGCGAGTCAAGGCTTCTCATTGCGGGGGCTTCTCTTGTGGCGGAGCAGACGCTTGTAGGCACCCGGGCTTCAGGAATTGTGGCGCGTGAGCCGGTTACTCCGCAGCATGTGGGATCTTAGTTCCTGGACCAGGGATAGAAACCGTGTCCCCACATCGGCGGGTGGACGCTCAACCACTGGAGCGCCAGGGAAGCCCCATCACACCTTCTTTATCCGTCTGCCAATGGTCGTTCAGGTCGTGTCCTTCCCTCGGCCGCTGCGAATAGCGCTGCACTGAACGCAGGGGTGCGTCTTTCTGAATCACACTTCTGTTTGGACACATGTGCCCAGGAGTGGGCTTGCTGGGTCGTGTATTAACAGTAGTTGTATTTTTAGTTTCCTCAGCAACTCCCATACTGTTTCCACGGTGGCTGCGCCAATTTACATTCAGGTCTTGAATCCGTTTTGCGTATATTTTTGTATGTGTCGTTAGAGAAGGTTCGGATTTCTTTTTTTACATACAGCTGTCCGGTTTTGCCAGTGGCGTTTCTTGCAGGGGCCGCTTTCCCCCACTGTGTGGCCTCCCTCCCTTGGTCTAGCGCGGGTGACCACAGGGGCGGGCATACTTCCGTTTTCCGCCAGTACTGTCGCTGTGTTGATGACCGCAGCGTTGTGCTGGGTTGGCCAAAATGTTCGCTCGTTTCCTTCTGTAAGATAACTCTGGTAGGGCTCAATTCTCTTCAGCTTCATTTGAAACGATTTTGTTCCGTTATATGGTGACAGCTGTTCTATCAGTATGCGTTTTTAAAAATACAAAACTGGTAAATTTTTGTGCAGCCAGTTTAGTATTGAAGATGGGAGGGGAAATAAGCAACATTTTCAGCACAGTGAAAGTGAAAGTGAAGTGAAAGTGAAGGTAAAAACACAACTGAAGCGCACGGAGAGCTTTGTGCAGTGTACGGACAAAGTGTAGTGACTGACTGACTGTCAGAGGTGGTTTGTGACGCTTCCTGCTGGAGATTCTCGCTGCACGATGCTCCAGGGTTGGATAGATCAGTTGAAGTTGATAGCAATCAAATCGAGACGTTGAGAACTATCAGTGTTTATACCATGTGGGAGATAGCAGATATACTCAAAGTATCCTAATCAAGTGTCCTGAATATTCATTGGAAGGACTGATGCTGAAGCTGAAACTCCAATACTTTGGCCACTTGATAAGAAGAGCTGACTCACAGGAAAAGACCCTGATGCTGGGAAAGATTGAGGGCAGGAGAAGAGGATGAGATGGTTGGATGGCATCACTGACTCGATGGACATGAGTTTGGGTAAGCTCCAGGAGTTGGTGATGGAGAGGGAGGCCTGGCGTGCTGCAGTCCATGGGGTTGCGAAGAGTTGGACATGGCTGAGCAACTGAACTGAACTGATCCTAATCAAGCCTTGAAAATCATCTGCACCAGTTTGGTTTATGTTCATCACTTTGATGTTTGGGTTCCACATACGTTAAGCAGGAAAAAAAATCTTTTTGACCATATTTCTGCATGCGATTTTCTACTTAAACATGATGAAGTGGGGAGTGAGGGAGTGATGGGAATGGTCTAGAGTTAGTGTTTGTGGTTACACAACACTGTGCGGATCCTAAAACTGCTGAACTGTGTACTTTTTGGGTGTGTGTGTACTATTTTATTCACGTTTAAATTGCACCATCAGACACTCAACTTAAGTACATGCTGGCCCTATGTTCAGATTTTTGAAATAAAGATGGACAGGCAGCTTCAAGGGTGCAATGTATTAAACTGTGCCCAGGATATTAAACAGAGACAATCCAGGGCGGGGATAACTGCATACCTTATACATCTGCTGGCGGTGAGTGTAGGGACAAGCCCAGCACCCGGAGAAGCCTGCTCAGGGCTGACTAGAGGCCCTTGGCTGCTGTCAGAATCCGCCCTTGACCTTCAGACTTGGACAAACCACGGCGTCTGTCCATGTACAAAAGGCCCCGGATTCAGGGCAGATGAGAGCGCAGCATGGGTATTATAAGCTTGGCTCTGGCCGGTCAGGACTGGGGGGCAGGTCTGCAGCGAGTGCGGCTGGCCGGAGGTGGGGCGTGTGCAACTCCAGTCTGGGGTCTGTGGTCACAAGCGCGTCCAGTCTAGAGACAGAACGCTGAGTGCTTCCTGCAGCTTCCCCCACCCCGCTAGTTTCCAGACAAGTTCCCGGACGCTCTTCTCAAACGCGAATCACCCCCTTCAAACGAGTGAACCCCCTGGTCTGTGGGAGAGGATGTGGCCTTGCCCGAGAGAGGCCTGGCTTCGCCCGTGGCAGGCGTGTCTTTGGTTAGGGTGGGGGCGGCCACACGGGGTGAGAGCGCTGGAGGCTGGCAGGGCAAGTCTGGCAGCGTGGGCCAGGGCCGGGGCGAGGGTCTTGCCGGGTCCCGTGTGAGTTTTGTGAGGGTGCACGTCGTCAGCTCTCCTGGGCGGACGACCAGGCACGAGGGGGCCTCCCCTGGCGCCCCAGCCCCTGCTCTTGGCTGTCAGCTCGTCAGGCCAGGCCCCATCCTGACACAGAGGCCGGGGTGCTCCGGGGACCGTCATCGGTCACTAACGGAGCCCCAGTAAACACTGGACGCCAGGGCTACTAGGAGCCACTGTGTAGTTGGTCCTTTCATCCTCTTAAACATCGCTTTTCCAGAGAAAAAGCTTGAATTTTGATGGAGTCCAATTTATTGATTTCTTTTCCTTTTATAGAATACGGTGTTGGAGCCATGCTTAAGAGCTCTTCACCAAGGCCCAGGGCTTGAGAACTTTTCCTTTTTTTTTGAGAAGTGTCATAGTTTTACAGTTATAGTTTTACAGGTTTTGATTCACTTGGAGCTGACTTTTGTATCATGCACAAGGCTTAGATGGAGTTTCCCCTCAGGTAGCATGCTGCGAGCTCTGGGCCATCGTGACTCGATGCTGTCTGTGCTGTGAAACGACCACCGCCCGTCGTCGCGTCCGCTGAAGTCTCTGTGATGAGAATGCTCAGGTCCACTCTCCCAGTGACTTCATGCAGATTTATGAGCCAGTCGCCAGGCTCCACGTGACCTCCCCAGGACCGACTCTGGAAAGGCCTTTGTAGCCTTCTGGCCCTTCGCCCTCGGTGCTCACCGCACACGCGGACTCTGGCTCCCGGTGTGTTCGCCGCATCTGTGAACTTGGGTTTTTACTGTTTCGTTTCTGTTTCTCTAGATGCCACACGTTCAGGTCATGGGCAAAATCAGGGCAATGCATGTGGAACACACTCATTCACAGGGTGAGAGACTGGATCAGGGTCAGGCCTCAAGGTCAGGTTCAAGGTAAAGATCTGGTTTGAGGTTAAGTATGAAGTCAACCTAAACTCAGGACAAGACGTGGTCACAGTGGATGACAGTCATTTCAAGGCCAGGCGGTGTCAGGGTCAGTATCACTGCAACAAATCATTGCTGTTTCTCAAACGGAACTTCCTCTCGTTGGCTGGAACTGAGATGAATGCAGACACACCACCACACACGCGTCTCAATTCACATTCTTACTGGGAGGCAGAGTAAATTCAAAGGATCTAAGGACTATGACAGACAAGAATTTGCATTAGGGCAAACACTCCACATCCCATTCCCTTCAAAAGCACATCTTGCTCCTTATTGGAGCCAACTTACTTCTCTCAAGAGCATGCGCAGTCTCAGGAGGACTGTGGGAAAAGACACCGCACTAGTGGAGTTCAGTCTCCACCTACTTCTTACTGTGGACAAACCAAATCCAGGTAAGTGTAGCTGTGTGTGTGCGGCGCACAAGATGACGCTGGGCTGACGGGACGTTAGGATGGATGAGTCCCAGGCTGGAGAGGAAGTTGTCACGGTGGGCTTGAAAGTTGGAATATAACAGGGTCAGATTCAAGGTCATTTCAAGGGGACCATGCTTAGGATGATTTGTCAGAGAGGAGAGGAAACTGAGGTCTGAGTCAAGGTCAGTTCAAAGTCAAATCCGATTTAAAATCGACTGGCTGTGGTTGGGTTCAGGGCCACGAAGTCACGTTCAAGCTCCTTCCAGAGCACGCCAGGCCTGTGCGGGAGCGTGCAGAATGAGCTGTGATGTAAGCGTGGTCTACCATCCAACATTATCTGAGTAAACGGGCTTTCTCTATGGTTCTTCACGCTTATTTTTCAAAGATAATTTTAATAACTTCATTGAAGAAACTTTTGATCCAACACATTTTAGTTGTTTAAAGTGAGTCGGTGAGTTTATAGAGCCAGGCAGTCACCGTGGCCCACTCCATCACTCCACACAGCTCCACTGAGCCTGTCTGAAGCCAGGACCCCGCCCCCACCCCACTCAGCCCCAGGTCCCCGCAGGTCTGACTTGTGTAAATTTGTCTGTTCTGAACATTGCACGTGAAATCACACGGTGTGTAGTGTTCCGCGTCCTCCTCCTCTGCTGAGGCTGAGGCCCGTCCGTGTTGCTCATCAGTTTCTTGTTTCTGCACAGTACATCCATTGCACGGACACTTGTGTGATCCCACACTTGTGTATCCATTTGCTAGTGGAGTTGCTTCCATCAGTTCAGGTGACTTGCTCAGTTGTGTCCAATTCTTTGCTTCCATATTTCACCTGTTATGAACAATGCTGCCACGAGCACCGGCATAGGAGGAGGGTTTGAGCGGGTAGGATTTCTCTTAGATTCACGGGAGTGAAGTTGTTGGGTTATATGCTAAGCATATGTTTAGCTTCTTAAGAAACTGGCAGATTTTTCCAGCGGGGATTGTACTATTTTCATTCCCACCAGTACTGTGGGGAGGTTCCATTTTCTTGAAGTCCTCATAATGCTTGGTATTGTCTTTTTTGTATTATGGTGACCCTGGTCCATGTGTAGTGAAATTCCTCTGTGTTTATGTTTTATTAAATATTTATCGGGCTGCATCGGGTCTGAGCTGTGGCGTGGGGGCTCAGGAGTTGCAGTGCGTGGGGTTACTTCCCTGGACGCATGTAGGATCTCAGTTTCCAGATCGGGCATTGAACCCACATCCCCTATACTGGATGGCAGACTCCCCACCACTGGACAAGCAGGGAAGTCAAGTTCCTCCATCATGGTTCTAATATACGTGCTGCCAAAGCGAGCATCCATCATGGCTTTAATTGGCATTTTCCTAGTGACTAACAATTTTGAGAACATTTTCTAATTCTTAGAAAACACTTTGAATGTTTTGATAAAATGATTATGTTAATTCTAGTCTTTTGCCCATTTTATTTTCTTACTATTGAATCATAAGTTATTATTTTTCATACTGTAGATGCAAGGTCTCCGTAAGATACATGATTTGCAAATAGTTTCTATGGTTGGCTTACCTTTTTATTCTGTCTAAAGGTGACTTTCATACATGGTTATAGCACTATTAAACATATATTTTAGAACCAAGGCAGGTCACTGTAAGGATAATCATTGGTTTTTGGAGGTGGTTGAGGTCAGAGGGCAAAGTCCGTTTCCCTGTCTTGTTCACGATCATGACCAGAGGGCTACAGCCTGGTTCGTGAAGTGAGCACCACTCGGGGTCCACTCACCGCGGCCCGGCACTGGGCCCCCCACACCCAGAGCAGGAGGCAGGGCCAGAGCGCGGCGAGCCGTCGTGGTCCTGAGCGTCCGGGGTGTGAGCCCAGGGCGGCCGGAGGAAGCAAACTGCCAGGGGCCTGAGAAGCGCGGTGGGCAGGCCCAAGGCGCGGTCTGCCCGCCTCCAGCCTCCCAGCGGCCGGCACGTGGCCGTCTCTAACACTGGTCCTCGCGGCATCTGCCGTCCCAGGGCGGCGCATCTGTGCTGGAACGTGGGTCCTGCTGCCCAACCCTCCTGTCCTGTCGAGAGTCCGAAACCCAGAACCACGCAAAGGCCACGTGTCAGCGACCACGCAGGCTAAACCACAGCAAACCCACAAGCCGCTCACGGCCCCGCCTCTGCACGGACAGCGCGCTCTCCAGCCGGTGTGTCCGCCCCCCCCCCCCACTGTGATCACAAACAGGCGGCACCCACCAGAGGCCATGTGCCGTGCTGAGGGGCTGGATGGGGGGAGGCCCGCAGACCGTGCCGCGGTGCCGCTCGAGAGGAAGTGCCGTGAGGGCGACCAGCTGCAGGGCCGCCCCTGAAGCCCAGGCCCGGAGGAAAAGACGGGGCGAAGACAGACGGTCTTTGTTCTTGGTACATTTTATTGGCATCACGTTCGTCTGTTTACAGAAGAACTTGGCCCACACCCTGGGACGCAGGCCCTGTGAAGCAGGCTACAGTGCGGGGGCAGGGGGCGGGGGGCGGGGGCAGCCCCGCCAGGAGGTGGGGGCGGGGGCTCGGGGGCTGCACTGGGGAGTGGGGGGCGGGGGGAAGGTGTGCTCACCGAGGACGCCACACCCCGAGAGGAGCGCCTTCTAGAACAAAGGTACCGTCGCTAAGACAGGTCTGGGAGGGCCTCCTCTCCCTCTTGGACGTGGATGCTAATCTAACAGGGGAGTTTTGAAGTGTGGAGCAGGAAAGAAAAAAAGGGAAAATGCGAGTTTTGTGAAACAGCTGTTTCTCCATTGCACACACCAAAGTATTATGCAAATCACGTCTTGGAAAACTGAGATACCGAAGGGAACTGGACAGTTTCCCCTGGAGAGGTGCCAAGCTGTTTGGCTCTGAAGTCTCTGGTAAAAGGCGTCCGTGACTCTCCTGTCTACTGCGCAGAATACTGCCTCCTACTGGGATCCAGCTCTGAGGCGCCGGGCACGCCGAGACCCAGGCCAGGCTCAGCCCTCCGTCTCTACACCTGCACCACAGGCCTTAAACACATAACCCAAGAATTTCTTACACTGATTTATACATTTTAATTGGTTGCATATATTAACATGTACTATAAGATTCTTTTCTACGAAGCATTACATAATAAATGGATACTGTAAAAAGATCTGATTAGTTAAAAGTAACAAGCATTAACAGATACATCATACAAAACTCAGCCTGATCAGACTGGGTGTGAGCCTGTGATGGAGCGCAGGGCACCAGCCTTCCCACGTGGCGGCCTTCACAGGAGGGGGGGTAAAAAGACCACAAGACGGTTAAAAAAATGAGAACTAATTAGACACAGATTAACTGTAAACAGTTCTCTCTCCAGTGGACGAAAGGAAGAAGCTTCCCACGCAGACTCCACCCCGGGCGGGGGTCTGCCGCCGGCCCTGCTGCCGTGGAGCCCGGGGCGGGCGGCGGGTCTGCCGGGCGTGCGTGGGGTCGGCGGTGCTGGGCTCTCGGGCAGCGGGGTGAGAGATGACTGTCTGTGTGGAGGGGCTCGTGGGAGAAGGCCTGCGTGTGCTCTGCGCGCCGGCGGCGCCCTCAGCAGCTGCAGCTCTCGGCCGCGGGCTTGCTGCGGTCGCTCTTGTCCAGCTTGATGGGCTCGGGGAACTCGTTGTACAGCTCCACTTCGGTTTCCTGGGCGGGGAGAGAGGCGATGACCCCGCGCCCGGGGCGGCCCCGCAGCGGAGCAGCCGGGCGGGCAGGACGGCTGACGAGAACAGGCTGCCGCCCCCCGCCCGCGGGCGCCCGCTCTGGGGGCTGCTGCCAGCGCCCAACAAAGCCACGGCCTGGGGCCCCGGACCTCGCCCCCGCGAGCTCGCCCCGCACGCCCCTCTGGACCCAGGTCTGTTGCTGTCTCTTCCAGGCCTTCAGGAGAGCGCGCCCCCACGGAGGCACACGCAGGGCCTGCCCGGGACAACTCCCTCACCGGGGGGCCCACGGGACAGGGACTGGGGTCACTTCACGGGGACGCGGGCTGAATTAATGTGTTCCCAGCGAGGGGCAGCTTCCTGCTTCCTAGGGAAGAAAATTCACCTGTCCCTTAGACACGGAGCACGCAGGTCGAGGTCCTCCGGGGAACCCGCTCCGATCACAGTGCTGGCCACGCCCAGGACTGCCCTTTTTTGAGACGCTCTCTCCCTGAGGGACGAGCGCCTGCGGCAGGCTCTGCTCACAGCTCAGCGCCATCAGGACCTTCCCACCCCAGAGAGGAGCCAGCTCCAGCAGCATCGGCCTATCCCGCCCGCTGCTTCGAGCCCTAAGCAGCGCTCATCTGCTTTCTGTCTTAACGGAGGCCTCAGCAGACATTGGGTTCGCTGGCCCCTCGACTGAGGACTTGTGGCCCCGAAACCGACAGAAAATAAAAGTGTGTCCTTGAGCCACGTGGTCTGTGGAGTCTGTCAGATACCCGCTGCTGACTGCCACTTGTGCAGTTCAGTCAGAACCTCGGGAAGGTTCATTTATTTTTTGGGGGGTGGGTGGTGGGAGAGGATGGAGGAGGAAGAAGTCGCACCTGGAGTACAAGCCTTAGTTTAAATGGATAATGAACCAAACACAGCCAAGCAGACAGACACAGCTAGTGAGGGGACAGCCCGCGCAGGGAGCACGCAGACTGCAGAGGGGCCCCGACGCCGGGGGGCAGGCTCCAGCAGAGGGAAGTTCTCCACTGCGGCCACAGGGGCTGAGGAAGGCCCGCCACACACGGCTCACCCCCCAGCTCTGCGCACGGCGAGTCCGCGGCGACAGCCCCTCTGCGGAGCGTGGGCGCTGCTCCGGAGGTGCCGCCGCGTTGCCAGAACCGAGGGGCACCACTGTCCCCAGGGACAGCCGGACGGTCTGACGCCCGCGACCCCAGCTGTAGGGGCACGAGCGCTCAGGGGGATAGCACTGCCCTGCGCCGGGGTCGGAAGAGCCTTCACCAGACGCGTGCCAGCAAGACGCCCCTGGTATTGGGGGGGGGGGGGGAGCTGAATAAACAGCACAGAGGAAACGCAGGGGAACCTTCTCCAAGGAATACGGTTCCTAAAGCCTTCGGGGTTAACCTTTACGAGAATCATTCAGGATAACTCCAAACAGGAGGAGCGCGCCAAGCAGGGCAGCCCCTCCCGCGGGGCCTCGGTGCCCGTGGAGCTGACTCAGACGACGGGACAGGCCGCTCTCCAAGGCCCGCGGGGAGAGGTGCAGGCCGAGGCGGCCAGGCCGGGGCTCCATCCCCACAGGCGCCGATGTCTGCAGACACCCACCTGCTTGAGCGCGTTCCGGGCGATCGTCTGGAAGGCCTGCTCCACGTTGATGGCCTCCTTGGCGCTGGTCTCGAAGTAGGGAATGTTGTTTTTGCTGTAGCACCAGGCCTGTGCCCGCTTGGTGGCCACCTGAAGGACAAGCAGGGCACGGGTGCCAGGAAGAGCAGGCATCCCACCGGAGGACCCCTGGGACCCGCCCCCGGCCGCCACGCGCCAGCCCCGCCCCGGCCCTGCCCCCAGCCCAAGCGCCAGCCCCGCCTCCGGCCCTGCCCCCAGCCCAAGCGCCAGCCCCGCCCCCAGCCCTGCCCCCGGCCCACGCCCCAGCCCCGCCCCCGGCCCAGGACTCGTCTCCAGGTCTGCAGCCCCTCCTGTGGCTGCTCAGCACACCCGCCTGGACCCCTGGCCTGATCGCACACCCAGGCCCCAGAGCCCCCAACCCAGCCCCCTCCTGTTTCCTGACTCCTCCCCACCCCCAACCCGAGCCTGTTTTCAGGCACAAGAGAAGGACTAATTTATTTAGGAGAGAGCTGACTGGTCAAAAATAAAGTCGACTATAAGGAGATCCAACCAGTCCATCCTGAAGATCAGTCCTGGGTGTTCATTGGAAGGATTGATGTTGAAGCTGAAACTCCAATACTTTGGCCACCTCATGCGAAGAACTGACTCATTGGAAAAGACCCTGATGCTGGGAGGGATTGGGGGCAGGAGGAGAAGGGGACGACAGAGGATGAGATGGCTGGATGGCATCACTGACTCAATGGGCATGAGTTTGAGTAAACTCCAGGAGCTGGTGATGAACAGGGAGGCCTGACATGCTGCGATTCATGGGGTCACAAAGAGTCGGACACGACTGAGCGACTGAACTGAACTGATACTTAAGAAAACTTCATCTACATTCCCCAGAGAAATGCTACTGGAAAGGAAGCCAGAGCAGTTTTACTCAAAGACCAAAGTACCGCCCTCACCTACGGGATCTGGGGAGACCCCCGGAGCGCTAGGACAACAGCTGAGGGCAACTGAACCCTCCTCCCGGGTCAGAGGCAGAGGTGCCAACAAGCCCAAGTCACAGCCGTGCAGGCGGTGTGGGGGTCTCAACAGGCCTCCTGGGCCCCAATCCCCAAGGACAGCCGGCCTGGAGATGGTGCACCCCCAGAGCCACAAGGCCAGAAGACCGAGGTACAGGGCCTAGAGGTCAATCCCGGACAGGAACCAGGAGGGCTGGCAGGGGGCCGCTCCAACCCCGCACACCCTCCCCACTCTGCTCCCAAGGAGCCGGGCCCCACCCAAGGGCAACCAGGTGCCCCCCTATTTATTGTATCCTGCCCCTGCAGGGGCCGCACGCAGACAGAAAGATGGGGTGATCCTCGGGGCACATGGTTCTTTACCAGTCAAACCTGAACACTGGCACTGCCCCCGGGGCCTCACGCCCCCTTTAAAGGCGGCCCCCACCAAAGACCCCGCCATCACCAGCACGCACCTGTCTGTTTTCGAGATCAATCTTGTTTCCCAACACGACGAAGGGGAAGTTCTCGGGGTCCCGGGGACTGGCCTGGATGAGAAACTCATCTCTCCAGCTGTCAAGCGTCTTGAATGTGTTGGGGGCGGTCACGTCGAACACCAGGACGCAGCAGTCGGCGCCTCTGTAGAAGGCCACGCCCAGGGACTGGAACCGCTCCTGTCCAGCCGTGTCCCAGATCTGCCCGAGACACACGGTCACTCCTGGGGGCGCGGCCCAGGACAGGGGGTGTGGGGGACACAGGGCCACCCCAAGACGAGCACCTCAGGGCTCAGGGAGTGCATGGAGCACCCTGACCGCCAGCAGCTGAGTGCACGCGCCCGAAGCCCGGAGATGCTCCAAACTGTGGGTCCTGATCCAGGTGGAGGTCACATGGGGAGGCATGTACGGAAAAGCTGCGCCGTAACCCTAGGAGTTCTGTACTCGTGGAACTTCCCGTGGGGGATTATCTGTTCAGTCGATGTTTGCTTTTGTTTATTTGGCTATACCATGAGGCTTGCAGGATTTTAGTTCCCCAGCCAGGGACTGAACCTGGGCCCTCAGCAGTGAGAACACAAATCCTAAGTACTAGGCCAGCAGGGAACTCCCAAACTGTACATTTGTTTACATTTACGTATTTTACTGTATATAACATTTACCTTAAAAAAAAAACCTATTTTTATTGTATCTCAAGAGACAAAACAGAAGTACTGTGTGAGGAGGGAGAAGGGAGGGAGAGAGAAATGAAGGGAAAGGCAGTGAGGACTCAGCACGGAAGGCAGGTGAGAGCACAGCGGTACTCAGCTCTCAGAGCTTCCCATCATGCACTGCCCTGCCAGGCCGGGATGCAGGGCGCACCTCCTCAATGCCCCAGACCCCAGCATGGCCCCGGGTCGCCGGGAGGGACAGCCAGTGTTCCCGGGACAGGCCCCAGTGCCAGGGCAGAAGGCACACGGTCACCTCTGCTGACAGCAGTCGCCACCTGCTGGACCCTCTGTCTGTCTGTCTGCAGGAAAGCACTTAGCTTCACAACAGCACGAGAATCTGAACCATCCTCACAGCCCAAGTAAAAACTATGTCCACAGCACTGGCTGGGACTCAAGGCCTGGGTTTTAGGTCAACATGGAGTGTAGAATGAGCCACCCATTTCATCTAATGAACCAGCCTCTGCAGGAGGCGGCCCAGACTCCGTGCAGCCAGCCTGGCCTCCTGAGACCTGCAGCACTCGCCAATCTGCCGGGGCCATACAGACGGCCTCCTGCACAAAACCGGGCTGATGTCTGCCCAGAGGCAGTGAGCCCACACGAGGACAACCCGGGCCACAGGGCCGTGCTGGGGGACTCCTGTCACACCAGCAAGCTGCAACTGCATCGCGGACCTTCCGCTCCAGCCTGGAGTGCGCCTCTGAGGCTCTCTGCACCGGAGTAGAGGGAGGTGCGCCCTCCTCCTCGCAGCCAGGCACCCCGGGGCAGAGCAGCCTGCCTGGAGAACAAGCCGCAGCCGCCAGACCCACTGCAGCCTCGGGCAGCCTCACCGCTGCACTTCCCGGTCATTCTTGCTCCTCTGGCTGCTTTCAAGTTTGTCTCGAAAAGATGTTTCTTTCAACGTGGTTTTTCCAGTCTTCTTAATTTACCCCTCTTGGAATGGGGGCTTCCTTGATTGAGTGGGCTGGTACCACACCTGCTGTGGAAACTTCCTATCAAGTACGCATCTCTGATCTACCTGCTCTTCCGAGGCAATGAAAAGTCGGAGCTGCTCACCGAGTCCTGCTTCTACCTGCTCCCCTTCCCATCCCTCTCCTTCCTCTCAGCCCGCGTCTGCTGTATCCCATCTGCTAACACTCTCTAATTTCTAATTCTGGGTTACCGGGTTTCACTCTCAGCAACCCTACTGACCCATGCCACCTGCTTAGCTGCTTCTCCACACATACACGAGATGGCTTGATTTCTTTCAAAACAAAAACCACTCGAACTGCCAGGGAGGTCCTTGCTGTGTTGCCTTCTCTGAATCATCTCTTTTCGGCACGCTGCTGGAGGCCCAGGGGAGGATTCCTCCAGACCTGGAATGAGGATGCCTTTGTCTGGAGATGGTGTTTTCATTTACTTCCAGGCTTTTATGCTGGCCGCAGAAGCCTGAGCGCAGCCTCTGTTCCAACCCGAGGACCACGTTTTCTTTCGCATTCCTTCCAGACTCTGCTCGGTGCCCTGGGTTCTCGGCGGGTGCACCGACTTCAGGAAACAATTAAGATCTGAGCTTGTGGGGCTTCATCAGACTGGCCCCGAGCTGGGAGGGGCTGGGCCTCCCTTCTGCAAGCCCTCGTGACTACGAGAACCACAGCTGTCTGTCTGCTCCAGGACACGGGGGTCTTCAGGCAACACCTGAGCCCAGGACCCGGATGCAGCCCCCGGCCACGCCACAAAGCTGAGAGCTCACCTGTCCGCTTGCTGTTCCTGCGCCCGTACCCGTCTTCTCTCCCCAGGTGCTCTAAGGATGCTGGCATTCCAGTTTTCTTTGAGGTGATTTGCTCAGCTCAATGCTGAAGTTCACGGTTTCCCCCACTGAGTGTAACCTGAGGTTTACCTGTGCAGTCTGTCTGCGTTTTCTAAGCCTCACACATGCCCATCTCTCAGGTGCTGTCTTCCTCAGTCTCCAGCCCTTGTCCAGAAGCCTCCCATCTCCTCACTACTCCCTCAAGAGCTCATCTTCTGTCCGGAAGTTGTGCATCTCCCGACAGTGTGGGCTTACCTTTGTCTTCGCTACGAGAGACAGAGGGTCACGTCAGATCCTGCAGACAAAGCTCTCTGTGCCCCGTGGAGCAGAGACATGCACAGAGAGACGGGGTGGCCCCCACCAGGGCAGGGTCACAGAGCCCCAGGTGCATCCCCCAGGCCAGCATCACCCCCCCCGGGGGCTGAGGCCTGGGGTCCTTTTCTACAGCCCTCCCAGGCCCCAGGAGCCCTGCACGTCTGTGTGTCCAACGGGGCCTAGTTCTGCAGCCCGCCCCGTGCAGGCCACGTCTGGTCCTGAAAATGGACAGAATGCCATCCCTGCTGTAACTCCACAAACCACCGCCAGAGGAGCCTGAGCTTATCAACAGCTTCTGCTTCTCTCTCCTGTTATCTGGAAATCTCTTCTCTCAAGCTTGGCTTGCTCAAACTTTCGTTACACACACAGACTGAGGTTTCACTGACCACAATGTCATGTTTGTTTCAGGTGTACCACCTTGTGGTTTTACACTTTTATGTCAAAGAAGGGCCCCCACAATATCCAGTGGTTACAGTTCTACCACCTGGACAGCACCCCACACCCCCCCCACCTGCTTACTGTGCAACCAGAGGCCTGCACCTCTGGACACCGGACCTGCCTGCCCACCCCCGCATGCCGCTGTGTCTGACACGGTGCGGCGGCAGCCACATCGGCACCACCTGGAGCAGCGCGTGCCCCGGGAGCATGAGACGCAGCTCGAGGTGAACATGGGTAGACACTCCCGCCGCAGCCCGTACCATCCAGACGTCTCAGCGAGCCGGGTGTCAGCCAGGGCCACACGGCGTGGTCTCCCCAGGACAGCACTCAGGGCAGAGAACAGGGCACAACTGCTGTGGAGGCAGCGGCTTCCGAACACAACAGCTGGGCTGAACGCTGGTGATGTCAGGACGCCAGAAGCTGGGGCGAAGGGCCTGGCCGGCAGAGCCCTGAGCGCGGGCGCACGAGGCTGGTGGGAGCTTAGCTCCGCCCCGGGGGTCAAGCCCAGGCCCCTGTGCCGGACGTGCGGTCGGAGCCTCTGGGCCGCCAGGGAAGCCCCAGAACGTGGAGCCTCTTAAGGACCAAGTGAAGGAATCGTGTTTACCCCAAGTGTTGAAAGGGAAGCCCTGGAAATCAGATTAAACTGCTACATGAAAAAGCCAGACTGCCTGAACAAAACTCAACTCAAAGGGCCACGGAGAGCACAGATGAGAAGCCAGGCAAATCACTATAATGGCTGCTGTAAGAACCTAGGAGAGACGCAAGGGTTCTTCAGCCTAAAGCACGAGGCAGGCATGCTGAGAGAGAGACGACTTAAGACGCTTTGGAGACACAAGACTGGAAGCTGTAAGCTGCCAACTTTATAGCAAAAAAACTAGACCGAAACAACAACAAAACCCAGGAGGTCCAGTTCAATTCTAACTTTGGGAAAAAAGGAAAACTGCTGGTGTGGCTTGCAGTATTGAGGACGCCCTCAGTGTCCCAGGCTGTATCCTGCAGGCCGCTGGAAGGGGACTGCCCATGAACATAACCGTGAGGCCTGACCAAAGGGAGGGCGGTGCCGGGGCAGAGGCCAGCGCCCAGACCACACGGGCAGGCTGGGCCGGCGGAGGGGAGGCGCTCACCTGCATGGTCACTAGCCTGTCGTCCACCATCACCTCCTTCGTCAGGAAGTCTGCCCCTATTGTGGCTTTGTACTGGTTACTGAACTTCTTGTTCACATACTGGTTCATGAGTGAGGTCTTCCCAACTCTGAAATTGGAGAAAAACCACGAGTGTAAGTCAGGCAGGACAGCACTGCACACTGCCTCTGGTGCGTGCAGTCTGGAAGGACTGTCTGTCCTGCAGAACAGGGTGGGCCCCTCCCAACGGGGGGGGGGAGGGGGGAGGCCTCCAGTTCACCAAGTGATGGACACGGACAGAGGCCAACAAACGCCCTCCTCCTAAAAGAAGCTCCAGCAGTAAGATCCCCCACTTGTTCCAAAGTCTCTCTGCCGTCCTGGGTCTCTCCGTTTAGTGGTTGTTACTCAGTCCAAGAGAGTAATGGTCAGAGGAAGCCACTGGCCCCCAGCACACATTCACACCAGCGAGCCAATCTGCTGCTGTTGGTTTAGTCACTAAGTCGTGCCTGACTCTTGCGACCCCATGGACTGTAGCCCGCCAGGCTCCTCTGTCCATGGGATTCTCCAGGCAAGAACACTGGAGTGGGTTGCCATTTCCTTCTCCAGGGGATCTTCCTGACCCAGGAATCCAACCCGGGTCTCCTGCATTGCAGGCAGATTCTTCACTGACTGAGCTATGAGAGAAGCCCAAACTGAGTTTAAAATCTGAAGCAGAAAAAGCACCAATATTCCGCCAAATTGGAATCCACCAAAGCAGGCTCCCCAGAGGTGTTTCAGTAGGAGAACTCAGCAAGAGACCAGCTGAGTAACACCTTCCTTTCCACCAAGGAAAACACTTGCTTCACTGGCAGAGGACCTGGGAGGACAGCCCAGGGCAGTGTTCCCCGCCCGGCCACCTGTGCCCGAATGTCCAGCGGAAGACGTCAGGAAGTCTGTCAGCAGGTGAGTCTGGGGAAGGGGCCCGAAAGCAGCACTTTCAGTGCTGACGGTGGGGCGGAGGGACTGGAGCGAGTGAACACAGGAGGAATGACAGGGAGAGCGGAGACGGACCGGGAGTGTGGATTCAAGGATGCCGGCCAGCGCGGTCCCGCGGCTCAGGGCGGACCCTCACTTTTAAAACCAGGTGATTAAGGAAGCCAGCCAGGGTAGGAAAATCACTGCCTTTTTAAAAGAACTTTGGAACAGGACGCACATTTGCATTTATTATATGATTTTCAAAAGTATGCAGCCTCTGGTCTAAGTTTTCAAGGGTCACTTCAGATGCCAAGTCCGAAAAGCTCCCCGTGCACCCCCTGGAATCTTCCCAGTGATCACAGAAGTAATCAGTTACTGGGTCACTGGAGACTCAGGCACAGCCGGAGGCGGGTGCAGGCACGCCTCACTTTCAGGCGGTCTGCAGAAACTGCCTTCCGCTTGCGCTCTCTCTTGCAGACTGCACGTCTGCAGCAGCCCTCTGTCAAGCTCGTCGGCTGGCGTCGCTTTGCCAGTGACTTTGTTCCCTTCGTGTCTGTCACATTTTGACAATTCCCGCAGTAGTTATAACTCTTCCATCATTACTTTGTTATGATCTGTGACCAGTGATCTTTGATGTTACTACTGCAAAAATATGACGTCTCACCGAAGGGTCAGCTGATAGTTAGCATTTTCTGGCAGTAAATGATTTTTAAATTACAGTATGTACGATGCTCTTTAGACATACGGTTACTGCTCCCGTAAGTGATGACAGTACAGTGCAAACATGACTTTTCTATGCCCTGAGAAAGCGGAAGGTTCCCGTGGCTCACTGTGCCGCAACACTGACGCCGCGGAGGCGGCCTGTAAGCACCTGCAGGGTCTCGCGGCTCTGCCTGTGCTGCAGCGTGCCCCACACCTGCAGCGTGGGCATGCACACACGCAGCAAACCTACACAACTCTCCTCCCGCCTCTCAGCAGCTGGGAAAAAGGAACCACGTGAAATTGCCACTCACTGAGTTCAGAGAGCCACCATGTTCTCCAAACTGGGGACCGAGGGCCCCACAGCCAGGGCCAGGCAGGCCCTGCCGTGCCCCCATAGCAGGGAGACCCGGCCCCACGGAGACCAGCGCGAGAGCTCCACCAGGGTGTCAGCTCGAGTGCAGGAGGGACGCTTACCCAGAGTCTCCCAGGATGATCACCTTCAACAGCACTTTCTTCCTCGAGGTCATCCTTCAAGCTGGAAGAAAGGAGAAGGCACATGAGCAGGATGGAACTGCGAGGGGAGCCCCGCCCTTGGCACACGCACCGATGCGGCCTGGGAGCTCGGCGCCCAAGCCTTCCGGCTGGCGTCCCCCTGCCGCCTAGGGCCTGGACGGAGCGCCCAGCTCAGCACAAGACTCAGGCCAGGAGCACGCCAGGGAGCACCCAGGGGAGCCTGCAGGAGCACATGGCCCGCCGCGACGCTGAGGCAGCGTGGGTGAGCCTCAGTGCTGCTCACGCAGGCCTCCTCGGGGGCGAGCCCTCCGTCCACCATGAGGCAGGACGCCTCTCCCCCTGACGCCGCCTGTCTTCAAAGCACGGACCCTACACACAGCCGGCCGTCGGCACCCGCGGTCCTGCCTCTGCACTTCAACCACGCGGGCTCTGCAGTCCTTAAAAAACCCTCAAGGGCGTCCCTGGCAGTCCAGGGGTTAGGAATCCACCAGCCAATGAGGGGGACACGGTTTCCACCCCTGGCCCAGGAAGTTCCCATGTGCAGCGGAGCAACTCACCCTGAGCTGCCCGGGAGCCAGGGCCGCTGCGCCCAGAGCCGAGTTCCGCACCGAGGAGAGCCTTTGCGGCGACGGGGCACGGCTCAGCCAGAAACCCTCCTGCAAGTGGACACGTGGCTCAGGGCTGCATGTGTGAGGGTCACCTGGACTCGACATTTTAATGTTATTACACTGATCTTTCTTCTCCTTCTCCTAATGGTTTCTGTCTAGACCGTTTTCTTCTGTATCTCCAGTGCTCAGCAGACAGTTACCAAATATTGGCAGAAACAGCGTTTGATTTTGCAGCTCGAGACCATGTTTCCCCAGAAAGCCCTTCAGGAAGTTTTCCGAAGCCTGGACCACACAGCATGGAAGAGGCCCCACTGGTGCTCAACCTCCTGCCTTACCCTGACCCAGGATCACTTTCCTTACGGGCACGGGCCTCGTGGTCCTCAGGAATGCCTCAGAGACTTTCAGGGGAAGAGCAGCGTCAGGAGGGCAGCAGTCCCGACCCTGGACTGGTGTCGGGGCCACACGTGAGGACCACGACGAGCTCCCCTCGGCGCCGATCCCGAGAGGGCCGGGGGCTGCCACCGCCTCCAGAGCACAAGTGTCCTCAGAAAGGACCCCATACCTTCCGGGGACCCCGAGCCCTGGCCCTCCTCAGGAGACACTGGACAGGCCGGGCGGAGATGACGGAAACAGCAGGGGTGGCGTCCGCCTCCCACCGTCAGCAGAGCGGGGACCTCAGGGGGCCTCGGGGCTTACACAGGACTGAGCAGGGAGGGCGTGCACTTGACAGGGCCTGGTGTCCCTCCAGTCTGGGCAGACAAGACGCTCCAGACGGGGCCTGACGAAGGCCACTTCTGGCTCTTCTTCAGCTGCCTGGCTTCCTGAAGGCTGAGGCTGACTGCATGCCACAGGGCTGTGACTCAGGAAGGGAACTCCTGGCCCCACACTCCCCAGCGCTGTGACCTCTCTGCTGGGAGAAGGAAAACAGCTCTTAGGTACGAGGAAGGGTGTCAGGCCTGGATGAGAACCCTCATTTCTGGGGGCTCCCCATGAGAGACACATCCAGCACAAGAGCCACTGTGCTCCGCGAAGCCCAAGGCTGGGGTCCCAACGGGTACACCCAGCCCCTCCCCACCCATCAGATGCAATCGCCAAGTGGAGACACGTGACCATAAGCAAAGCGTCCCACAACAGAGGCGCTCGTGTGCCTTCAAAAGGGTCCCAAAGGGTTCCAGGAAGTCAATGAAAGGTCAATTCTCACTCAGGGGAAAGGTTTCTGTCCATCTTAACCCAAGATGTTTAAGAATGGGATTACTGAGATTAATAATGGGATTAACTGCTTAAGACTAGGATTATTGAGTCAAAAGTATAAAAGCACTTTTATGACTTTTGCTAATTCACTTTCCTGAAGGATTTTCCAAATTTAACTGCAGCCACTGTTGCAGTAGTTAACAGATATAGGATCTAAATGAGAAAAATTTTACTGAGACAAAGAAAATCAGAATAAATGAAGAGATACCTCCTATACGAAGCCTTAATGTAAAGATAAAAGTTCTTCCCTATTTAAATAATTCCAAGGATTTTGGGGGAATGTGATGAAGTCATTCTATCTTTCTTAGTAAAAAACGAACAAAAGTCCCTCCCAATCCTTTCAAAAAAGAGTAGTGACAGGGAACTGGCCTAACCATCTTGGAAAGTATGTTATAGAAATACAGCATTGACGTGATGGGCTGGAATTTCAGGGTTGCAGAACTCAGCAGTACAAGGCTGACCCCCACTCAGTGGAGAGAGCGGGGTTAACAGCCCTGCAGTCTTCCCAAACAGGGCAGAGGTGCGAAGGTAAGCAACACACAAACCAACAGGTCTCTCCTGGAGGGGGGGTCACAAATGACTTCCTTTTCTTCATATTCGCTTACTGTCATCTTTCCAGGGGCAAACGACCTTCAAACTCAAAAAATTATTTCCATTTTGGAGGAAAACGTTCACTGTTGATTTTTCCAGTTGGTTCTGCTTGCAAGAGCATTCCTGACCTCCAGGACACGCACCCCCAAGCAGCGCCTGTCAACAGGCGAGGGGGGGTCGCGGCCAGGGCCGGCCCAGAGGACGCCACTGGCTTCACACTGGCAACCACTAAGAGCTATGTTTTTGTACATAATGTTCTCTGGGATCGAAGAGCAGGACACTTGTTTCTCGACAAGAGCGAAGGAAAAAACAAAACCAAAGCAAACCTGTAACGCAGGCCTGCCGCAAGGAGCAGGGCCCCTAGAGCCCTCTCTGGCAGCACCTGCCTTGTTACCCTCGACCAGCACCATCTGCACGGACTGCTGGAGACACAGACCGCTCTGGAAAACCCTACAACCCCGGGGCCTGGTAACAGGCCCTGAGAGAGCACCCACCAGCCCAGGAATCTCTCCCAGAGTCTCTCTAGAAGAAGGGATACTCACGGCACATCCCCTCCTTCTGTCCTCACACCCAGCATGATCAGTGCGCATCACTGTTCCACGTGCTGCAAGGATTCCTTCCCCAGGGACACTGTTTCTCCGGTGGGAAGTCAAAAGCTAGACTCCCCCACACACACCTGGAGTCACTGCTCTCTTCATCTCTGAAGCTGAGCAGCCAACTGGCCATAAAAGCAGAGCCAATAAGGAAGCCGCAAGCAGGCAGAACCATCAGGAAAACACCGTGACCCAGCCCAGACTCTGGGCTGGGCAAGGCCAGTGAGGACTGCCAGCGAAGGTGGGCGGGGGCCCTAGGACAGAGGGCCGGGAAGGGGAGGGGCAGGAAGCCGGGCCACCTCCACCTCTGCCGCCTACCAGAGGGCAGCCCCACAACCAGGGCGCTGCCCCCGTGCCGGCCACGCGGGGGCGCACCCCACGCCGAGTCCCCGAGGTTTATGCAACTAGAATCTTGGGGTCCACTCATCATGCAGCCTGTGTGCTCCAAGCAAGCCTTCCGCTTTGATGGTGTCAGCTAACAGCCTGCTGGCCTGATGTCCCGTTTACAGCCAGCACCCCCAGGGGAAACTTAGCAGGAAAGAGCTACCAGAAGGCTTCAAGAGGACACTGGGAGTGCCCGAGAAGTCGCAGGAGACACGCCAGGGAGCAAGCAGCACACGGCAGAGCCGAGCGGGCGCCACAGGGCAGCGACCTCAGCTGGGGAGTGAGACGCGCTCTGCTCCAGGAGACGACTGAGCCTGGACTGGAAGCAGGGGAAGGGTGCCAGGATGTCCCAGGCAGGACGACCCGCTGACAGCCAACACTGCCCCCAACACGCCCCGTCTCCCCTGGTGCTCCTTCCAGAGTGTACCTGCCACTCCATACTGCCCCCCAGGTGCCCTCCGCACAGGAGGACGGGGGACAGTCCCAGCGACGGACCTGAGAGTGCAGGTCCGGGGCGGCCCCGAGCACCTCCTCCTAGGCTTGGCCCGCAGCGACATGCCAGGGTCCCCACACAAGCACAAGGTCAGCACTCTCTGAGAGGAAGACTCCTAAGTCCCTGCCCACCACTCAGCAGGAAAGGCCTGGCTGGCATTCTCACCAGGGCACATTCTCCGGAGCTGCAACAGCATCAACTTACATCATGGGGGAGCTATCGTCGTGGGGCGCGGCCTCTGTAGTGTGGGACGCGGCCTCTAGTGTGGGGCGGGCCCTCTGTAGTGTGGGGCGGGGCCTCTGTAGTGTGGGGCGTGGCTTCCGTAGTGTGGGACGCGGCCTCTAGTGTGGGGCGGGCCCTCTGTAGTGTGGGGCGGGCCCTCTGTAGTGTGGGGCGGGGCCTCTGTAGTGTGGGGCGTGGCTTCCGTAGTGTGGGACGCGGCCTCTAGTGTGGGGCGGGCCCTCTGTAGTGTGGGGCGGGGCCTCTGTAGTGTGGGGCGGGGCCGCGAGCTGCAGCGCACAGACTCTCTAGCAGTGGAGTAGGTTCAGTTGTTGCACCACGTGGCATCTCAGTTGCCCGACCAGAAATTGAACCTGCACCCCCCTGCCCTGAAAGGCGGATTCTTAGCCACTGGACCACTGGGGAAGTCCCTATGAGGGCTTTTCTAACTGTGAAAAACGTACCTAGTCAACTATTCCTAGTATTGTTACTTCACCTTCCAGATCTCATCACCCCAGCCTCTCACACGAACTTGCTGACCTCTGTGACACTCGCATGGTAACTCACACACGTGTGTCTGAGGTCCTAGTTAAACATCTAAGACAACTCACAGCTTCGTTTACGTGCATCCTGCAGTCCGTCACACTGCACCCACTGGGACTGCGTCAACCAGCGAACGCTGGGGCGGAGCAGTCACTGAAGGAAGACGCGTGCCCGCGCCAGAGGAGAAAAAGCAGAGCTGGAGAGTGGGCACGCAGTGACCGCCCACTCGGGTTCTCACCTCCACGTCTACTGTTCTGCGCTAACAGTTCAGGCCCGTGCGCCCGAGAAGCATGGCTCCCCACTCTCGAGATCCTAACCCAGTTGATCAGACGACCTCAGACTAAGGCCTATGTCCTGACACCCTCCCTCCATGCCTCACACTTAACCACGTGCACTCACGAGTCCCTGTCCCTTTCAGGAACGCCAGTCACTAGCTGCAACCTAGGGGAATAAGCACACCCACTTTGGCTTAGACACCTGCTGAGGGTCCAGTAAAGTGTCAGTTACTGGGTTGGACGTTGGGGTTGACCTATTCCCTGGTATCCAGTGGTTAAGACTTCATGCTTTCAACGCAGGGGGTCCAGGTTCTGGTCAGGAAACACCTGGTACAGTCAAATAAACAAGAAGGCCACCATGATTGCTTGTAAGCTGAACAAAGCGTTCTGTTTTGTAGCTTTTGGGTGGTCAACTGGGAGCTCCAGTGGCCAGATGCAGCTGGCTATTTCACATCTCCTCAATGGACAAGAGCTTTGGTGTGACTCCATACACGGGGAGGCCACGTGCAGAATGAGTCCAAGCACCCAACACCATAATGGGCCCTCAGGGGTCACTTTACGCCACCCTGTGCTGGGAGAGACACCTGGGGCACCCACACCCCGCCGGGCTCCCGCATGCACACCCAGAGACCACGAACTACCTCCCGCGCAGGGAACTGTTCTCAGCCTGCAGCAGGATGAGACACACCCACACCCGCCAGCACCGGTCTCAACACCTTCTCTCAACTCCTGCCCACGCAGCCTGCCTCTGGATCCTCAGCTTCCCGGCTGCCACCCTCTGCCTGGATCAGACTCACTGTGCCTCTCACAACACCTGCCTCGTTGTACACGCATCATCCATTAGTGAAACACGGTGATGCCGTAAGAACGTGGAGAATTTTACAAACGTCTAAGAGCACCCTCAGCATGGAAGTCCTTAATTGCACAGGAAGGTACCAGCAGCCTCAGCAGTCATCCCAAACGTCCAGGAAGTATATTGCCGCTGGGCTAAGCTTCACGACCATGCCAACCCTCTGTTGGTCCAGGCCACGCATTCCCCGTGCAGGCGTTACTAACCATGGTCTGTGGCCCTCCAGAAGCCAAGCATAACGACACAGTACATCCATGGTATTAAAATTTCACTGGGGCAAAAAAAAAAAAAAATCACTGGGGCAGGGGAGACAGTTGGGGGGGGGTGGATCTGCAAAGGCCTGAGGGGCAGAAGGAAGATGTGATCATGACAGTGGTGGGAGACGGCTGGTCTAAACTGGACAGTCCCCTACAGCAGCCAGCAGCCACTTCAATGAAAGCACGTCCAGCTGCCCAGCCGCACCTGCCGCAGGCCGCGCCCACCCTGACAGCCGTGTGCACAGAGACTTGCATCCCCGCACCTGCAGAGTTCTGCGGTGTCTGTGCTGTGCCGCTCTCAGCAGCCCTGGAGGGTCCTACCAGCACTGTCGGTGGTCCTCAGATGCCTCCCACCTCAGTGGAAGGCCGTTCCTTACCACCCAGCCCATCTTCTTTCCCTCTTGAAAACACAGTAAATACTAGCTCTTCAACAGCAACTTTAGGCACCAGTGCACACGTGGGCTTTTCATCAGAATACCTCAGGAGTATACTGGCTGCATCCTAACCACTTCAAAGTACTTAGAGCCACTGGTCCTGGCTGACCAGGAGCGTCCACACGGTCCCCCAGGCCCTCTGTAACCCCGAGGCCTGTCTGAAAGCCGCAGCACTGTGGACGACACCTGGAGCATGAAGGACCAGACAGACCGCACTGATTCGGAGCAGGCGGCCTGCAGAAGGTCAGACTAGGAAACATCACCCAGCTCTCAGAACCTCCCGGGACCAGGCGTGGACGTCCACTCCTGACAGTGCTGAGCGTGAGACAGCGTGACGGCCAGCTGAGACGCCGTCGGGCTCTTGGGAGGAAGCCCGCATCTGGGGCGAAGACTCGCGCCTCAGTGTGAGCACCTGTGAGAGCCTCACCCGTGAGCAGCCACCGTGACTGCTCCCAGGGCCTTCCCGTCGGGGCGAGCAGAGACCCCGCGCGGTCACGCATGCAGCATGCAGCGGCCCTCCGCGCCTGCCCCGGCCCGACTTCTCTCTCAGCACTGGCCTTCTGCAAACAGCTCTCGGGCACCGGGTCCTTTCCTGCCTGGCTTCTCTCACCCGGCCTGCTTTCAAGGACTGTCCAGCTCGCAGCCCACGCTGGAACTCCACTCCTTCACATGGTGAGGAACACACCCGTATCCAGATACCGTGCTTCGCTTATCTCTTCACCAACACGCAGAGTCTTTCCACCCGATGACTGCTGTGAATAATTCTGCCATAAACCACGGTGTACGACTATCTGCTGGAGATCCTGATTTCAAATCTGGTGGGTAGACACACCTCAGTGCCAGGACACACAGGAATTTTCTGTAATCTGTGCACTGCTCTCCACAACTCCAGCATTTTACATTCCTACCAGCAATATGTAAGGCTCCCAATTTCCCTAATTCTCAGCAACACATATTTATTTTAAAAATAAAGAGCCAGACTTCCGTGGTGACTCAGTGGTAAAAAATCCACCTGCCAATGCAAGAGACACAGGTCTGACCCCTGGTCCAGGGAGATCCCACGTGCTCTGGGGCAACCACGCCCGTGGATCCACCACTCCTGAGCCTGTGCTTGAGAGCGGGCAGGCCGCCCCTGCAGCCCAGAGCCCGCGCCCGCGCCCCGCGACGAGGGGCCACTGCAGGAAGCCCGCACGTGGCGACTAGAGAGCCCCTGCTCGACACAGCCAGAGGCAGCCTGAGCAGCAACGAAGACCCAGCACAGCAAGCAAGTAAGCAATAAAACTTCAGGTGGGGGAGAAAAGAGCCACCATAATCCAAGTGAAGCATTTATCACCGTTCTGAATTTCCCTAATAACTAGTGGTGCCCTGTGTTTATTTTTTGTGTGGATCAGCCATTTCCACATCTTTTTTGGAGAAATGTCTACTCTGATCCTGAACCATCTATAATCAAATTGCTTGTTTGCTGTTGAGTTGTTCAAACTTTAAATACGATGTACAATTTATAAGCCTTATCAGATGTACAATTTATAAGTATCTTCCCCATTCTGTAGGTTGTCTTTTTACTCCCCTAACACTGTGCTTGGAAACACAAAAGCTTTAATTCTGATGAAGCCAAATTTATCTATTTTTTCTGTTGTTGCAGGTGCCCGTGGTATCACAGCCACTGCATCACCGCCGAATCCAACACCAGGAATCTCGCCCTGTTTACTTCTGAGACTTTCACAGCTGTCTTTTTTTTTTTTTTTTTGCAGCCCTGAGCAGCATGTGGGATCTTGGTTCCCTGACCAGGGATCAAATCCTCATCTCCCGCAGTGGAAGTGTGGACTCTTACAAGCACTGGACCACCAAGGAAGTCCCTCACTTCTTTACTTTTACCTCTTAAGACTGAGATCTTTGAGACTGAAATATAAGACACAACACCCTAAAACTCCTAGGAGAGAATGCAGACAGAACATTCTCTGATGTAAGTCATTCCAATGCTTTCTTAACTTAGGTCAGTCTCCCACAGCAATAGAAATAAAAACTGAAATAAACAAATGGGAACTAATCAAACTTACAAGCTTTTGCACAGAAAAGGAAAACACAAAGAAAGGGGAAAAATCTACAGAATGGGAGAAAATATTTGCAAATGATATGACTGACAAGGGTCTAACTTCCAAAATATACAAACAGCTCGCACAACTCAATAACAACAACAAAACACAACAAATAGCCACAGAGCAACTAAGTCCACACACCATAACTCGAGTGTGCGCATCGCAATGAAAACGTCTGGCATGACAAAATGAACAGTCCCCATGCCACAAACAGGATCTGACACAGCCAAATAAACTTAAAAAAAAGGGGGGGGGGGAAAGACCTAAATAGACGTTTCTCCAAAGAAATACAGGTAGCCAACAGACACATAAAAATATGCTCAATATCGTTAATTATTCAAGAAATGCAATTCGAAACTACAGTGAGGTACCGCCTCACACTGGTCAGAACGGCCATCATTAAAAGTCTGCAAATAATGAGTTTTGGAGAGGGCGTGGAGAAGAGGAAGCCCCCCACACCCCTGGTAGGAATTTGTCCATAAGCTGGCGCAGCTGCTAGGGGAGCTCCTCAAAACCGAAAAGAGAGCTGGCATATGGTCCAGCAATGCCACTCCTGGGCCAATATCCAGACAGAACTCTCACTGGAAAAGACACACGCACCCCAAGGTTCAGAGCAGCACTGCTCACGACAGTCAGGGCCTGGGAACAACTCAGGTGTCCAGTGGCGGATGAATGGACGCGGCGGCTGCGGCACACACACACACCGGCGCGCGACACCGTGCGCGGCGACAGGGGTGCAGCCAGAGGCTACACGGCAAGGGAGACAGGCCGGGGGGACACCCCCTGGACCCCTACACGTGAGACCTGAGCCACCACAGAGAGGCCTGTTTATGGAGGAGACTCAGGACAGAGCCAGCAGCGGTTTCTCTGCGGCTGCCAAGAGGAAGGGGGGCGCGGAGGGGCTGGACTGGGAGGCCAGAACGAGCGGGGCAAGCTGTTACACGCGGGACGGACAGCAGCGAGGCCTGACGCTGCAGCGCAGGGAACCACACGCTCAGCATCCTACGATAAACCACAATGGAGAAGAACACGAAAAAGAATATGGCGTACAGCTGAGCCACATGCTCTACAGGAGAAGTCAAAGCAACACAGTAAATCAACTGTTCTTCAATAAAAAGCAGCTTTGGGTCTCTGATTTAATTTTGTGTGTGACGACAAGTCCAAATCCATCCTTCTGCAGGCAGACATTCTCCCGGCACCATCATCAGCCACAGAAGGCAATGTTTTCACCACAGAACGCACTTGGCATCTCTGCCAAAGGTCAATTCACCTTGAAAGTGAAGATTAATGTCTGGGCTTTCTAGTCTGTTCTGCTGGTTTACACGTGTGTCCTATTCCAGTATCACACTGTTCTAATTACCACAGAGGGTTGCAGTTTCAAAATCTGGACGTGGGAGACCTCCAACTTTTGAGCTTTCAAAATTATTTTGACTATTTGTCCCATGGCTTTCAGGACAGATTTTTCTATTTCTGCCAAAAAAAAAAAAAAAGTCACTGGGAATTTTGACAAGTATTGCACTGAATCTGTAGATGGTTTCCCAACAATATTAACTTTCCTAATCCATAAGTGAGCTGTCTTTCCACTTACTTACATCTTTAACTTCTCTCAGCAACATTTATAGTCTTTCATTTAGAAGTCTTTTTCATTTACCAAGTTAAAATTTATTCCAAAGTATTTTATTTCCTTTGATGCTGTTGTACATGGAACTGTTTCCTTAATTTCTTTTTCAGATTGTATCTTGAAATTTGCTAAATTAGCTTATTAGCTCTAAGAGGTTTTAGCTTTTTAATTTCGGGGTATGAACTCTGTAAGGTACTCCACAAATAAGATCATGTAACTCTTTCCTGTCCAGTTTGGATGTCTTTTCTTTTTCTTGCTGAATTGCTCTGGCTGGAACTTCCAGTAGGGTTTTGTAGAGAAGTGGTAAAGTGGGCATCCATGCCGTGTTCCTGATCTTAGAAGACAAAGTTTGTCCTTCACCACTGTACATGATGTTCACTGTGGGCTTGCCATATATGACTTCTACTATGTTGAAATAATTTCCTCCTATTCCCAATATTTCCACTGCTTTCATCCTGAAAGGGTGCTGTCTTCTGCATCAGCTGAGATGATGGCTTTCCCCTTTCATTACGTTAACGTGGTATGTTAACGATCGCTCTTTGGTTGTGGAACCAACCTAGCATTCCAAGGAATAAATCCAAGCAAGGAATAAATCCCACTTGGTCATGGCACATAAACCCTTTTAACAGACTGCCGAATTAAATTTTACAGGTATTTTGTTAAGGACTTTTGCACCATTGTTCTAAGACATATTGACTGACAGTTTCCTTTTCTTGTAGTGTTTGTCTGACCTTAGTAGGAGAGCAATGCTGGCCTCCTCGGTGGCTCAGATGGTGAAGAATCTGCCTGCAATGCAGGAGACCCGGATTCAACTTCTGGGTCAAGACGACCCCCTGGATAAGACAATGGCTGCCCACGCCAGCACCCTTGCCTGGGAAACCCAGTAAACGGGGAGTCTGAAGCGCAACAGTCCATGGGGTCACAAGGAGCTGGACACAACTGCGTCACTAACACTTCACTTTCAATACTGGCCTCACAGAATGAGCTAAGAAATGCTTTCCCCTCGAAGTTATAGCTTGGGATGAACATGTACGCAGGGTTATGTTTACAACAGATCACCAACAAGGCCCCAGCATACAGCACAGGGCACTCTGCTCAGTGTGATGCGGCAGCCTGGGGGGTGGGGGGGATCTGGGGGAGAATGGATACACGTGCATGTATGGCTGAGGCCCTTCACCGCTCACCTGAAACCATCTCAACTTTGCTAACAGGCCATGTCCCAACACAAAATAAAATAAGAAAAAGCAGCAACGTTCTCCCCTCTTCAGTATCTGGGAAGAATTTGAGAGCTGGTCTTAGTTCTTTAACTGTTAGAATTCTCCAGTGAAGCCATTAGATCCAGGAAGATTCCTCTGTTAGGAAGCTTTTGGTAACTGATTCCACCTCCTAGCTTGACAACAGTACGATTCCTATTTTCTATTTAGTTCGGCAGTTTGTGTATTTCTAGGGATCTGTTTCATCCAGGCTATGCAATTCACTCTCGTACAAGTGTTCCTAGGACTCTCTTAGAATCCTTTTTATTCATAAAAACGGGTAGTTATAGCTCCACTTTCTTTTCTGATTTTAGTGATCTGAGCCTTTAAAAAATTCGCAGTTAATCTAAAGGGTTTTCTGCTCTAACCTGGATTATTTCCTTCCCTCTTAAGCTCTGGGTTTAAAGTGCTGTCCTTTTTCTAGACCCTTGGGAAGTGAAGTTAGGCTGGTGATTGCCGATCTGTTCCGATGCTGGCACTGATGGCGATGGCTCCCCCTCAGTGCTTCACGGGGTCCTCTACGTCCTCCTGGGCTGTCTGCAGGGCCACTGTTCCCAGACCAGGGACTGAGCCTAGGCTTCCAGCAGCGAAAGTGCTGCGTCCTAACTGCTGCCAGTGAGTTCTCCATCCCTAGACGTTTTCAGATTTCTCTTGTGACTTCTTCTTTGGCCCATTACTTCTGTAAGAATGTGCTGTTTACCATCTATGGTATCTGTGGGTTTTCTAGTTTTCCTCTCGTTATTGACTTCTAACTTTATCTCATTGTGGTCCGAGAGGTACTTTGGGGACTTCCCTGGCAGTCCGGCGGTTAAGACCTTGCTTTCCAGTGCAGGGGGTGCAGGTTCCACCCCTGGTTGTGGAGCGCAGATCCCACATGCCTCAAGGCCAAAAACTCAAACCATAAAACAGAAACAATAACTGGAACAAATTCAATAAAGACTTCAAAAATGGTCGACATCACAAGAAGAAAGAAAGAAAGAAAGGTACTTTGTATGATAACCTACTTTTTCAAACCTTCTGAGACTTCCTATGGTTCAACATGTATTCTAACATGGAGAACGACGGTGTCCGTCGAGAAGAATGTGTGTCCTGGTGGCGGGGGGCAGAGACCCGTGCCTGCTGGATGCGGTCCGTTTACTGTGTCACTCACATCCTCCACTCTCCCGTACCTGCTGTCTGGGTTCATCCATCGTCAGTGTTACTGTCAAGCTTCTCCGCCTTCAGCTCTGTTCATTTCTGCCTCACATATTTCGATGGCTGTGGAGTGGTGTGTGCCTGTTTATCACTGCCTAACCTTCTTGCTGTACCGAATCTCCCACTAATGTGCTCTGTCTTGTAAGCTTTTCTTTTTGACTTAAAGTGTACTTACTCCACCTCAGATGAGTACAGTCGCCCTCTCTTTTGGTTACTATTTGCATGAGTCCTTTCCACATCCTTTCACACTGAACATTTTTCTGTCTTTGGCTCCAAAGTAAGTCTGCTGTGGAGAGCAAGTAAATGGTTCATGTTTTTCTATCTAAACTGCCAATCTGTCTTTTGACTGGCAAGTTTAACACATTCACAGTTCCAGTCCTTTTCCTGCTTGTTTTTCATATGCCTTATTGCTTCTTTGTCCCCCATTCCCTGCATGGCCATCTTCTTTTGTTATTCTTTATAGCAAAACATTTTCAATTCCCTTCTCATTTCCTTTTGAGTATATCCCATAGCTAGCTTTTTCCTTGTGGTCATGGAACTACATTTAACATCCTAAAGCTGCAGCAGTTTAACAGGCCAATTTATACCAGCTTAACTTCAGTAACATACCAAACTGTCCCCATGCAACTCAGACCCCATGCCCTCTCATTCACAGATGCCACAAAATCACATCTTTATGTATCGCGTCCTCCCAAAAGATGAACAACTCAGTTTTTAAGTATGTTAGTCCCTGAAATCGAGTGGAAACAAAAACGTGAGTTGCAACAGCACCAGCTTTTCTAATCGTCTGTGTGTCTCCTTCCACCAGATCTTTACTTCTTCACGGGGCTCGGGTTGCCGTCCCGCAGCCTCCAGCCTGAGGGGAGCCCCTCACCGCAGGCAGGCCTGTGTGTCTCCTCCCAGCAGACGCTCACTTCTTCATGGGGCTCGGGTCGCCGTCCCGCAGCCTCCAGCCTGAGGGGAGCCCCTCGCCGCAGGCTCGCTCAGCTCTGGCTTCCCTGGAAAGCTCTCAATGTCTCTCTCAGTTTCGAAGGACAGTTTTGCCAGTTACAGATTTCTTGGTTGACAGTTTTCCCCCCCTCTATATTTTGAACACGGCAACACAGCCTCCAAGGTTTCTGATGAGAAATTTACCAATAATCTTTGATTTTCAGCTCATTGTTTTTGTTGAAATACTTTTCATTTTGTTAGTAACATCAGAATTGTTAGTTAGCACAAGGAGTGTATCTCAGACACTGCAGATTTGGTTCTGACCACTGCAGAACAGTGAGGCTGCATTAAATTGAGTCACATGGACTTTCTGGTGCATGTGAGTTACGTTTACTACACTGTCATCTATTAAATGTGCAACAGTGCTATGTCTAAGAAAATGTACGTGCCTTTATTTCAAAATACTTAATACTAAAATTACCAAGCATCCCCTGACCCTTCAGGGAGTTGTAATCTTTCTGCAACAGTAACATCAAAGATCACTCATCACAGATCACAACAAATACAGTAATAAAGTTTGAAATATTTTGAGAATTACCAAAATGTTAAGAGACCTGAGCTGAACAACTGCTGTGGGAAGAAAATGGTACTGACAGACTCGCCTGACACAGGATTGCCACAAATCTACAATTTGTAAAAATGCACTTGCTAAGTGCCATAAAGCAAGTGTGTTAAAACGAGGTAGGTAGGTAGCACTGTCAGCAGTCACTCACAGTAAGCAGAGTCAGCAGGTGACCATGGTACCGGGCCTCGCCGAGGCCTCCCTGCTGACAAGGAGGTCCCCGTGGGCTCTTCCAAGCTCCTCAAGGTCACCGGCCCATGCAGCCTCACCAGGTGGCGCTGGGCCGGCTGAGTGCCAGGGTCATGAGGGGAAGGCGCAGAGCTCCTTCGCCTCCAGGCACTTTCCCATGAAGGCCACGCATGAGGGTTTGGGGGCTTTCAACATTATTTATTTATTTTGGCACACGGGTCGAGTTGCTCTGTGGCATGTGGGATTTTCCCGGATTGGGGATCAAACCCAAGTCTCCTCACTGGCAGGCAGATTCTTCACCACTGAGCCACCAGGGAAGCTCCACTTTATTCTTCTGATTGAAGTGCAGCTGACTCACCACGCTGCTCGCCTCTGCTGCACCTTCTGACACTCTTCTCCACTGCGGCCACCGCAGGATACTGAACGCAGTTCTCCGCGCGGTGCAGAGACCTGTCATTTACCCACTCTGGACAACACTCTGTGTCTGCTCTCCCAACGCCCAGAGCCCCCTTCCCCTCCAGCAACCACACATCTGTGGGTCTGCTTCTGTCTGTGGTTTCTTTTGTTTTGCTCTGACGACACCATCTCCTCTGTCCTGTGAGCCTCGGGCCTGAGCGGGGTCACGGCTCCCTCCGGTCGCCCTCATCAGGCCAAGCTGGACCAGGAGAGCTTCATCCACGTACACGCAGGCTGCGTTCATTTCTCTTCAGGCTTTTCTGCTCCTCACATGGAATCACTTCAGCTGTCTCACTCTTCTGCCTGCTCACGCAGCTCTTAAACCCTTCTGTAAGCTTCCCCTTTCAGCTACTGTACTTTTCTGTTTCAAAACTGTTTCCTTGTCTAGAATTACTTTTTCTTGATATCCTCATTTTGTTCAGACACCTATCCCCAATTTCCTTTCCTTCTTTGCCCGCCATCTCCTTTGGCTCCCTGAGCACATTAACATGCTTGATTCAATGTCTTTGACTAGTATCCTCATGTCACCGCCTCCTTTGGGAGGGTTTCCGTCAAACTCATTTTTCCTGTGAATGGCCACACATTGCCAGTTCTCTGTTAGTTCAGTTCAGTTCAGTCGCTCAGTCGTGTCTGACTCTTTGAGACCCCATGGACTGCAGCACTCCAGGCCTCCATGTCCATCACCAACGCCCGGAGCTTATTCAAACTCAAGTCCATCAAGTCGGTGATGCCATCCAACCATCTCATCCTCTGTCGTTTCCTTCTCCTCCTGCCTTCAATCTTGCCCAGCATCAGGGTCTTTTCCAATGAGTCAGTTCTTCACATTAGGGGGCCAAAGTACTGGAGTTTCAGCTTTAGCATCAGTCCTTCCAATGACTATTCAGGACTGATCCTTCAGGATGGACTAGTTGGATCTCCTTGCATTTCTTCCTGCGGTTCTCTGTATGGTCCGTATTTTCTGTTGTTGAGTTTCACTGTGGTGTTCTAGAGACCTGTCTCCCTCCCTCCAGGGCTGCTGCCTGCTGTGAGCTAGAAGCGTTCACCCTGAGCACACCACTCGCAAGACCAGCAGCCATCTCCTTGCAAGGCTTCATCCAGCCAGACCCTGGGGCTCCAAAACAGCCAATTCCAACCATTCTTTCCGGCTCAGTGCTGACCTGGTAGAGGGGCTGCTGCTCATGTTTCCTAGCCCATCATTTTGCATAACGTCACTGTGGTCTACAGTCTTTAACTCAGTGATTCTGTCCGATTTCTAGACCTTGATAAAACTCATCTAAGACCTTGAATCACTGCTAATTCTCTCAGCAGAAAATGCCAGGTACATGCATATCCTTCCAGCATAACGTATGATGTGGTTTCTAGTTTTGGCAAACCATCAGAATGAGTCACCCTTCCTTCAATGTACCTCCTTCCGTAAAACTCTTGTGACCACAAGAAGGGATGAAGCAAAGATCTGCTCCTCTAAAAGCACAGACCCCAACATCAAACCTGAGGCTGTGGCTTCACACACTGTTCAGAACACTGGAGGTGGACCCAGTATTAAGAGGAGCGTGGCACAGAGTCTACCTCTAGAGTATTCCGGGAAAACTGTCTAGGGCCCAAGGCTGCAGCTGAAATCAATACTTCCAACTCTGTATTCTAACCCCAACCACATTAGGAACCTGAATACTGGCTACAATATTCCGCTCCTTTTGCCTTAAACATCTTTCTGGAAACACAGATAAGAAACCACAGCCAAGAGCCTCTACAGGGAAGCACTGAGCCCTCCCACCAGAAACCTTCTCTCTGAAGCACGCTTTTTCTGCAGCAGCTACTTTGTATCCGTGAGCAACCCACAGGCTACAATGTTTGAAGAATTGATGTGCTAACAGCCAGCAAATCCCATTCAACAAGTCCTTCCTCCAGCAACAACAGCCAAACGGCATCAACAACTGACCATCAGTCGCCCTGAGTGTGACGCCAGGCAGCAAAGGAAGTGAGAGCTCCTCTGTCACCAGAGGCAGGGGTGGCCAGGTCCCAGCTCGCCAGCACTGCCCAGCAGGACCGCTTCCTCCTTTGCTCCAGAGCAGTGAGCCTGCTTCCTCTCAGGACTGCCCACCCCCTCTACCCAAGCAGGTCAAACAGGCCTCACTGCTTTCAGAGCTTCGACCTGACCAGGCTGGGCCGCATCACACCCCCGGTGTCCCAGCCGCAGAGCGTCTCCACGGCGGGAATCACCGTGTGTTTCAACATGTGAATGTGGATCGGCTGTGGTGACAAACTGTGGTCAGGGAGAAAACAAGACCACCACCAAACTGCTTTCAGCCCCATCACGGCATTTCTACCTGGGCTCTCGAATAACCACGCGGCTAAAAGCGCAACCCCCCAACCCCGCCCCACGCTGCACACGCACTGCGCTCAGCCCCAACTCGCCAGACCGCCCTCTTCACGGCCGGCCACCACCTCACACAGTGAGGTTCAGAACCCATGCAGCCTGCTTCCAGGCTCAACCACAACATGGACGGAGGGTCTCAGGTGCCCTCGTCTCCTCCCCTCCATGCATCTCAGCCAAAAAAGAGCCCACGGAGGGAAGACTCTGTCTTCACTCCAAAACACATAGTCAAAACACATGAATGCCAGGCAGAGTCACATGCACTATTAATGAGCGCTTTAAAACGCAGTTAGTTTTAAGGGCACAAATTCGGCTCACACTGTCGAGCTGGAGCCACAAGCGGCCCTTGTGGTGGTGACAACAAGCCACCAGGGGGCCCACCACGGTCTCCAGGTGGAGGGACTGAGGGGCGCAGACTCGTGCCCAAGGCTCCCTTCCGGGCCAACAAAGGACATGCCTCCGGGACCCCTGGGCACCTCCCCAGCACAGCCATCCCTTTTCCAGACCTGACCGCAGCCCCCGCAGAGGACCCCTTGCCAGGCCTCTCGACTGGACTAACATGGGCCACAAGCCGTCCCCCTCGTCCTCCCCGGAGACTGCGGGTCTGGCGAGCAGCCAGGAGTCCACGCACACAGGTGATGAGCTGCGCTGTGAGAAGCCAACAAGCAAGAGAGAGAAGGAGGGACTGGGTGACTCGGGTCCTTTCTCCTGTCAGAAAGGTAACTGCTTTCCCAACTCAGACTGCTAACATTTCCTTGAAAGTCATGAAAATTAAGACTGGCCCAATGGTCTACTCTTTATCTGTGAGAATTAATTCGTAAAAAGAAGCACTTTTTAATGCGCTAAGATCCTACATGCCACCCCTGGACAAACAGTAAATGAAGAAAACGTTTTAGAAATGCACCTGGAGTGCACATCATGAAGTAACTGCGTCTGCTCAGATGCTGCAGGAGGCCAGAGGCGGCACAATGGGAGACGGTGGAGAGCATCACGGTCACAGCCAAGCCCGGCCGCCCGCGTTCCAGGCCACGTCTCCAGGCGACCGGGACACACGGGGTGAGGCTCGAACTCGGGGCCGGGAGCCGGGTGCTCTCCTGCTGCAGAGCAGGCTCGTGACCCAGGGGGCTGGTCCTTCCCCCTCCACCAGGCCATCCCCCAATCCGACAAATCACTCGCTCAGACGAGCTAGGCAAGGGCACAGGACAAGCGGGAGGAGGAGCACCGATTACTCAGAAGCAGACGCGTCTCTGAGCACAGCTTCAACAGAGGTCTACGAGGACGGGGAACTACAAGCTTATCAAAAGGGATCACGAAGCAGAGAAGCCAGCAAGACAGCGGCAATGTCCTGGGACAAAGAACGGACAGAGCATCTAGGAAAGACGCGTGGGGAGGAAGTCAGTGTCTGCGAAGAAAAAACGTCTAGCTGGTGAAGAAAGGATGACAATGCAGTGAAATGCCAAAGCAAGCATACATGTGGAAGAACTGTCTAACGCCACATTACACAGAACTTTCAAACATGCTAGGTACTAGGGGAAAAAACTGGCACATGGAAGGAGAAGGCCAAAGGATAACACAGAATGCAGAAAATGAAACAACAGGTGTGACTAAAGTTTCTATAGGACAAAAACACAGTGTCAAAGGAACCAAGCAAGAGAAAGAAGCCAGGAACACTGCAACATGAAAAACGGATCATGTTCTTCCTATACAAAAAATATTCTTAAAAGCTATTACATAAAAACATTCTTGCTATGCTATATTTTTTTTTTTAAAAAAACCTTCCCCTGGGCCTTCAAGAAGAAAAGCCAAGTAACAAAAAAAAAATAGCTAATCTCCTTTTTATAAAATTTAATCCATTAATCAAAGAAAGGTAAATGCCCTAACCCTAACGCTAATTTTCCCCAGTAGTTACACTGGCAACCACTAAGAAAAGTGACACCTATATAAATAGAATCTTCCAACTACAAACAGCTAAGTACACAACCCTCCTGGCGGCACGATAATATCAAGTACCAAATTCTAAGGACGTACGATCATGGGATCTTAGGGACATGATCACGGAAGTGGACAGAGTGTGTGTGATTCTGTTACAGAGAAGAGGCAGAAGTAACTGAGACGGCCAGAGGACGGTTACATTTTGGTGTGGGCAGCGTGACCGGGGCAGCAGCGGGCACGACAAGGGAAAGTTCTGCATGCGGGGGGCGGGGGGGGGGGGGTTCACAAGCAGCTGCGGGGCGTGCGTGCACAGAGCGAGCCCTTCTGGAGGAGAGGCGTGAGTCTGGAAGCATGGGCACCCGGTAATCCAGAAGGGTAACCGAGACCCCTCCCCGAGATGCCTATGCTGCGCCTGCGAACAAGCCCTCTAGGAAGACCTCCCCACCCAGCAGGAAGTGAACGCGCAGGGCTCCACAGAGGCCCCGGCTTTTCAAATGGCCGGAAGGGTCTTCTGCACTTCAGCGACACCATCTTGCAAAAGCCACCACAGGTGAGCAGGAGCCCAGGAGGCAAAGTACGAAGGGGCCTGTGCACAGTCCAGGCCCCGTCCGTGGGAGACGCACTCCGAGACCCCAGTGGATGCCAGAAACCACGGAGAAGACCGGAGCCCACGCCCAGTGGGCCCTTCTGTACCCCTATGTCTGTGATCACATTTAAGTTAGGCACAGGATGTTACTAACAACACACCTGAGTGTGGTCTCTCTCAAGACCTCTGGCCACACCATGCCCCCCCACCTCCTCATGAGAGGTGAGAGGTGAGCTGCCTGCCTGACGCAGGCCCTGCGCCCGACCCACCCTCGGACCCCGCTGCAGGCTCCAAGCTTGGACGTCTGAGACCCCAGGTGGGGAGGACTAAGACGGGCGTGAGGTTCCGTCACACTGCTGACAACAGCACGCATTGTCAAATAACCAACGGTTGACATCTGGAAGCTCTGACCTAGTATTTTTGGACGGTGCCTGACAGAAGGTAACTGAAACAGCAAGAAGTGAAACTGGGAATAAAGGGGGATGCTGAATTCTCATTGTGCAGCCATGGAAACTGAAGCTCAGCCACGCTCTCCAGAGCCATCCTGTGGAGCTGTTTAAGGGAGCCGACAATGCCCCTGGCTCCGGGCCCGCTGATTCCAAGCAAGGGGAGGCAGTCATAGGTGTGCGCCACTGTTCAGCCAGGGAGCACCACAGGGTAGACGGTGTCTATCAGAAGCCTCTTTGGGAATGTATTTCAGCTCTTTCCTTCAGGTGGCTACTTTCTGGGGAAACCACAGGTCAGTCTAGGGTGTGGAGCTCCTGGCAGCCTCGTGTTAGGATCCAGGCTTTCCCTGCTGTGGCCCGTGGGCAATCTCTGCTCAGGGAACTCGGGTCCCGCAAGCTGCACGTGCTCCCCTCGGAAAGGCTTACTGGTTTAAACAAGCAGTCCAGGGTCTCCCCTAAGAGCCTGTGAGAGCAGGTGCAGCACCCACAAAACCTGTGAAAGACACGTGTCTAAGAGCCACCCGAGGATTCAGTGAGAGGTGAGACTGAGGGCAACACGGCCAGGAAAGCTTAAGAAGCGAGGCCGCTGGCGCCGGGCGAGGCGGTATGCGCGGATGAGCGCGGACAGGAGGGGCGCAGCGGGGCCAGACGGAGGGCAAGAGCAAAGCGCGCACAGGGCAGGCAGGCTCGGCAGGCCAGACGACACGGGACACAGCCGTGCAGGGCCAGGACCACCGGCACACGCGACAGGGAGGATGGGGCAGGCCCGGAGAGCGCAGACAGCAGCGAGGACGCGGGCGCACCGCTCCCTTCCCCTGCCACCGAGCTCAGCCCTCCTGCCCGAGGAGACAGAGGGACTGCGCGCAGGGGTGCCGGGTGCCCAAAAGGACAGCAGGCCGGGACGGGAACCCGCACACCACGCGCCTCCCCAGCAGCCGCGGCCGCGAAGCAGCTGGTCAACCACCCCCGCGCCCGCTGCCCGGCACGGCCCAGGCCTTCTGCTCCGGGCGCCCTGACACGCGCCAGCCAGAAGTAACGGCCGGGACCCTCTGGCAGCGCCCCTCACAGCGGCGGGAGTGTGGCGCAGACCACAGCAAGCACCCACACCCGCAGAAAGCGAACGCTCGGTGGTCTGCGGCCACTCGGAGGTGGTGTGTTACTGCTGAGCAACAAAGCCAGTTCAGTCAGATGCTGCATGAAATTCACTACCCGGAAATTTACATTTCAGAAGAAACAGACCTGTCAAAGCATACCTCTTTCCAAAACATTTTTAAATAAACACAACACCGTATCACTAAAATTCACAGAGGCTGTGCTTCCATAGGAGGTGTTCTCAGCGCTGTTGGAGTTAAAGACACGTGTCCCGACCTGGAACACGCAGCGCTGGACCGTGATACCAAGCATGTTCTTTCTGGTGGGTCTCTCATCTGGAAACAGACGCTGACAACTCAGACGCTGCTTCAAGGTGAGCTCTAAGCTCTCTAAAATGTAAAGAGGCTGTGTATATATAGATACACACATACTTTTTTCCAAGGTGTCACATTCACATGGAGCCACTTTTCAGAGAGTCAAGCTCCCTGGAAAGCAATTCTTGTCACAAGGACTTTGCAGCCCTGATCAACAGACTCTTTAAAGGGATGCTCCCACTGTTCTAAAGGCAGGTGCCAAACGAAGAGCTAAGGGTCATTTTTAAGAGACCAGATGACTGCCTTTCCTTTCTCTTTTTGGTAAGGAAGACTGGAAAACAAGAGAAAGCCGCACACACTGTTTTTCAGGACTTTGAACATCTACCATCAGCTTTAGACCACTGCAGACATTTACCTAATAAAACACCACCCGTAAACCATTCGGAAGAGCCCACACAGCGAGCCAGCTATAGAAGAAAACCAAACTACGTGCTCTCTTTCCCCAGTCAGTCCCCCCAACCAGCCCGATTTTAACCGTGCTGCAGGCACGGCTGAGGGAGTACGTCCCTGAAGGTTGGAGCGTGCCCTCTGTATTTCAGTCCAAACCCCACTCATCTCTTAGAGTGTGTGTCTTTAGGTGAACTGTACCATCAAAGTCACTCCTAGTGGGTGACTGAGACGCCATCCTCCTTAGCCACCAGGCTGTGCAGGTCAGGGGAAAGGACCATGGCCAACCCTTCACCGTGCCCGGGGCTTGTCCGCTCCCCACACAGACGGCCACTCCCGAGCCCCAGTGCCACAGCCCCTCACCTGCCCTGTGGCCCCCGCCCCGTCCACTCCCTCTAGTGCCCTCCAACGGTGCTCCCTGGCCCCGCTCCGAGGTTCTCTCCCGGACGTCTCCGCAGCACCCTCTGAGCCAGCCACTGACCTCTTCTACCGTTTCTGAGACTGGCATCTGTCTCATTTCTACGACGACTCCAAAACCTCCAGAGCTTTTTATCCGATCCTCCCCGCAGCTGTCAGCCGTACTTTGTTTTAGTAGACAATAAAACTGCGTCCAACGAACACAGAACGCATAACTTATCATTCAGGAAGGCTATCCGTATTCATCACTGGCCCAGAAGCAAAACTTACATGCCACAAATAGCAACCCAGTGTGCAAAGTTAGAACGGGAGAAATATTATCAAGCTACTGAGCAGTATTTCAAGACTCAGGCTGGAGCCGTGACCCAGCCCTGCCCTCGAGGTGAGTGCGGGCAGGGGCGGGGCAGCAGCACCACCCCAGGGACCCCAGGGACCCCAGGTCCGCAGCCATCACTCGGCCCCAACGCTGGTCAAACACCAGCTACTGTCCAAGTGCTCGGTCAGAACACGCACTGCAGACCCATTCCGGGCATACTTACGAGGGAGTCCAGCGCTTCAAGAACCCAAGTGTCAGGTCAAAGAAGAGCTCTCCTAGGGCGACCTGTATACCCTATAGGTGACGATCTGAAGGCAGCTCCACCCCCAGAAGTGAGTCAGACGACAAACGCAGAAGCTCCCCCAGGGCGGTGTGGAGGGCTACCTGCTCCCCTACTGAAGCCTCTCTGCCTTTCTATCCCCAGTAGATTCAAGAAGCATTCACAAGAGGCAGTCTCAAACTCTGACACACTGTGCTCCAAACCAACCTCCCCACCTGCACAAGCACTGCCCATGCTAGCACTAGATGGGGGTGCAACGCTAGCACCCCAGGGGCAAAACGAAGGTGCGTCAGCAAAGATGCGGAGTATCTGGAGCCCTGACACACGGCTGGTGGGTATGGAAGCGGCAGGACTGTGGGAACCTAGCCGGGTCCACCACAGCGCCACACACACGGTTATGGCTGAACTGTGACCCCCTCCACAATGTCAGACCGTGACTGCAGCTGGACACGGAGCCCTTACAGGGTGAAGGAGGTTAGGCGAGGTCCTGCGGGCCCTGATGGGTCTAACTGGGGTCCCGAGAAGAGGGGATCAGGACGCAGACCCATTCAGAGGAAAGACAGGGCAGGCAAACAGGGAGCAGACGGTCCCCACAACTCAAGGGAAGGGGCCTCCGAGGAAACCAGCCCTGCCAGCAGTCAAATGTGAGACTTCCAGGCTCCAAAATTAAGACCCAATAAATTTGTTGTTTTGTTACAGTGGCCTAACAATCTACAGATACACCGGCTAGAACCTAGCCTTTCCACTCCTCAGTACTGACATAATGGAAATGTGCACACACGTCCATCAGAAGACAGATCCAGGACTATTCACACAGAGTTTCTTTTTGGCCACTCTGCTCTAGCTCCCTGGTCAGTGATGGAGCCTGGGCCGCCTGCAGGGGAGTGTCCGGTCTTAACCACCGGAGCACCAGGCTCAGGCGCCCTGAACCTGCAGGAGCTGAGCGCGCCAGCTGAGGCCCTGTGGGGCTGCAAGCACTACCCAAATACGAGCAAGATAACACTTCAAGACGAGAGTCTGTAGCGAAGCTTCTACAGAGGGGCTCTAACAACCATTCACAGCAACGCACAGGTCAGGGGATTCTAGTGAGTCTCTTAACCTACGGGCTGCCGGGCAACCCTGAGTTACTTCTGGGGGCCCGGACCCATAAGTGCCCAGAGAACTCTCAGCAGCCTGACTGAAAGACACATGTAAAGGGCACTGTTTTTCCCAAACTTCTGTGCTGTTATGATCGACTTCTTTAAAGGTTAATTCATAGTAGCTTTGTTGTGTACTCGCAAACAACTCAAATGGAAATCAGTTTTTAAAAATTAAAATTGCATACCAGAATGGGAAACCGATGGTGTCCACAGGGTCATGTTTCAGAGACTCCCTAGCGGAGCTGGGTCAGGCCAGGAAGGCCAGTAGCAGGCAGCAAGCTGCTCACACCGGACAGGGTGGGGAGACCAGGGAAGCCAGCTTGTGGCACCTGGCGGCAGGTTCACACGCAAGCCTCGCCCAGCCCCCACCTCCCCCTCACAGGCCTCCTCAGAGCTGCTCTCCGGACAGCTGGCAGTCCAGCGCGGCCAGGAAATGGACAAGGGACTCAGACTGCTCTCCTCAGCAGCGATGACATCACTGAAACAGAGCAGCCAGGTGAGGCCTGCGACCCCTGCATCCAGTGCTGCATCCCCAGGCAGGAGAGCTCGGCCAGGACTGCGTGTCACCCCTGGAACCAACTGCCTGCGACCCCTGCATCAAGTGCTGCATCCCCAAGCAGGAGAGCTCGGCCAGGACTGCACGCCACCCCTGGAACCAACTGCCGAGCTCACTTCCTTCCCCCACAGGGGCATCCTGCAAGTAGCTATTCTTAAATTTGTTTTTGAAATCACAGCATGGAGTAATGAAATTGAAACTAGTGGGAGACAGCGCTGAAGAGCCTGCCCTGATTTCCCCACTGCATCACTTTTACCTTTGACTCACAAGTCACACTGACCACAACCACCATTAAAAAGTTTTAAAACATAAATGCAAACTATTTTTGTATTTAATGCTGTACATGGGAAGGAAAAGGCAGAAAACAGAAGGGAGAGATGAGGGCCAATAACTGAGGAGATGAACACACTGCAGCAAACTGCAGACGGAAGCACAGAGTTTGGAGACGGCATCCCCGGACGTGTGTCTGATCACACGCAGGAGTGGATGCTGGTAGACAGACAACGGCGACCCTGCAGGGGAGACATGAGGCAACACAAAGCCAGGAGCTGCAAAGTGGGGTGGGGAGCAGGAGCTGATTTCCAGATGACATCGGCACCGGGAGAACCCCCACCTGGGCCTCACTCAGGGCTCCTCCTGACTTCCCCAGAACACCCGCCTGTATGACTCCCAGTCCAGTGACTGGTCTGGTTCTCCTCAGTCGTATGTGAACTGCTAAGTGGAGAGCCAGACAACGCAAGACAGGAGTAAAGACAAACATTTAGGTCCAATTTTGGAGAAACAGTTCGTAAAACAGTCCCACGTGTGGGATCTGGGTTTGCTACACCCTCACATAGAAACACCAATGCCAAATGAAAGGACAGGTATACACTGAGTGCAGGTCCCTTTGGAAATTTATTAACAGCTAAGGAAATTGCCAACCCTTCTTTTCGCTTTATTCGGCGGTCGAGTAAGGCACTGGATTGAGACCGCACTCTGTTGTAAGCGGCGGCCTCTGCCTATGGGCTTTGCAGGGGTGGCTTCGACTTGTTTGGCACCAGAACTATTTCTGCCTCAGGAGACTGCTTACAATTACCTGGAAAAACGTGCCAGTAAAGCTATTTTTAGAGTGCCCTCCACATTCCACTCCCCCCTTCTGCTTGTTTACTCAGGCAATCCTACAGCAGATGTAAAACTCGCATCTCCCCTGTGAACCAAGGGAGCCAGAGGGCTGGTGGAGATGGGGTGGCGGGGGTTACCTGGGGTGACCCTGGTACATCAAACCTGTGCTATCAGCCGAAGCAGCCACCTCAGCCCCACAAAAGTATCTCTGCTCAGAGAGCCCCCAACAGCTAACACCCGTCCTGGAAGCTTCTGGCGACACAAACTCCATGCGGAGTGAACAACAAATGCCCCAGAGCAAAACAACAAGTTTAGAACTAAAAGTTACTCTTTAAAAAGTACAATCAGTTAGAAACTGTGATATTATCTTCTACACACCCTCTTCAAAAGCAAACCAAACCAAATGCTGATGTTAAAATTAACAAAGCCTTCAAGTTAGGGCAGAACACCATGCTGTCCAGATTACCACAGATGCACTTGCTGAGACGAAAAATAACTCTCCCTTATGAAAAATCTCAACATCTACAGTACCGTCATGCCATTCCACAAGAGAATTCCTGGCCGTGACCACTCACCATTTTTAAAGTCCTTGAGGACAGGAACCAGGCCTATCTCCCTGAGTCAATACTCAGCCATGCCTGATACTCGGTTCATACTGAAAACATCTGATGAATGGATGAAAAGCCACTCATGACCATTACTCTGCTCCAAACACAAACAATAGTTACGACAACCACGCAGATTACTCACTTCAATATATCCGACCGGGTAACCAAAAAAAAAAATCAGACTACGATAAGGTAGTAGGCACCAACTTCTAGCTTGAACAGGACCTTCAGGAGAAGTACTCAGGACTCACTTTCCAGCTCTTGACGCAAAACTGAACAAACTCTCCTAAGTCTGAATAGAGAAGCATGCTAACAGGAGACTTTATTAATCCACGGATGAGAAGTCATGCGGGTAATCAGCTGCTTCAGTCACAAGGAAGAGACAAGAGCCTGTTCTTTTGGAATCCAAAGAGAAGATACAGTATTTCCAACAGTAAAGAACCAACTGGCGGACACCCATGCACTAAGGCTTCAGGAAAGGACCACACGCAAGATGGCCAGCCCAACTCATTTGACAGGAGACCAAGGTGACAAAAATTTTCAAACCTCAAATAACAACTCTACTAGAATTTTAGAATTTCCAATTGACTGGCGCGACACTACAAAAAAAAAAAAAGCGTTATAACTCACAACTGAAAACGGAATACGTTGTGGTTTTAAGGCAGAACTAATGCTACAAGAGAAGGCTTCCAACGTCACATCACAAGAAAAGACGTGGAGAGGCAGATACCGGGTGGCAAGAGACAGATCCCAAGCTTCAGGGACCCGCACTCCGATCTCCGCTCCGCGACCTTGGACCAGTGACTTAACCTCTTCGATCTTCGACTTCGCTATCTACCAGCGGATGCAGCAATGTACTTGAGAAGACTGCGCTAAGAATCAAATATAACAATCGGTGCAGAGGTCTCGCCACGCCGCCCGACAGACAACAAGCGCCCCAGTGTCCTCTGTCTTTATATCTCAATCGCCCAGTTTCGCGAACCGTTCCTCGCCGGGAAGCCCGGGCTGAACGCACAGGCGGGCCCCGCCGCAGTTCAGACCTAACACGGCGTTGCACCCGGCAGCGGTTCGCCCCCAATAAGTTTGCAAACTTCTTCCAGGTTTCCCCGCGACGCGTTTAAGAGAAAAAGCTCCACGTCCCGGGAGCCCGGGGCGCCCGGGGGAGCTGGGAGCACGTGACTGGCTCTCCGCGGACTCCCGGCGTCGGGGACCCTCGGCCGGCCGGCCGTTCGGCGGACGGGACGGCGAACACACGGCTCGGCCTGGCATCTGGGCGGGGTGGGCGGCGCCCCCGCGGCCGGCCGGCTGGCCACCGCCCGGGCGCGCAGACCTGGCCGCTCCGGCCGGCCAGCCCGAGAGGAGGGCGTGCGCGGCACTGGCCCGGGTCGCGGCCGGTCGCGGTCACACCCGGCCGCCTCTTGGCCGGCCTGCCGCCGGGCCCGAGGGTGCGGGACTCCCCGCGAGGCCGGGCCGGGCCTGCCCGAGACGAGGACGGCTCGCGCCGGCGACCGAAGCCAAGGAGGGGGATGGGGCCGGGCCGCCGCTTACCGCGGCCGCTTCGCTGGGCTCCGGGCCGGGCGCGTCGCGAGGGCTCCACCGAGGAGGAGACTGGGGATGACGGGCGCGCGGGGAGGTCCAAGCTGAGGCTCCTGCGGGCTCCCGGGCCTGTCCAAGTCTCCAACGCCGCCGCCGCCGCCGCCTCGGGCTTTATGGCCAAGACTCCGGCTCCGCTCCCACTTCCGCCACCGCCGCCGCCCCGAACGGAAGTACCTGTCACGAGACGCTCGACGCCAGGGCTGCGGGGGCGGAGCCCCGCCCCAGTCGTGCGTCACGTTCCGCCGTCTCCTGCCCCGGCCCGAGTCACGTGGCACAAACATGTCTGCCCCCAGTAACTGCGGCCATCTTGGAGGCCCCTCCGGGAGCAGGGCGGCGCCATGCTGGACCCACCCACCGAAGCCTCAGCCCCTAAGCAGCTCAGGATCAAAAGGAGCGAAGAAATGGAACCCGGAGAGCTCCGCGGAGGATGGGAAATCCCACCCAGCTCTAGCTCCACGTGCACACCGTAGGAGCTGCTCAGAACTTTGGCTCCATCTTCAACAACAATGCTCCTCTCATAGCCTCCTCTTTGCTGGTTCCTGCAAACTTCATTCTTCTGGTCGCTGGATACAATGACTATGGAGTCATTCTTGATTACTGTAGTGGGCTGAATAATGACGCCCCAAAGGTGTGTCCACATCGTGGAACCTGTGGGTGTGGCCTGATTTGGAAAAAAGTGTGTTTGAAGGTGTAATTAAGGCTCTGGATATGAGACCCTCCTGGGTTACCTCCTTGCAAGGGACAGTCCAAGAGGGAGAGGCCACGTGGAGGTGGAGTAGCCACAATCAACAGGACGCCGGCAGCAAGGGGTGGGGGGTGGTGCTGAGTCTGACTTCTGTGTTTGAGAATCTATTTCAGTTGTTTTAAACCACCAGCAGTTCCAAGACACTAAAGCTCTCTCTCGTGGACCCCTCATCCACAGCCTTTGGAAGATACCCAGAACGTGACTCCTTACTCTCTCTGCCGCCACCACCTACTCTGAACCACCATCCGTTCTCACCTGGATTATGGCAACAACTTGGCTTCCTGCTCCCACCCCATTCCCTATCTAGTCTCAACACAGCAGTCAGAATAACATGTCATGCTCCTACTCCAACTATTCCCATAGGTCAAAATAAAAACTAAAGGCTTTACAACCAAAAGGTCCTATCCCAGGACTTCTCTGATTGTCCAATGGTTGGGACTCCCCACTCCCAATGCAGGGGGGAGCCTAGGCTCGGTCCTTGGTCAGGGAACTAAGAATCCCACATGCCAGAGCTAAGACTTTGTGGCCTGCAACTAAAGATTCTGCAATAAAGATCAAAGATCCTCCATGGTGCAATTAGGGCCTGGCACAGCCAAATAAATAAATATTTTTTTAAAAAGTGTGACGAGGAGAAACACAGCAGTGGCAGTGGGTAGGGAGTGACCCCAGCCTCCCTGTCTCCCAAAATCAGGCCACTTCCTTGTCTACCTGGTTTGATGCTGAGATTCCAATGCCTGGAACACTGCCTGAGTCGTGACAGGTACTCAGTGAGTATTCACTGAGAGACTGATAAATTCATTTCTCTGCCATCTCCCTAATTCTCTGCTTTCACATAAAGAGCTCCCACCACTCCCTTGAGACTAGTCCAGCAAGATTATATTAGTAAACACGCTGTCATGGTGCTGTATTTCAGAAGGTAACCCTACCTGCTTTAACAGTAGGCCTCCAAGGAGTCAGATTTCAAACAAGACAGAAGTAGGTGGCTCTCCTGCACACGCAGACTTGGGCGACCCCATGGCCACACTGTTCACAAGGGGCTTGCCACTGTGTAGAGAGCTGGGAGCAGGGGAGGAGGTCTGCAGAGATGGCACACCTGCTTCTTAAACGCCTGGGTGCAGAAGTGACACACACCGCCTCTGCTCACATTCCTCTGGCAAGAGCTAGTTGTACTACACACCTGGATACAAGAGGACCTGCAAAACAGGGGGCGGGCGAGGCGCCAGCTCTGCGCTCCGGAAGACGGATGATGAACCTGGTCGTATCTGTCTGCCCTGCCGCAGGTACAGCGTGGAAAACACTGAATACAGGACGCCAAGGAATGAAGGTGGTGCAGGAGAAACACCTGAGGTTGCCCAGGAGATGGAGTAGCCAGGGAGGGCTTCCCAGAAGAGGTGGTGCCCAGGTGATTCATGAAGGATGAGTAAGGACCTGCTGGGCCAGGAGGAATGTGACTACCCTGGAGGGACGGCTGTGTGCAAAGGTTTAGAGAAAAGAGAGCATGTCATAACTCGTTCCAGAAATTGCTGACGGGTTAGTGTTGCTGGAGAACAGAGTTAGAGGGAAGGAAGCAGGAGCCCTGCGGAAACCCATGCACAAAGGCCGGCTGGTGGTGTGTCCCGAGTGCCTTTGATCCCGAGGTTGATGGAGCCTTTTCCTGTCTTCCTGCTATTGATAGTCCCGATCCACAATTGAGGACGAAGAATGTGGAGGAGCTGACATTTAGGAGGACTGGGACACCGGCTAAGACGGGTGAGACCCAGCCCTGCCTTGGCGCAGACAGAAGTGGCAGGACTGGCCCCACCACCTGGCTCACCTCCTCCCCCACCCCACTGAGGAGAGGGGAGAGAGAAAATTCACAGGGCCGCTGGTGATCACTGGGCTGCCCCCCACCCTGGTTACCAAGGTGAGAGGGCTCTGTGAGACTTACAGCTGGGGTGGGGGGAACAGGACCCACGGGACTCTCCTTTCCTGGGGAATCTCCGAGTGGACCCTGCCCTCCACCCCCTGCCAGGGGCAGGGGAGGACTCCAAGCGGAGAGGAGGCTGCAGGGTGGCTGCCTGCACACCCGCCTGGCCTGGGCGAGGCCACCCTGTAGGCCTGTCCTGGAGTCGAGAGGTCGGTCCAAAGGGCAGCAGCTTGAGCCACTGTATCAGCGATCCGTCACTGCAAATCAAACACCCCAAGCCTAAGTGCCGTAAACCTGTGCTCATCTCTTATCTCATGACTCCCTGGGCCAGGAGATCAGACAGGGGGTCGTGAGCATGAGCCCTGCATCCTCCACGCTGCCTGGACCGCGGCAGAGGGGCTTGGCTGAGGGATGAGCTGCGGGCTTGCCTGGGGCTGGCTCACATGACAGTGACCGGTGCTGACACCTGGGCTCCTCTCCACGTGGCCTTTGCACGGGGCTGCTGATGTCCACACAATGTGGCAGCTGGCTTCCGCCGGAGAAAGCCACCCAAAAGGCCGAGGTGATGCTGCAACCTCTGACCCGACCGAGCCTCACAAGTCTCCCGTCCTCACCTCCACAGAACTTGGTGGGCTCACATGGGGTAGCTCTGACTCAGGGCGCAAGGACCACGGAAGGGCATGCACCCCTGGCGGGAGAATCACGGGCTGTCTCGGAGGCTGCAGACCACGGCTCCTGCTGGCTCTGCAGCTGGGAGGGCTGGCCAGGGACAGGGCACCCGAGGAGGGTGAGCTGGAGGGGCAGAAGAGTTCTAGCCTGGTCGTCTCTACCCTACCATGGACCCAAGCGAGGGGAAGGCCCATGGAGCTCTGCAGGTAGCTCACCCATGGCCCATACACAGTGCAGGCCCCACACAGGTGTCGAGGCTCCCAGAGCACAGAGAGCACCCACGACCTGAAGGATCTGTTCAGAAGGTGCCTTTCCCCCGCGGTGCTCAGCTGTCACCTTTGCCAGAAGTCAGATGACTGTAGATTTATGGGTCTATTTCTAGACTGTCCTGTTCCATTGATTTGTCTGCCCAACTTTATACCAGCACCACACTGGATTAATTACTATACTTACATGGGAGGTCCTGAGATCTGGTGGGTAAGTTCTCCAACTTTCTCCTCCTCCCCTTCTGGAAGGCCTTCACGACCGCTGGCCCTTTGCATTTCTGTATAAATTTTAGACTCAGCTTGTTAATTTCTACATAAAAATTCTGCTATAGACTGGAATCATATGGCATTTATGACCCACTTGGGGAGAATTTTATTGAGTTGTACACTTACGTATTATTTGAATGCTTTTTCATCTATGTGTTACACTTCAAAATATTTAATGTCATTAAGAAATCTGCTACCCATGGCTCTTGTGTGTTAAGTTGCTCAGACGTGTCCAACTCTTTGCGACCCTGTGGATCATACCCCAACAGACTTCTCTGCCCATGGGATTCTCCAGGCAAGAATACTGGAGTGGGTCACCATGCCCTCCTCCAGGGGATCTTCCCAACCTAGGGATCGAACTCATGGCATATTTCAAATTATGTTACAAGACATTAAGATTCTTCAACCAATTAACAATAAACTTCTTTCAAAACTTCACTTTTTTCCAAAGGGATCTGTGTTTCCTCAAATTCTATCATTTGTATACCATCTTCATGACTTTTTTGATATACCCCATGCCATCAATACTGCTCGTTATGGAAAGGGAGTTGATTTTTTAAAATTTAAACTTTTTGTAAATAAACCTTTGTACCAGCATCGTAAGGGGATGAGTCTCTCTTGCCAAACAGAGAAGACAACTGGCAAGGCGAGCATCACAAAAATAAGATTGCTGGCTTATAACCAGCTATTGTCTGCTGAAAGTCTTGAGAAGGAAGCCTACACTTTCTCTATTCAAAATGCATATTTGCAAGTTTCAGAGAAATGCGACATGCACATTGCCAGCATACCAAGAATTTCTCCCTGAGGTGATCAGAAAAATTGGAAAACTACTGGAAAAGGGATAACTCTGTCACTTTTTGGTTTTCTGGAGCTAACTGCAGATCCACATGCAGGTGTGAGTAGTCCAGAGAGACGGCCTGCACTCTTCACTCGGCATCCCCCAAGGGTGGCGATTTGCAAAGCTCCAGCTCATCACTCTGAGGACGCTGACACTGGTGGTATTTTGAGCTCCTTAGTCTTACCTGTACTCCCTTCTGCATGTGTGCGCGTGTGTGTGCCCGCTGCATGCTATGTAAGTGAATTCCCCGCGCAGGTCTGTGTATCCACCGTCACCCACCTGTGTTTCAACGCCACTCTATCTCAGGAATCTGGGCCAAGGGTGCCAGCCCCCACCCCTGCGGTGTCTCTAGCTGCAGGCCGCCTGCCTGCCACGTCTCACGTGCGGTGTGGCCCACTCCTGTGCTGCCCCTGGAGACCCCACCCACATGTGAAAGGCGATGCCTCCCTGCACTGCCCCTCCCCACCCCAGGTCACAGCAACGTCCACGAGGCAGGGAAGCAGGATCTTACCACGTCCCTGAAAGGAGAGGACTCTGAGCATTAATGAACAGCACTGACTGTTCGGACAGTAAATGAATATTAATGACCATCATCTCGTGGTTAC